GACGCGCGCTAAACCATTCAAAATAAATAGTCTTAGTTATAAATCGTTTGTAAATAGTTCTATAAGTCTTTTATCGTTATTATTTTGTTCATTAGTGTTAAATAAATAGTGTTTAAATAAATTGTGACTTTCTATCCACACGGAACCGACGAAAAACGTAACAATATAGTATATAATAATGTATTTTTTATGTGGTTTATATCTCTATTTAGTGAAATGTCGACTGTACATATTATTTTTTAAAGTTTATATGATAGGCGAAAAGTAGAGTAAAACAGACGACATTTCGACTAAATTAGAGATATTAACACATAAAAAAAATTATAAAAACGACATAATCACCATATTCTAATTTAACAAAACATTGAAACTCGAAATTCAGAACGAGAGAGTCATAGACACAATGATGACAATACACAATATAATACAAATTGTACACAAAACTTACAGCAACAGGACGGGCAAGGTAAAGCGTATGCAAAGTCCAGAAACTAGCATGCGTTTGCATCAGAGGAGCCATGAGAACCAGTCCAACAGCAAGCAATGGAGGTCATTCTAAATCTAACACCACTGCACATTGGCATTGGTAGATATGCCAAATGCGACAATGGATAGAATCGTCATTACGGAATTAGTACCTGGGAGCAAAAAATTAAATAAGAGTTGGAACACTCAAAAAGGAAATACCACTCATACACGATATGCAAGAACGTACAACTTTGACAAAAACATGTCAATGTAATTGAGCAATAAGAAGGATTGGAAGAGGAAACGCTTGCCGAGAAAAAGAGCCTATACCATAATAGGTATGCCTGATGTCTCTCCAAAACCAATAGCGGGAACAGGGATCGGAGTGTTGGGCCGAGAGCTAATTCCTCCGAACCAATGGGCACTTACCCTAGTATCCTACAGGAAGAAAAGTCTACTCTATCGAGAGATGCGTAAACTTATCTTAGATAGGAATATAGGCAAACAAGAAATAGCCATCTATCTGATAGTCAAAGGCAGCGTTAAAGGTCCGATCAACTCAGTATCACCTCAATTCGAATTCGGTCAATAGAAGCATCAACAACAGGCGTGAATAAATTAGAAGAACAAGCCATCCTAGCAACTGGGTGTCTGCTCAGCAAGGGATAGAAAGGCAATGAAAAAAGACAATAACTAGCTAGGAAGGAGCGAACACTCCACAAAATGAACCAGAACCGTTAATGCCTCTCGCCAAGTGGTAAACCAACTCAAGGCGACACTCAACGAACATTGGAGAAGAGTCCATTCTGCAAACCCTGGAATGGAAATCTTGAATGGTCTAAGACACTCGAAGAAGTTTCTGCGAGGGCTTAATATCAAGAAAAATCAAGATTTTTCTGGATCTGAGTAAAGAAACAATCTCGGGATTATCACTGGGTTTTAATAGGACACTGTCTTCTTAAAGAACACCTCAGTAGAATATGAAATAAGAAGAAACGTGAAATCAGATTCTGTGGAATGATGGGGAAACACGAGCTCAACCATCATCACTGAGTGCGCCGAGACGACATACATACTCGTGGCCATGACATTTTGGTTACGACTGATTATTGGAGATGAGAACTAACCCTTAGAAACGCCCAGATACTGGCTTTTGTCAAAGCCCTGGGACTGTATGATTAGTTATGATTCAAGAAAGGGGGACAAAATGGATCTGTAAGGTCGAAGTGATTAACCCCCCTCCCACTCATTCTAAATTCTAAAGCAGTGGGACACTTCTACATGTATCTCTATGGAAGAAAGTTCTTGTTAAAAACAGACCATGCTGCTTGGAAATGGCTGTTGCAGTTTAAGAATCCTGAAGGGCAGGTAGCTAGATGGATCCATTGTTCCCAAGCAGAAGAGAAAGAAGCGAAACTCCTAAAAACAACTGTGATTAATGATACCTAATAATAATAATACAAATTCTATAATTAATTTTATAATTTCAGATTTTTCTTGGTATCAAAAATTAAGATAAAAAGGATAATGAAGATTGTGAACTTAAGGTATTATGATTGTAATCGGAGTTGTAAGTAATATAATATTCGAAGTTGTAAGTAATGTAATAATAATAAAATTTATTTATATATTTACATTAGAATTAAAAATTATCATTTACGGATTTTTTCTTATTGGTTTTAAACATATTAGAATTATTTTGTATCATCAATATGACCACAGATAATATGACACAGTTATTACCTTGTTATTACATCCATTGTAGGTTGCAGACTTGGGTCGAATACTGAAATCCGGTATTCGAATATGAATCCTGAATACTGTGTTCTAAATTGTATTCGAATACTCAAGATTCGAATATAAAGAAAAAAAAATATTCGAATACTGCTGTATTTGAATACCTGGATTCATTTAAATATGAATACTTTTTGAATATTCCAACAAAAAAGACATATCCGTACTTTAAACTTGATTTTTATTTATGTGCTTAAGTTATAAAAATATGGAACACAATAAGGTAACAAAAAATAACTGTACATATAGCAAAAAAAGCTTATCTTCTAAAAAAAATCTTAAATAATAAATAAAACAATAACAACAACAACAACTTTTTGTTAAACGGACATTAAAAGAGTCAGGAATTAGCTTCAGTCTTTTTGCGCACTCTTGCTCATAATCCGAGTCGGACGAACCTCCAACGGCTCCAACAAACGGTTCTTCTGGCTCTGAACCATCAGAAATAGTTTCCCGGGTGACGATATCTTTCTCCATCGGTAATCTGCAAAAAAATCTCTACGTTAAATTTATAATATGACAGGTGAATCCATTACTTAACCATACATATATAGAAACTCCGGAATTAACCATTTGTAAGATATTTATTTAATAATTTTTAATTTCCTTGATTTTAAAATCCGAATATTAATTTGAAATATTCATCAACCAAATAAAAATTGCAAAATAAAATTATAAAAGGCTAATCATTGTTGCTTAGTGAAACAAAAGTTGACCTTTATCCAAATCTAAAATCTACAGAAAAGGAAATTTACAATCTCCACAAAATTGCTGATAATTTAGAGACCCGATTTTTTGAAACACCATGTATATATTTTTAAAAAATCCTAAAATATATCAAAAATAAAATAAGATACACATGTTGAAGCGTTTTTCCTAAAACTAACGGTTCTTCAAATAAAAAATATTTTAATATTAAAGGGATGATTTCAGTGAGTCAATCAAGCATTTTATATATTAGTATAGATTACTAGAATAAAACTTAATAGGAAAATACATGAATCTTACACAATGCACCCACTTAATTAAAAAATTAACTTACCTTTTCATATACCTATGTACTTCGTCTGGTTAGTCTGGTATCACACACAAATTATAAAGGTGCGTATTCATTATTCGAACGAACGAACGAATGGGATTCGGTATATTTGGACGGTGGACCGAACGCATGCGGTCGTTCGTTTGTTTGTTCGCTCGGCCATCAGTTTCGAGTCGGTACATCAAAGGCGTTCGCAAACGAATGGGTTAAGGTGTTTTCGTTTGGTTCTAAAATCCGGTCCCGTCCATACTACTACCGAACGAACGAATGAACATTCGTTCGTTCGTTCGGATAGTGAATACGCACCTTAACAGGTATTAAAATTTATAATAAAATACCTAGAATGGCGATACTGCACAAGTGCACACGTAATATCTAATCGTGATCCTTGAGCGACCTGTCTCGTCTCACGATTTGGCGACGATTAAATCATCCTATTGCTGCTAAAAGTCACTAACTAACATTTTTCCGAACAACCAAATTCAATCACTAAATATGTTTTGAAGCGGAGAATCGATTGCAAAAGTCATTAACTACGATTTCTGGCTATTTATGTTTTATTTTAATACAGAATAGTTACTAACTATAACATCTTTATGCAATGCAATTCATCTTTAGACGCAATTTTCTCGGAAGTAGTAAAAAGTAAGTTAGTGACTTTTGGCAGCAATGGAACGAAATTTAACCCGATTGTCGGCATCGCGAATTGAGAACCGTCCGCAACCCCCGCGAACGTGTTTTAACAAGCTTAAGTTGCGTAAAGCGTAAGGCAATATTCATAAACAAAATCAAACAGGATTCAAATACCGGGATTCCAATACAGGATTCGATACAGGATTTGAATACTGGGATTCAAAAACGGTATTCAGAATCCAGAATACTGATTACTGACCAAAAAAGTATTCAGTCGAATAACAAATACCAAATACACAAATGTATTCGAATAGTATTCGAATACCAGTCAAAAGTATTCTGAATAGGATTCAGAATACCGAGTATTCGAATACTACCCAAGTCTGGTAGGTTGTAGGCATATATATTTTATCGAAGAATGCTGATAGGAATAAAATATGCTTTATCTTTTTCTCTTTAGAAGTTATATGGTTTGTGTCGTAGAAGACATTACAGGTATTTAATATCCTGAATTTTGATTTGATATTCTTTTTCTAAATTTTTTGTAATTTCTTTCCTTTAATGCCAAAATCTTGATAATATGGCGAAGGTTCGATCATTTTTGATCTTATTAGATTTATACACAGACCAACTTAAGACTATAAGGTCGCGGTCGTCGCGGTGATTAACTCCCCCCTAGATATTCTACATTCTAGCCTATGACAGCCTATGATTCTAGCCAAAGATATTTAAACTCAGTTTAAACTTGAGTTTAGTTTTGTTAAACTTGAGTTTCACATCCAAACTTGAGTTGAAATATCTTTGATTCTAGATTCTAGATAAGGATTCTAGCTATAGGTGAAAGAAAGAAGTGTATAATAGGTTGCCTACATGCACTATGGAAAATTTGTGTAAACTGCTCCGTAGACGCAAATTATATCTATGGCATTCTATGGCCTAAAATCGTTCGGGATATTTCGACATGATTCGTCGAAACATTCAATCGACCGCCTCATTTTGACCAATAGAAATGTCCAGAATTCTAAATTTAGACATGCGTAGTGCGATTTTACAGTCCTTTCCCAAAATGTCAGTTTTGTTTTGTCAGTTCTCTGATTTCATTTCGCCATATTGGACTTCCTAGTGTTACATACCGAGAAACTTTCTTTAAAATTGCTAGCAGAGCATATAATTTTTTAATTTTTCTAGTAGTTTATTAAATCCTATGAATTGTTGGCAATTTTAGTGTTGCCTGTGAAAACAAGTGAAGTTTCTTAGTTTATGTGTAACCGTTGGTGACCCTACTACTAAAAATGGCGTGTGCAACTTTGAAGAGATCGCTGGAATGGGACTCGTACCTCGGGGGCGGCAGACCAGCAAAGAGGAGACGATGCGCTCCCTTTTGTACCAGTCCGACAAACCGAGAAAAACTCGGAGATCGGTCAACATCTAGTTCTCCTAGCAGCCCCATGTGCAGCAGTTCTCAAAAATCAGTTTTCCCAGATGTTCTTAGTAAAAAATTAACCCCCGGTAAGTGGACACTTCGGACATTGATGTTTTTAGAAGTTTATATAAAGGTTAACGACTTTCGTTTAGTTTTTTTTGTAATTAATTTTATTGGGTAATTAGTATTTTGTTTGTTTATATTTGTTGACATTTTATCTGTCATCAGCTGATTTAAGACATGCCCGTAGCATTTTCTTTTTTATTTGAATCTGACAATCTCTAGAGATGTCTGATAAAGATTTTTGTTTCATTGCTTGTTATTGAGACTAAAACCTTTGTAATTTGTGTACTTATATTGACTTTTATAAAGTTTTTTTTTCTTTAAAATAACTTGATTATAAACGAGTTTTAAGTTGTTATGGTTGTTTCAGAATATATGGCTGAAAATATTAAAGCCGAATTGAAGAGGTTACAGAGACGCAAGCAACTACAATACAGTATGATGGAAAATTCAGATAGTGGAAGTGAAGGATCTAATGATGTATTACCATCTCGAGCAGAGAAACCTATTTTTACATTTAAACAGGTTAACATTTTTCCACAAGTTCAATACCAAATTATGATAAGACGATTGATTTAATTTTTATGTAGGTTGGATTAATATGTGAACGAATGCTCAGAGAACGAGAGTCTGAAATAAGAGAAGAGTATGATAATGTCTTGACCACAAAGCTTGCTGAGCAATATGATGCTTTTGTTAAATTTACATATGATCAAATTCAGAAGAACTATAGTAGTCAAACTGCTCCAAGTTGTAAGTATTTACCTTCTAATTGATTTATCTATACATACACATAATATGTCTAACAAATCAACACTATAAAAAAAATTACAGTGTGTTATATATTTTAAATTATTTTATTCTTATTTAATTACATGAAACACTTACCTTTTAATTTATATTTTTATTGTTTATTACATATTACACAAGTGGTACATGGATAAGTACAAAATAACAGGAGAAACTTCCTTCCACTGAATAATGATAAAAAGTAGTGTTCAATAATAAAGTTTGGTGTATGGTTGTAACACCAAAGATTCCAAAATTGGAACTTGATTGGTAAATTGATCTTTGTAATCTTGTAAAAGTAATTCTTGTAACATCCTGCCAAGAAAATCAAAGCCATAGATCAAAGATTTCTTCTGTATTTAGTATTTTATACTAGGATAATATTCTTTTTATCCAATGATGGCTACTGAGTGACCCATTTTTGGTTTTCATCTACTTAGTACACCACAATTGGTTTTAAATAGAATAATTTAAAATGAAATATTTGATAATTAATTGAAATAATATCTGAAAAATTATTCTTTTTTACTATTGTTATTTATTTATACCAGGAAACTTATATAATACTTGCAATTAAAAATAATAAGAGTTTGTAGCTTTATTATTTTGGGAGAATTTTAAATCTGTACATACAAATACATCTCTAGTATACAAGTATGTATCACCTATTTTTTATTGTATAGGGTGGCGCCTCTCATACACTGCTAGTGATTTTATCTAGTTTATATCTAGTTTTAATTCTGTAATAATTAAAATATGTTTTAAACGTGTATTTGTATTGCCGTTGAATATTAATCTACAATCTTTACTTTTTGTTAAATTAACAAAAGTTATATCACAGCCACCCTAGATTTTTTGAAATAAAGATCTACTGACGCAAAATCATAAAAATTAAAATATCTAGGAAAATCTTTGTCTGAGGTAGGCAACCTTAATAATATTTTGAAAACGTATAAATTCCCCATTGAACACCGGAACAATATACTGGGTGTTCCATTTAAAATAAAGGAGTAACTTGCTTTTAAAAGTGACTAATGTTCCATATTAATTTTGTCTCGCCCTGTATAACTTTTCGGGTCAAATTTCAATTTGGTTTAACATACAATGGTTACTGTAATTAAATATCAGGTCAACTAAAATTTAGGTAGCTGTTATCGAAATTAAAAATTTACTCTTCATTTTCACAAAATGTGAAATACGCCAAAATCCTTAGATTTTAGGTATATCTTCTTTAACAAAACTTACCTTTATTTTTTTTCTAGAATCTGAAAATCAATTAATATATAGGGTGTTTCATTAGAAAAAACACAACACTGATGTGTAACTTTTCTGGGGGACACCCAGTATAATTTTATATATTTTTATAAAATGCTTTCAGTTAATCTACATATGCTGCCAAAATTTAATTTCGATATAAACTACCGTTCTCCTTGGGGCTTCCGCGGCGTATGAGAGGCGTCACACTGTATGTTAATAACGAAATTTTTGTGCTGCCATCTATTGTCAAACTTGTTCAGATCAACCTCATTCAAGGTCAATATAACTCCCCACGTCCCTTACCCGACCACTAGCTGGTTATTGAATAAGTTGTGGAGCTACGATTGCTGACATGGGGATAAAAAAGATTGGAATGAAAATTTCAAAACCAAAATATTTTGAACTACTGTATTAGGGATGTACCGGAATTCCGGCGGCACTACTAAATCCGGCCGGATCGCCAAGATAATTTCGCTGCAATTTTCAAAAAAAGAATTGGGCTAAATCTAAGTAGAAATCAAGAAAATAATTTTGAACTTTATTAAATTGAAAGTCTTTTTAAAACATAACATTATTTTTAATCTAAACATTAAATTTAGGAAATAGTTAATTATAACAAACTGCATAAGAAATAGATGAATGTTTTACAAACATATAAAAAATATAAACCAAAAACTAATATTCATAATTTATTTTATTCTGATTGTGGTGTATAAATAAGAGGTTTTCTGCATTTTGAAAACTTAGTCTACACCTTTTGTCAACATAATACATAATATACCTATGTTACCAATTTCTGAAATCTAATTCTTTCTCAATACACACAAGTTGCAGAGTTAGAAAAAAAGGAAATGTTCCATTGTTCCACCAATCAATAGGGTTTAATTTTTTTATCAGTTCTCGGCAACTTCAAGTTAATGACGTTGATGTAGGATGTTGCTTTTTGAACGACTCATAATAAAGATGTGGAAATTGGTATAAAGTTAGCATTTTCACAGTGTGAAAAGTAACTGTTGATTTATTTGGAAAAATATGCTTTATATCTGGGATATAAAATAGTCACTATAGTGAAGCAGTCCATATCCGAAAATCTTTTGTTCAAGCCGTTAATGAGACGTTCTTTCATAGTTCCAATGTTCTTTGAAACTTCCATACCGTGCTGGCAACTGTTACTTTTGGGTCGGTATTTACATGTGTGGAAGTAAATCGCATAGGGATCTTATTAAGTCGGAGTGAGAGAAATGCGACGGTGTGCTGTTGCGGCGTTGCCGGTACGCCTTTCCCTATCAAGTACAGTAAAATAACGATCGCAAACCGCTTATTTTTAAAAGACTTTTTCGAAAAGATAACTAGATAAAATCATTAGGTACAGTACGTCTGCTGGATCTGTGTCTATGAAAGGAATGCGGACAAAAAACATTTAAATAAACAACAATATATTTTATTCGTCGACTTGACGAGTACGTCACCGCAAATCGCTACGCCCACTCATTTTATTGGCTACTTGCAAATTTGTCGAATTTTTATTGATGAGACGCGTCGTCTAATTTTTTATGAAAAACATCGAGAGAATATCATTTCCCCTCTCACGGATACCGCGTTGCTATAGAACGGACAGACAAACTGTATATTTCTGAGCATCTGAAATGGAATTATAAGGATATTGTTAGAGTGTCCATTTTTTTTATAACGAGAGCGATAATTTAAAAACTCTACTTTTTAACACGTAACGCGCGATAACTTAAGAGCCACTTTAGACATTGAAACTTTTTTTATTTTGAAGACCGGTCTTTCACATACTGTCTGCGAAGAAAATATAGCAGAAATGTTAAGAAAGTTTTTGAAAAAACTACAATCAATTATTTTTAATAGATTTCGAGATATCGATTTTTGAATTCAGAGTTCTAATAGCGCGACCACTGTCGAACACACAAGCGTTTCTAACTTGCACTTAAAATTTTCAAGCTATAGGGAAAATTACAACGACTGGTTAATAAATAAACAAATAATCACGAGACGTAATTAAATCGTGAAGCTGAACCAGAGAAATAGAAGGGATAGAGAATGAGCGTCAACATGCGCAGAAGGTCTAATCAAGTTGGGCGCCATATTCCAGGTCTTCCTGTCATTTTGTATATAGGTGGTAATCTATAAGTAATCAAATATCAATTTGCTGTTTTCAACCATACGGGGGGCAATTTAAATTTAATGAAATTATATCATTTATTATGGTTAGTTAACATTAATATGATTTATTTAATTATCAGTTTCAAAACTGCGTACAATATTGGTATATAATACACTAAATATACGAATATTCTGACAAAAGACGCTACGGACAGATGACCTTTTCGTCGTAAAACACTCGAAATGATATTAAATAAGTATTTACAATATTTCATGTTTACTTGTACTGAATTACGCGTTTCAATTTAAAATTTTTGCAAATTTGGTAAAAATTGTTCTAAACAACTTTTTGTTCAAGTTGTATATTCATAAAAAACATTTGGTTCATAATTATTTTTGATGATTATCTACCTTGTATTTTTAATATAAACCTAGAAAAAATATGTTTTTGTTTTATTTTTTTTATTCGTCCCTTCAAATTATGTTTCAAAAACTGTTACATAACATGTCCTCTAACAAATATTTTCATAATACATAAACATCATTGATTTTATTAAGGGTATTATTATTAGTATTTATCCTGGTTTTTGTCGACAATAAAAACTCAATCTTGTAATAGAACATCAATTTTATATTTCGTAAAATTATTTTGATACAAATTCGATTTGTCAAAATTCAAGTCATTAATATATTGATAAACAACCCAAATTATTCCTAAATATTTTATTATAAACAAAAACTGTTACCGGTAAGTTTGTAAAACACATTATGGTTTGTCGTAATACTAGAAAAAATCATTTATTTTTTGCACAAAAGAAGCTTGTCGATCCTTATTTGTCCATAACAAAATTCTGTATGTACATATACCTAATTTATTATTAAGAAAATTAGATTATATGATCTCAGAATTTTAAGAAATTTTTTTTTAAGATAAAATAGTTTCTTCTCAACTGTAATATTGTCAACTTTGGCCTGTATTTTATCTATTTAAAAACATGGGATTGACAATCCCCTTACTAAAATACATACTGGAAGGTACCGATTAAGTTTCATTGCATCAAATACCTTTACTATAAATCCTGGCTCACAACTCACAATTTAAGGCCATTGCAAAATGCTTTTGAACTTCATCATAGATTTTACAAGAATAAAAGTGTAATATTGAAACAAAGTAACACTGTAAGCTTCATGACTAATAGTCTCATTTTTAACACTCTTTAAATATCATCTCGTTAACAATTATGAATATTATATGATTTTTCTCAGTGATTTGTGGCACAGATACAAATTAATATATGCCCCATAACAGTTTTTAAATAAGAAACTTCTGCCTACAGATTTAATTTTCTTCTTATTGGCATAATACCCTTTCTTCCTATATAAATCTTGCCATTTTTTCAGTCCAATGTTCCTTGTTTTTACAGTTGTAGGAATACTAAAAATGTTGACTATAGAACTTGATACTATGTTTGAAAAAGCCTTCATACCTGTAACTGTGCATAAATCTAATTAACTGAATTCTCCTCCTCTTGACACTCTGAACACTGCTGCTGCTAATGTTAGAAATATTTAGCACAAAACTACAACTACCTACAACAAACTTTACAATAAAAATGTTAAATTTCCGCTGTTCAATTAAAATACCCTATCTTATGTTTTCTTTTCCTCCAAATAATCTTCTTGTCAAGTAAGGACCAATCTTATTTGACATATTTCTGGTACACTTGAACTTGTGCTTTCATGGACACTATAAGAGTGCACTGTTTTACAGAAGCACGAACATTGATTCGAAGCATCTTCTTCCTCCACACGTAATAAAAACATCCTCTTTAAATGGCCACATCATACACTTATTTTTGACGATTCCCAATTACAATCACGATTTTTACAAATCGCCTTTAGGAAAACTAAAAATAAACAGTTTTGGATCATCTGTAAACACGATTATGTTGTATGAACTTACACATGAAAACTAATCATTTTTCCCGGCGTATTAGCTTTCTTAGAATGACTATGACAATATACAACAACCCTTTTTTGAATTAGTGTTTAAAATAATTGAGATAATAATAAATTTTAACTAGATAACAACACAAACGAAAAAAAAACAAAACAAACAGATGTCAATTAAAGAGGGGAAGTGACAGCGAGACCTGGAAGATGTCTGCCATCTTGCCGTCGACAAAAATTTGGATGCGCACTCGTCGAAGCTCATTCTCCCACTTCCATATCTCTGAGCTGAACGCATGATGTACGCCTTTCCCTAGAACTTTAAGTACTGACAGAGGTACTGATTGGGTCGACCAGTCGACTGCGACAAATGTGCTATATAATAATAATAATAATAAATTGTCTTTATTTCCTAAATGGGCGAAGTCTGGCTAAATAGCCACTCCACTTAACCCATAATCACCCTATATCCCCTAACACGTCTCTTAGCAATGTGCACAGTTTCTCGGTTTATTACATACGTTTGGCAAGTGTTTTTTACTGTTCTCTCTTTATTCAGTACATCATAAACGCATTGTACTCTTCTTTCACACGGAAATATCGACCCAAGACTAACCTTTGCCAGCCCTTAGTGTAATTGTTATATATTATTGGATAAAAGGAGAAGTTTTAAGACAGCAGTTGTTGGAATTACTTCTGAAATTACTCAATCCGTGCACCCCAAAAGTTTTGGTATCTCCTCAAAAGGTTTTAACAAAATTCCTCAGAATTTTATTTTAAGTCTATGGGTCTAAGTAATTCAGGGGTGCAACCTTTGAATAAGAAGACTAAGGAAGGAGCATATCAAAAATCTTAGGTCCACCGCGATGGGCCTCAAATATGGCCGACTTAATTTCCGGTTTATCAGTGCCGTTCTAATTTTATTTAAAAAATGTAAAACTATGATGTAGGGTAGACGTGGGGTAGACTCAATAATTTTGTTTTTATTTTACGTTGTGAATAAATGTTGGTAGTTATTAAAATTCTTATAAAATATAAAATTCTAATAAAAACAGATAAGTTATAATAATTATTTATAACCATAAACATCCGATACGCTACTGAAGCAGGTAAGTCAAATTGACGTATCTAAATTCTTTGACATCTAATCTTTGACAAGTAGTAAATAAAAGCAAAAATGCAAGAAAAAATATATAATTAGTTAATTTAAGTGAATTTCATAAACGATCGGTTTACTACACGTATGTATATTATATAGTCACCTACTAGCGAAAAGTTGTTCCATTATTTCACTCGATTTTTGCCGAGATCTACCGCACGCTACACAACCAACTATTTTAGAGTCATTTTTAATAAATCGCGATAGTGTCACTGTTAATTTAAGTTCTGCCACAATTTCCATCTAGATTTACTACCTTTATACAACTATTAGTAGTAGAATAAATAAATAACATAAAATAAGCTCCGTAAAGACTAACAAATCCACAAAATTTCAAATCAAATTCAATTGTGAAATGAATCGTCAAACAGAACTGTCAAGGATCCCCACCCTAGAGTCCTTTTTCCGCCCACCATGCATAAATACATGGATAGCATTATGCTCCTTCCTTAGTCTTCTTGTTCAAAGGGTGCAACTTTGTTCAATTTAGCAACCGATCGTTTAGAAGCGATGTCGAAGCCAGATCGGTACTATGTTCATTGCAAAACTATTGTCGCTCAAATGCTGCGAAATATGATATCACTATCATACTCTTGCACACGTGTGCGACACGGTCTAAGCTATGTCTAGGCAGTCGCCTCGACACAAAGCGAGAAATCAGAATATCGCTACGAATCGATGTTGCTATTGAACATAGTAGCTACAAATTACTTTACTATCGCTTTGAAACATGAACAAAGTTGCACTCCAGGGACAGAAATTGAAACAACATAAGAAATTAATCAAATAAGCCGAAATCGCTGCACTGTTACATTAATAAATATTGGAATACGACGGATTGGCCCCGATATGGAACCTGATCCGGCCGGAATACCGACATCCGGTCCGGCTAGCAGCCATACTTTCTGTTCTGGCCGGATCGGCACAATACCCGATCCGGTACATCTCTACTGTGTATTGATGTGGTGTAGTAATTTTTTTGCTAACGTTATATTTTTTTTCCAGATCTGTCGTAAATTGTAACAATCACATCAGAGTAGCGCTGTGCTCTACGTTAGATTTATATAATATACAGTCATTTATACATATACAACATAATACGGATGAAACAGTTGCATTTCAAGATGCCTTAGAATATAATTATTCAATACCTGGCGTTTTGTATATACCCCACTGTCTTTATTTTGTAACTCTAATAGGAATTGACATATAATATATTTGTTATTTCTTGTAAATATCGTTTCTTTATTACTTCTTTCTCTGATAATGGCGCTACAAAAATATTTAGATGTTAAGATTTTTTCAGTGATTGAGAAAATGTAATACGATTTTAAAATATACAGTATGATTAAGAAAAGGCTTGATTGATTAATACTGGATAAGGTGTGGTAAGGCCACATTTGAAATTTGATTTGATATGACTGATTTTTTCTAGATATTTTCTTGAGTGTATTGTATATTTACAAACAACAAATCGTTGATATTTTTTCTATAAATTGTTTAACATAGGACGGTAATATTAAATATTAATTTTTTCTTACTTTTAAAGAGGTGATTTAAAAAAGAACATTAGGTAGGTAGGTATGTCACTTTTATATTAACTAGTTATAATATTTGTAATTCTTTTCTGAACTGAAATTTTATATGTGAATTTTTTAAATTTCCTCACAATAATTGCCATAGATTAAGATGGCTTTTGAACTTTTTTATTTATTTAAATATTGTTTCACTGCTCGATGATAGTTTTGTTTCAATGATTGTTAATAGTATTATAAAACCATTTACCAATCATATTAGAATTTAACTGCATAAAAATGCTATTTTTTCTTTTAGTTTACAAATCTATAATTAGTATGTATCTTAGTCCCTAGATATTGAGCATTCAGTTTTTTCTAGTTTTTAAGTTGTTCACTATTATTATTGCAATAATTTAAAGAATTTTATATTCAGGTACCAATTGAGTCTAGGTACATATTTTTATTTCATATTTAATTGATATTGTTAATAAAATTGTTAAAATTCATAAATTATTGCTATAATCGCTTTAATTTTTATTTATTTACTTATATATAAATGCATATAACCTTTATTATCGTACTCTCTTCATTGGAAGTGAACTTTAATTTTCTAAATAAGATTTTTTGATCGAGAAATAATTAACAAAAAAACTATCACAAATTTGGTTACTCAGAGTATGTATGTGTAACGAAATTGTTGATATTTTTCTGTAAATACATAAAATTAACTATCTTGAAATGAAAAAGGTAAATTTTTATAGTTTAGTTACTTATGTTAGTTAATAAACAAGGGCTATTCATTTTAATTGTCTTATTTATGTTCCTATATATCTTTCTTTAAATCAGATTCTCTTTCTGATTTTTTTTCATGATCAACTCTTGAAACGATAAAATACAAAACTTTTGTGATTATTCTACTAGTAAAAAACCAAATAAATTCGGGACGCTCATATATAACAGTAATTATTTTAAAATTGTAAATCGATTTTTGAGCAAAAAATCGATTTTTAATTTTCGGTGTGCGGTACCGTTTAAAAAAGATTCCCAAGCTCATAATTTCACCGAAACTTGAATGAGGAATTAAAAAAAAATAGTTTCATATTTTCACGGTTATCGTAACATGGTTAAAGATTAAAATTAAGAATAAAACCTCGTTTTTTTAGGTTCCTGCGGACGGATATTGTTCTTATTTTTTTTTCGAAAAGCTACCATCATGCTCCAAAACATATCCGGTCGCTAGATTATTCGATACATAAGACGCTGAGAATAACATTTTTTACTGATTTTCAGTATTTTTTTTCGATTTATTCAGACAGGGTTATAGATAAAAATATTTCCTGAAGTTATGAGCCCAATTCCTTTCTGGGACCGATTCGGTATTCTTGTCGTCCCAGGGCCTTTGTCCTGAATGAATTTAATTATAATAGTTATTAATTACAGACAAGGCTAAAATATTTGAAAATTATAAGTATATATTGAGAAAAACAAATGTTTTATTGCCTCGAGATCATATTTGCTATGTGAATCAGTGCTAACAGAATACATCTGAGCTGCAGGCGATTTTTCGTAGATATTTTATTTAATTTATACAGTGTGTTTCAAAAAACATGTGCAATCTTTCGTAGGGATTGCCACGTTTTCATTTTGTCTATTTCGATTTCCTTGATGAGATAAACTCAATTTTATCCAATCACAATAAACTTAAAATGAAAATAAAATTAATAAATTATTTATTTTATCTAATTTATTATGAAATCATATTAGTTATTATTACTATTAATCCAAAATATAGTAAATTCAAATAAAAAAATAATGGTATTTAAAATAATTGAGGCTACCAGTGCAAAAGCGGCCTTAGTGTGGGTTTACATGCATCCGTAATGCGTCGTCCGTCGTTGATTTTATGTAATTTTATTGTTTTTTTTTTCAAAAATCACAGCTCATACTTGAATATGATTGGACTAACGGAACGACGGACGACGCATTACGGATGCATATAAACTCACCTTACAGCGCTTTCATGGAGCGGACCATCCGTCGTGTTTTTTCAAGATAGCCGTCTGACGAATTCCGTCGGAAAAATTCTCCTAAAAAAATACAGGGCGAATTTGTGATGCGCAGTAGTGAAGAGACGTTGAATACAGATATTATACGCAGTAGTGAACGCAAGGTAGTACCGGCAGCCAGACGGTCCGCACTTTGTTGAGGAGAGCATAGTAAAAGATAGAAAGTGACTCCGCTGACGGCTCCGGTTCCATTGGCGGCGGAAAGTAACGCCTGGCTATAGTCAGTTTTGCAAGGGCAGCTGTGGCTCCTGTGTTTTTACAACGGTTTCATTCTTTTTGGTTGGATTGGTTTAGTTATTTGGCGGGTTGGTTAGCGTGGTTATTTGTAGGGTTTTAATTCATTGGTTAGTTGGTTATTTGGTGGGGTTGGTTGGTTTTTACTAATTTATATTTGTTTTTTATATTTTTTTTATCTGTGTCTAGATTAGTTGCGTTGGTTATTTGGTGGGGTGGATAGCGTTGGTTAGTCCTTATAAAATTCATATATTTAATAAGGACTAACCAACGCTTTCCGCCGACATGAACGACGTCACAATATCTATTAACGGGATTTTAGTAGGCTACCGTTTAACGGCTGTTTAAGTACATCGTTTTTAAAATCTGTGTTTAAAATCAAGTAAACAATTTTTCAAATTAGGTTAAAAGTTAATCCTCAAATTTAACAATCAAATCTTTTGACTTTTTATGTCAAATAATTAAAAATTGAGTTATTAGAAAAATATGCGATTTCGCAATTCATCTTTTGATATACTGTAAAATCGACAATGAAAAAGGTACAGAAGAAAAAAAGCAAAAACATCGCTTCAGAAAAACCAAATTTGATAGGCTTTCATAAGTTCGATGTAAATCCGCGCATAAAGAAGGAAATAATACAATTATTTAAAACAAACAAGAAAAAAGAATCCTCAGATTATAAAGACAAATTGCCAGTATGGAAGAATTTTGAAGAACCTAGCGATTTTGAAAGAGGAGTCAAAATGCTAGCGTATTGTATGGATATACAGGTGGATCGTTTCTTCTAAAATAAAGAATTTTTGTATTATTTTATTTGAATTTTGAAAAATGTAAAAAATAAAACAAAATTTGGTGAGTCTTGTATATTATTGTATTATTCTAGTTTAAAAACTAAAAACTAAGCTTAACAGTCTCATTTTAATTAAAATACTACCTACTACAATGTTATATTTAATCATATTCCCTAGAACTACAATTTAATCTTACTGATATAGTCTTAACTTTTAAAATTTTATAATATATTTACACAATAATATGTATAATCCTGTCATTAGTTTGTACTGGGGGGGTCTTCATAGTACTTCTCTCCGTACCAGTCTTTATGATCATTCAGAAAACTGAAAATGATAAATAACTTTATAGTATTGTAGCACGGCATATAAATCACACGCAGGCTAAAGGCTGATTCATGGTACACCGGGCCGTACCCGAGCCGGGCACGTTCCGTAAAGTAGACACCGAGCCACGTCCGGGCCTTCAATATATGCTACACCGAGTGGACAACGGGGATCATGTCCGTGCCGATTATATTCTAGAAAACAGTGTTGCCGCAGTGGTACATTTGTACCAAATTTGATACTTTTAATTCTATTTGGTACAGTGGTACTACATTTTTAAATCCAGGATGATTTGGTACAATAATTATTTTCCACGCGCACCGAAAATGAATAGATATTTAATAATTATTGTCGTTGATATTGCATTAAACGCGCTTACCGATACCATTCGGAGAAAATCCGCATTAATTAACGACGTATTATAAACGTTGTAATGTCCATAGCGTTGCCTATATTAAATAACCCGAAAAAAAAACTTGAAAATTTACTGTTTCTAACATGCTTCTATATTTGCGTTTTTTTTTAATAAAATTTAAGTTTTCCAAGTATTGTGTGTAGTATTAGAATTACTTAGATTTCTTCAACCTATACATACTTATAATTGGGTTTTCTGAATTTCTATTTCATGTTTTTCGTCTCGATTTGTGTCTTTCTCCAGGAAGTTTTTTTATGTAGAAATTTATGAAGAAATTCACAGCGACCAAACCGGTTAAAGTCATATGCAGATGTATTTTGTTGTGCTTTAAAAAATTGTACCAAAGTGGTACATTTTTAGTTTATAATGTGGTACGCGCTAAAAGTTGGGTGCGGCAACACTGCTAGAAAACAGTCGCTATAGGCCCGTAGACGAACGAAGTATTTAGCCCGGGCGACTCATTTATGTTTGCCGCAACGGGGCCGGACCGTAGCGGATCCGAGGAAAAATGTACACCGACATTTCTCGGACGGGGCACGGACGCGTTCCGGCAAAGCTCGGCCCGTGCTCGGCTTAGCATGAATGCATAAGTATATATAACATTTGACAATGTTTGGCCGTGCCTTCACCGTCGCACGGCCCCGGCCCGTCACGGTGTACCATGAATCAGCCTTAACTCTGCCCAGGTCCCATTGTTTTAAATTTCTAGAAAATTTGACCTTGAAAACACCATTATGGGTGCCGAGTCAGGGCCGGATTAAAACGTATCAAAAAATTTCCCAGAAAATAAACTAATGATAGACAGGGTTGTATTAAAAAAAATACTGTAATTGACTGAAACTGAATTTTATTTACACCAATACTTTTATCTAAACAAATGAATCGTTAACCGCGCATACTCCTCGAAAAGTAACAATGAAAAAATCAATTAAACATTTAACTGTAGAGAATAAACAATTAAAATTAAAAAACATGCCAGGAGTTACAAACAAGAATTAAAGAAATACCCAATAAAATATCTATTGAACAATGTAAACAGGCTACGTACAAATTATGTCCATCAATGGACATAGCAAATTTTGTTAACATTCATCATAATATAATAATAATATCATCAAGTGCAATTTATTTTATAATAGTGGTCGTGATAATATTGTAGGTTTTGAGGACCAGAAGGGGAACAGAGAGTTTAAACCAGCTCGGGTGTCTAATGTTGTTATTGTAAGAGGTATCTCTACCAATGGAAAGCAGTTCCTAGCTTATTTTACAAAGCTTTTATTTAACTTGCTTTGTATGTATGTTTGTTCGGGGCAAATCTTTAGAAGCACTTCCTTTCATTGTAGGAAATTGAATTTTGGCATGTATGTTTTTGGTTCAGTCCCAATGACAATACATTTTCTTGCAAAGCATGACCCGAATTTTTGACAGCTGTCAAAAAAATTTCGAAGTTGTCCGATTTTGATAAAAATCGATATATAGGATGGCCATGGGCAAAAATGAAAGAAAAAAAAATTTCAAAGTTGTCCGATTTTGATAAAAATCGATATATTGGATGCTCCCTACCCCATAGTCGGTTTTCATTTTATTTGTCTCACATTTCAACTGTCAAATTTGACAGCTGTCGTTTTTTTTAAGTTCTCCTTTTTTAATGAAAATCGATATACATATTATTAGGATGCCCATAGGAAGTTATTTAAGAAAAAGAATTGAGTTTAAGTGTGTGGCACTGAGAAACCAGCATAACTAAAAAGTAAAAAATAAATTTAAGAAAAAAAACTTTTTAAAAGAAGGTTTTATTTAAGTACATTAAAAAGAAAAAAAATAAACTTTTATTATGGACTTATAACGTCATTACAGAATTTTATATTATATAAAAGCTTGTCGCGAGATTTGAGTGTACAGTTGCACTCATAAAAATCTGGTACAACTTTATCTTGTAATTCCAATATCTTGTAAACCTATCATTATTCCCATCCAGGATAAATTCATCCAGTTTAGAAGAACATTTAAAAAACTTTGTGTCCGAATATTACACACGGGTACTGAAAATTGCCAAAATGATCTGGCAAACATCTTATTAAAAACGGCAGACCTTATTGTTTACGTCGGAATCCGTAACATTATTATAAAAAAACGAGACCTCTGTTCTTTTCTCTCTGAATTGTCATGAGCTATCCGTAAAATTAAAAATAGATACGGATAATCAGAAAAACAGTAATTTAGAAATGAATCTTGTTTGTCATTTTGCAGGATACCTAATAATAAAAATTACTTTGAATGCCGTAGGCAATGATTGAGTATTAAAACTAAAAGAATTTCGGACTTCCATTGTACTACTAAACTACAAAAACCAAATATATCACACACAATAAACAAAAATAAAAAAAAACAAAATATATCACTCAAGAAAAGAATGAAATAAATTAAGCCGCACGCTACTGACTCAACGCTGCCGTAACTGTACGTTCTCGATGACAAAGACTACGACTGACTACGACACTGGTTAATTTCTGTTGCTGGCACCCATAATGGCGGCGTGCGCTAGGATATGCGCGTAGCGTTCCCGCCAAAGCGAGTTGGCCTGCCCTGTGATTTATATGCCGTGATTGTAGTTTATACTCTGTTTTTTTTCTCAGGTAAGATTTCGACAGACGATGACAGAAGAAAAGCAGATGACGTCCCATACCAATCTATTTATTTTACCAAAAAAATTTCTAATAATTTTTAAGTTATCTATGGATGGGTTTAAATATAAATCCGTCATACGTCGTGTCTTGTTGTTTTAACCAGTTTTATTGGTTTATTTAAAAAATGACAGATCGTATTTCAATTTTATTGGTTTGACGGAACGATGAACGACAAACGGACGCCGATGCGTATGAACTCGCCTTTAGATTTTTGTCATTTTTGACGCTTGTCAAAGTCTTGCCAAATTATAGGTTAGAATCACGGTGCAAAAACTTAAATGGCAGGATTTGGAACAAGAATTGCCAAATCCCGCTGTCAGAGGGCGCCACTGTCGATTTAAAAATACATGGGCGGAGTAAGAGGGAAGGAAAAGTTTCTTCCCGCCACCCGTCTCATCGTAATATTTCGTCATTTTTTTTGGGCAGCCATCAGTGCCTAACTTTTTCTGGAGCTGAGAGGTATGTGTTTTGTGGCTGTGAGTGTCGTAGTGTTCATTCCCAAAGTAAAGACGTTTTATGTTGTGTGCCCGGCCTTTTATAGTGTATTATTTTAAATTAAGAACTTTTATTTTGTGTATCCATTTAGAGTGAATTATTCTTTATATGTAAGTACCTAGAAATTAGTTTATAATAATATAACCTGCTCGATAAAAGCTAGGTTAGGTTAAGTTAATTGTACCTTGGAAATGGCTATCGATGGAAGATTGATATTCATTAATTGGTTAGATTTACTAATATAATTTACATTTTGAATGCCATCAATTGTCATTCCTAAGGTAGCTTGATGCAGCTTTTCGTAATCGTATGGTACAATATGATCGAAAAAAAACGGCGTCACCGTTGGCTATGAAATGAATATCGCTGTCATTCTCTCTCTATATGTAAAATTTTATGAGGAATGTCATCGACCGCGTCATTTCCAAGCCAACTTGACTCCGTTTTTTCGATCATACGGTATTACTTTAGTATTACCATGTACCTAGGTATAGAAATTTAGAAAACAAAAAAAATACAAAAAGAGTTGTATATATTTTATCCGAGCAATAATTGTAATGTTTAATTTTTAGTTGCCTATAAATTTAATGAGCCGCACTTGTATTGTAAAATTTCGAAATCTACAAAAAAATTAAAAAATAAATAAAAATTTATAACAAAAAATAAATGATTTTTATTATAAACTTCCTTGTCATATCTGGTATATAATCAATTCACATGTGTTATTAATCATACACCTATTATTAAGTTAAATCTGATAGTACTTTTTGATTTTGGTATAGAAAATATTGTAATGTGATTTTTACCGCATGTGTATTGTTTAACGATTATAGGCTAGATATTTGTTTGGCAAGTATATTAAATCAAACATCTTTTACAACATATTTTTTAAAAAATATATTGTATAAGATGTTTATTTAACTTTACTTGAAACAAAATATCTGGTATAAAATCATCCTAGTTTAAATATTGTATGATCGAAGAATACGGCTTCAAGTTAACTTAGAAATGACTATTGATGACATTAACCATATAACTTTACAAAGAAAATGTTATCGATCGTCATTTTTAAGTTAACTTGGAATCGTTATTTTTCGAACATACGGTATATTAAATTAATTAGGTGTAATATAATACTATAGATGGCGCTGCCAAAATTGCTTTGAATGCAATGTAGATTTCTTTTTAAAATTTAATTGCAGATTTCTTTTTTTTAATTTAATTTGTAGTTCTAAATCCGTGCCATAGATGGCGTATCAAAATGTTGTCCTAATTTTTTGTACGGAAGATTTCGTTCTGTTTTAATCTGTTCTGTGGTTAAATTTTGTGTCAACTTTTGTTAAATACCCTGCGTTTTGGAAGATGCTGCATTTTGATTCGTATTATTACGTGTGTTTTGTGTCTTTTGAAGTCAAGTGGAGGAAAAATCGAGTGAAAATTAACTGTAGACCCAGAGCACAGTTTATGGTTTATACTCGCTGCCCAGGCAGAAAGTTTTATACACCAATGAGGTTGCCATCGATAAAGTTTGTATACCATTTCGTCGTAGATAAGTGCATCTCGTATATGGTAGAAGGATCAAACTAAACACATACTAAAAACTGGAGTAGCTGTAAAATATCGACATCACACGATAGGTAAATAATGGATTTTAGTACTGCAGAAAAATAATGTCAAAAGGTACTGGTTTAAAAAAATTAAGATTAAAGTTAATTAATCCACCTTTAAGGTATAAAATTTGGTAGGTGTTATTATTAATAAAATAGTTTGTTTTATTTACCTATGTTGTTTTATTTATTCCTGTGGAATATTACAAATTTGTATTTGTACATAAGTTATATTGATAAATATAATCATAAATGCGGTAGTTTCATAAAGCTTGAAAGTAAATAATAGTTCTTTTTATATTTTTTGGTATGTAGTGTCTTGTTCTTGTTTGTTTTGTATTAACACATACCGTTTTTATTAAATAAAATAACTCGATTACATTTTTTCAGTTTTATACAGTTTTTTTCACAATATTTTGAAGTAATCACTTGTCATCTTGTCAATCAAATTTTAAATATATCCTGCCATGCGTTCCAGTTGTACCAACTTATTTCTTTGTAAAATAAAATAAACTACTTTGAAATTAAAATGACAGACACATCTATCACTGTCAAGGATCTTCTCGTTGGACAGACTATAGGCTTTCGCGGCCATCGTTTGAAGAAATTTGTTTTTTCGGGTTTTTAGGCCGTCGTCGGTTAGAATTGCTTATTTTATAGTAATTATAATATAGTAACAGAAAATCTTAGCTAAAATAAGTGGAAATATTTTTCAGGGTTGGTAGATCTCTCTCGATAAAAAACATATTTATAACAAATGGGAAAAAATATGATTGAGTGAACAAAGTTTATATGGAATCAGTTCAGAACACTCAATAACAATTTTGATAAAGGTTAACAAAAAGTGGGGCCTAGGTACAATGCAAAATATCCGATAATATCCAAATTAAAATTAATATTAAAAAAAAATGTTTTTTTTTATCATTTTGAAATTAGAAACCTTTCACTACGACTCTCATACTACTTAAAAATATAGTATAGTAAACGCCACGAATGTTTGAAAGTGATTCATCAGTCGCTACCATGTGAACTAATCTGTTCAAGGTCACATAAAACTTAATTCCAGTGCCGTGATGTTTCAAGTCATATAATAATCAATATATAATCTGTTGTAATTTGTTGTTTTAACTGTCAAAGTCTTGTCAAAACATATATTTGGTTCACAAAACATCCCCCTTTAGAACTTTTTCTTTAATGGCCATAAGCGGGAGTAAAAGCCCAACCGCCCGAACAAACACTAGAGGCGCCACCGGTCATCAAATGGTGTAAAAATTACGAAAATTTAATCATCTAATTTTGACACAAGGGATCGCGCTTAACTTTTTCAATTTTAATTCAATATTCATTGTTTTCAAACTATATTATTAGACTTTGTAGTATTTTGTGAATGTATAAATGTTTTCTTAGTATAAAGTTGCATAATAGTAATTTAAATTATATTACATACATATTTAAGATTCAAATATTATGACATATATGTCAGTTGCCGTCTAAAATATCATCTTGATATCAAAAAGTTAGTTATTGTCAAAAGTAGTTAAAATCATGTTAAAATATTAAAATTTACAAGTTATAATTAGATATTTTACATTATTTCAACAACAAACACATGATAGTACAGCGTAATGTTGATATGCAGGTCCAAAACAAAAAGTGCCGTTATATTTTTCAGTTTTCGTTGTCAGCCGCGGAAGTTTCAGTAATTTTAGTGTTGTCGGATATTTTTAATTGTGAAATAGAAATATTGCGTTTGGATTGCAAATCTAAAAGTGGAAGTTTTATTGCAATGTAAGTAAGCGTTTGTCCATTTTATATTTTACTTTTTTCATACCTACGACAAATATACATATATTGAAATTTTATAATTCGTTTTATTTAAAAAAATGTTAGAAAACAAGCTTGTAATCCTGTAATTGACATAATTGTTATGTAATATATTCCATTTAAATGTAATATATTACTTTACAATTAAAAAAATGTAAATTTAAAAAATATATTAAAAATATATACAGGCATTAATTGAAATTTTTAAGTGCGAACAAACACGAGAGGCGCTTTATTATTTACTTTCATTTCTTAACATGACAGATGAAGTTCTAAAGGGGGATGTTTTGTGATTTGGTTATAAATATAAACTGGAATGCCCCATTGGTCGCACTGCAAGCACACCAATGGACTGGCGCACAAAAACGAATCAATCAAAGAAACGCGATATAGTATCGTCTTTGTCATTCACGCTAACATTTTAGAATAAGTAGGAGGAGCGCAGGCAGATGATTAGACCGGGCCTTTAAAAACCTACGTCTGCGGTAAAAATTTACGTTTTTAATGTAAAAATGATAGCACGCGTGTCTATTCTAACTTCATTAAGCCATGAATCACTCCCAAACATTCGTGGCGTTTACTATATCAGAATTATAATCGTTATAACCGTTATCAGAATGATAATATAACCACTTACTCGATAATACAATCCACATGTCTCAAAATAATTTTCATTTTTGCTTCTGGAATACTGGAAGCAGTGAATAGCTCAGGTAACTTAACAAATAACCTTGTAAAATGAATAGCTCCATATGCCAAACATGGCGGTGGAGGTTGCTGACTGTACACATGTTCGGGCAATAAGCGCCACGATAGAGCTTTTGCCAGCGGACCATTTATATCAGAATTACTGCTTCCTACACTAAAAAAATACTTATTTTATTAAATACAGGCAAAAGATCGAAGAGCGAAAGTCATCTTCATACCCAAAATAGGCAAAACTGACTGGGCTAACCCCAAATCATTTAGGCCTATTAGTCTCACATCGTTCATATTAAAAACGATGGAGAAAGTAGTGGACAACCATATTAGAGTAAATCATCTACAGGTTAAACCACTGCACAATAGTCAGCATGCGTATAGAGCGGGCAGATCCATAGAAACTGCTCTGTACCAGTTAACTGAGCTAATACAGGCAAGCCTGGATAGCAAAGAAACAGCACTTTGTGCCTTCTTGGACATTGCAGGGGCGTTTGACAATATACCTCACAAGGTGGTCAAGCGATCTCTTGAAACAAGAGGGGTGAACAGTACGATAATTCGCTGGTTTTGGGAAATGGTATAAAAAAAAAATAGGTACCAAAACTGTAGTTGTTAAAACAACGCAAGGAACTCCACAAGGTGGAGTGACCTCCCCCCTACTGTGGAGCTTGGTAGTGGATGAACTACTGGAAGAATTAACTCTAGCGGGAATACACTGCATAGGGTACGCAGCTGACATAGTCATCATTGCACGGGGGAAACATGAAGGCACCCTGTGTGATATTATCCAAAGAGGACTCCGCAACGCTGAGAGATGGTGCAGGACTGTTGGGCTGAGTATTAACTCAGATAAAACCGCAGTAGTGCCATTCACCAGAAAGCGAAGTTTGAAAAACTTGAAAAGAATCCATCTAGATGGAAAGGAAACACTGCCATCACAGGAAGTGAAATATCTGGGAATAACCCTGGATAGTAAACTTCTCTGGAACAGGCATATTAAGAACATTACCAGCAAAGCCACAAAGGCTCTCATGATATGCAGAAGACTGGCGGGAAATAGGGTGGCTGCGCCCCTAACATTTTGCGCTGGATGTATACCATGATAGTAAGACCCATGATTACTTATGGAGCAGTTGCTTGGTATACAAAACTAGAGCAACGTACAGCAAGGCAAAACCTGTGCAAAGTACAGAGACTGGCATGTATCTGCATCACAGGTGCCATGAGAACATGTCCAACAGCAGCAATGGAGGTCATTCTAGACCTAACACCACTGCACATTGTCGTCGGTAGTTATGACAATGATTAGAATGGTTACTGACGGAAACAGTACTGGGAGAATTTTCAGGTCAGGGGCTTGGAACACCCTCAAAAAGAAAATTCCACTTCTCCAACTCCCAGTGGATGACATACCAAGAATTTACAACTTTGAGAAACACCTCACTGTAGTATTGAGTAATAAAAAGGATTGGAAGAAAAAAACGCTTACTCAGCATATAAAAGACCATACCATCACGTGGTATACTGATGCTTCCAAAACCAAAGCAGGGACAGGCATAGGAGTATTTGGGCCGAAAACTGAATACTCCGAACCAATGGGCACCTACCCCAGTATCCTTCAGGCAGAAATTTGCGCCATCGAAAGATGTGTACAATTTATCTTAGATAGGAACTATCGGAAACAGGAAATTGCCATCCTATCCGATAGTCAAGCAGCACTTAACGCGATCAACTCAGTAACCATCAATTCGAAGTTGGTCAAAGAATGCCTAGAGAAGCTCAACAAATTAGGCAAAGAAAATAAAGTCCTCCTACTCTGGGTGCCAGCACACCAAGGGATAGAAGGCAATGAAAAAGCAAATGATCTAGCTAGAAAAGGAGCGAACACTCCACTAACTGGACCAGAACCGTTCTGTTTTCCAAACGGGAACCAACTGAAAGCGGAACTGAAGAATCTGGAAGACTCCATCCGTAACTTGGAATGGGTGTCCTCCAACGGTCTAAGACACTCGAAAAAGTTCCTTAGAACTTATGACCGAGAAAAAATCAAAGGTTTTCCTTGATTTAAGTAAAAACAATCTTCGGATTGTCACGGGGTTTCTAACAGGACACTGTCTCCTCAACGAACACCTCAGTAGGCTGAAACTGAGAAACAACGGCGAATGCAGATTTTGTGGGGAAAATGGGGAAACACCAGAACACCTTATCACTGAGTGCGCCGAGACGACGACCATTCGTGCCATGAACCTTGGTACGTCTGATGTCGAGGATGGAGAGCTGGCCTCTGTGGAGCCGTCTCAGATACTGGCTTTTCTTAAAGCCCTGAGACTGTATGATGAGTTATAACTCGTTATAACTCAAGAAAGGGGAACACACAATAGATCTATAAGGTCGCGGTGATTAACTCCCCTCCTAAACATTCTACATTCTACAAGGCAAAAGATTCACAAATTTCCAAATACCTGGAGCATGGCTTTGAATAGTTTGTTCCATTGGTTTCTTCAACAGTTGAATTCCCATTTGTTTGTGGTTCGTTCTTGTTCGATCTCAATGTTCTTCTTCGAGCATTAACTGAAGAAGCATCGCCTACACCATTTTGATTTACCTGATCACTATTTTGTATGTTGTTTGAATTGTTTTCTGTACTATTGCTATTTGATTCATTTTTAACTCTAAAATTTTTTTACATAATATACTGGTCAGTAGTATTTTACAGGGTGATTACTTGGGTACTCTTGATTTAGGAACACTTACTCCAATTTTACTTCTGATGATCCCGGTGGTTGAATTACAGCTGTAGCTGTGACAAACTGTCCAGCATCTTTTTCTGCTCCATATAACAGTAGATCATTCAAGGTAAAATCAAAATATATTCTCAAACCATCTACCACTTCTCTACAAAGAGCTAGACTACAAAAAAGAGAGATAATAAAGTACAAAGAACATCTAACCTAAAAACTTTACTTTTTTTGTATGTCTTCTGTTTTAGGCTTAGAATCTTTATAAAAATTATTTCTGCAGCGATAATTTTGTTTTTCTTGAAGTCCACATATTTGATTAGTTGCATAATGTTTATAGTATGATTCCAAAATAAAAACTACATTTGGTTCTGCTGGTAACTTAACTCGCTGTAAAGAAAAACAACAAGAAATAAGCTAGTCATAGAAAAAGCTATGAAATAGATAAAGTCTATCCAGCAAAAGAACATATGATATCGAAGATCTTACTTTATTCTTGCCATTTATCAAGTAATAATCTTCTTCTAAGATCGCCCTAAGTTCTGGGATAATATCAATTTCAATACTTTCATCGTCTATAGAAGAATTTTCATCTGAACTCGTACTCATTTCGTGATCATCAGTATCAATTTGTGTGGGGCTTCCTGAACTACCTTCCTCAGATGATCCTGCTGTTCTATCTCCACTTTTTTGATTATGTTTCTTCCTTTCTTTTCTATAAAGATAAGCCCCTCTGAAAAAAAATAATAAAAAAATAAGTCTTACTAACTCTGATAACACAAAATGGTGTTTATATTCACAATAGAAGAATGGCTTACAACTGCAATTGCGCCTTTTCTGCTAAATCTTTCTGTAGTTGTCGATTCTCAGGTGTATCTTTTAAAACATACTCTTCTTTGACACATCTATCCCATGAAGAATTCCAGCCCTAAAAAAGTGTACATAAAAACGATATTTATATCAGGCAAACAAAAAAAAATAACCTGGAAATGAATCAAATATTCTACAACTTTTTTTCCTGCTTGTTCTTTACGAATAACAATATCTAACACCTAAAATATACAAGTATTAAAAATTCAAGAAAATAGAGGCACTCAAAAATTAACCTTAGAGTCGTACAATACTTTAGCTTTTGTCGGATCTGGTTCATAGCATAGCACTCTTTCTCCGATAAAAAACTTTAGTTTGATTCCTCTGGTTGAAACCATTTTTTGAGTATTTGCGATTTTTATAAACACATATTCGCTTGTTTTATTTGTGTTCCACCATTGTTCCCTCTTCTCTTCTCTTGTCTCTGGCTCTTGTCTTGTTCCACTAAAAAACATGACCACAGACCATAAAGAAATATAACCACAGACTAACCTAAATAAAAATAATTAAAAAAATTAGTTTGTGGTTGGTTTGTGGCATGATCAGAGATAAGGCATATCAGTTATTGGTTGTCTATGGTAAACTAATAAAAATAACAGCCTAGTCCGCCTAGGTGCCGCCTAGTCTCTGGCTATATCACTGGCCTAGTTAATTATAATTAATTTTTGATAACAGCTAATGGATAACAGCTGATAAATTTTGAGTTAATTATTTTGACGATTTTATTTTAAATGCGAAAAAGGTGTTTTTAAAGTTTTTAGAGCTATAGAGTTTATAAATACGTTCATTTTGTGTTGTGGATTGTGACTAAGTGCCTACGATATTTTTATTAATTATTTTAAAGCAAAACATGGAAGTAGGTACTCTAAAAATAACGCCTGCAAAAGGTGAAGCTGGGAACTGCTGTTATTAAAAATGCATTATGCGAATATTGGGCGCATTCAGTAAACACACCAGTTAGTCCAACGGTGCAGAAAATTAAATTGAATGCCAGTGGTAACTCACCGGTTGATTCACTGATCACTTGAGAGCCTACCCAGTGCCTTCTATTAAAAGATCAGCCTGGGGGCGAGATTTATGACGTCACGCTAGTTAGATATAATGGATTAATAAATATGTTGTAGAATACATGGAAAACATAATTATTCCTCGGATTTTTGGTTTGTATTTTAAAAATGATATAGTTTAAATTAAATATACATAATATACAGTTAATAACTACAACATATATACCTATTTATAGTAATAAATACTTTGGCAAATAAACTATGAACCATACAAATGCAGCAAATGTTTTACAATGTACAAATAATGTATAGGTACATAAGATAATGGGTAAAATGTAAAAATATTTTAAATTTTGGGGTTTGAAAATCGATCTAGTTTAACAAAAAACATTTAATATCTACTAATAGTGATGTATTATTATTTGCATTCACAAAATTTATATGTATATTTTGCAAGTATCAATGTTCGAAAAATTATATTTACAAATAATACAATATTATCTAAAAAAGGCGTCAGCGATGGCTATGAAATGAAGATCGCTGGCATTTTATATGTTAAATTATTCTAAAATTTTTGATTTTCTTGGGATTTTTAGGTTCGGGAAAACGCTGATTAAGTTTTCATTTGGGTTTTCATTATTTTTATTTGGTATAAACGTTTCGGCTAACTATAGCCTTCACAGTGTTGTGTCATATGAGAAAAAATAGTGTCGAATATAATCCAAAAATTACATATACAATATAATTCACACCTCATAATGTTTACTGCAATTAATAAACTAATATAAACTTATCAAAAGATGACCACATATTTTTTAAAATTATTATTCTTAACACTAAAATTATCTACATTGACTATGGAGTACGCAGTAAACATTATGTGCGTGGTGTGAATATTTTATATGCAATTCTTTGGATTATATTCGACACTATTTTTTTCATATGACACAACACTGATGGAGGCTATAATGTTAGCCGAACCGTTTTTTTTTAAACCAAATAAAAATAATGAAAACCAAATGAAAAATCAATCAGCGTTTTTCCCGAACCTAAATTCCAAGAAAATCAAAAAATTTAGAATATTTAGAATCAAGGTTCAAGAATATCAAATTTTCCAAGATTGTAAAATTCTAGTTAATTATTTTATGTGTACAGTTATTTAGGGAATGTCATCGATGTTCATTTCAAGCCAACTAGACGCCGATTTTTTCGATGATACGGTATAATTCTTACGTAAAATGTAAATAACATTAGACCAATTAAAACAAAGAAATATGAATTTCTTAGTATTTTTAGTAACACCTTTATTCTTAAAACTTAATTTTGTATTATGCAAATATACCAATTTTATTGTTATTTTATTCATATTGTATTCAGCCATCACTTAAATATTTGATATTAATTTGGTATTATAAATAATCAATACTATTCATTAAAAATTACTGAACAAATATATGTTATGCTTAACATACATTATATATTATCAAACAAAAACACATTCTTCTCTTAAACTGTATCAGTCTTGTCTTTACAAAAATCTTTTTAAAATTTGAACTCAAAATAATAATCTTTTCATGATCTCTAATACACATATTCTTTATTTTTCCCTAGATCATAATACCTACTTACGTGTTTGAATCTATCGAAGCTGAACCAGCAACACTTGGAGTGGAGATTCCACAATATGAATAAAATAAACATAATTGTCCAGTTTTCATTAATACCATCATGGGAGAATATTATTTTTAAATTTATTAAAGATATTTTCAATAAAATTCTCTTGATTTATAACTCGTACCCACTTTTCTTGCTCTTCCGGACACTTTAGGCTGCCTAGTATAATAACTATCCTTTCCACCAGGAACACAACAAAGATGAGGCATAGCACCAAAAACACACTCCACTTAAGCTTTATTGATGAATTGTTAGAGTCTTAAAAACACACACAAAAATCACGATAAGTAAAAAAAATGTATGGGCACTTTTAGGTTAAATCACTTACACAACGTGTAATTTTTAAAATTTCTATTTTTTATGCGAAACCGAGAGTGACCATATATCTGGTAGTAGTTTATGTCACTTCAACACCAAAATAATTAGTTTTTTGCACTACAATAATAAATAATACAAAAAATCAAAGAGTTAAAACCAAAAATCAACCGACAAAATATGAAACGGAATCTAACCCAATATCTAAGTATGTACAGCTGATGAAGTAAACAAAAGTCCGCCCGCAGGCTGATCTTTTAATAGAAGGCACTGGCCTACCGTCAGGGTTCGGAAAACTACATGTTACATTTAAAAACTACATAAACTACATTACATGTAGTTAATGTAGTTTATGTAGAGGATGTAGTTTATGTAACCTATGTATGTAACTTTCAAATATCAAAGGTTTGAGGTGAGGTTATAATAAGTTGAAGCTTTAAAAACACATAATGTATTTCAGAAAACAAAAGAAATATAGCTTTAAATATAATATTTACATCATATTATCTCTATTACACCTTATACAAAGGAAAATTATTCAGAATATCAATACATAGTTTATTAATGTAGTTTTCATGTAGTTAATGAACGGGAAAAGCCGTAGTTTTTGAAGAAAAACTACACGTAGTTAATCAGGTAAATTACGTCTTAATTAACTACTTCCGAACCCTGCCTACCGTATTTTGTTTCCGGTTTATTTACGTACCGGTAACAGAGCCGGTAACTTGATTGTTCAATGAAAAGTTATCGGTAGGTCTTTACCTTGGGCTGCCTTGGGTCTTTACCGGTTAATATCGGCAATGACCGACAGCCGTCCCGAAAGGATTAAATAAAAAATAATAACTCTAAAATATCTGGGGTGCGTTTGCACCCCGCACTGATTTATGCAGGTTAATTATGAAATAAAAGACGAAAGTAGAATTGACAATTTTTTATTAAAAGGATATAATTTCAAAATTTTATGTTCAACAAAATTTTACATACAAAACAATCAGATCATTTTAACCCAGGTCCACACAAAAAGCAAGTAAAGCGATTTAGCGTGTAAAGTATTTAAAGCGCCTCTTTTGCGACTAAAACTTTGGACTAGAAACAAAATAACACGAATATATACGAGTGGTTCAAACCAAAAGAGTTCTAGTCGCAGAATACGATTTAAACGCTATTCACCTATTCACGCTAAAACTTAGTATACTCTGTTTTTTTTCTCAGGTAAGATTTCGACAGACGATGACAGAAGAAAAGCAGATGACGTCCTATACCAATCTATTTATTTTACTAAAAAAAGTTTCTAATAATTTTTAAGTTAACGATGGATGGGTTTAAATATAAATTCGTCATGCGTCGTCACTTGTTGTTTTTAACCAGTTTTATTGGTTTATTTCAAAAATGACAGATCGTATTTCAATTTTATTGGTTTGACGGAACGATGAACGACAAACGGACGCCGATGCGTATGAACTCGCCTTTAGATTTTTGACGTTTGTCAAAGTCTTGCCAAATTATAGGTTATAATGTTGTGACAACTTTTGTCAAATACCCTGCGTTTTGAAAGATGATGCATTTTAATTCGTGTTATTACGTGTGTTTTGTGTCTTTTGAAGTCATATGGAGGAAAAATCGAGTGAAAATTAACTGTAGAACCCAGAGCACAGTTTGTGGTTAATACTTGCTGCCCAGGCAGAAAGTCTTATACATATACACCAATAAAGTTACTATCAATAAAGTTCGTATACCATCTCGTCGTAGATAAGTGCATCTCGAATATGGTAGGATACTAAACACATACTAAAAACTGGAGTAGCTATAAAATATCGACATCACACGATAGATAAATAATGGATTTTAGTACTGCAGAAAAATAATGTCAAAAGGTACTGGTTTAAAAAAATTAAGATTAAAGTTAATTAATCAATCTTTAAGGTATAAAATTTGGTAAGTGTTGTAAATAAAATAGTTTGTTTTATTTATCGACATCTCCAGTGCGATCGAGTCGGCCTACAAACACGTAAACGTTTACGTACGCATGCGCATTTCTTATATTTTTTATTTTTTATACACGTAAAAGATTCTTTACGTCTACGTATACGTGCCAGCAGCGGCCGACTCGACTGTATACCGTTGTTCTCTATTAACGACTGAATCCTAAGTTTCTTTTTGCTTTCATATAAATGTCGAACACAAATATTGTATTGACTTCCAGCTACTTTTTCTGAATAGAACTTTAAATAGAACTTTTCACCCTTCTATTATCGATTATAATTACCACGTCCACACACCTACCGATAAATCGATGACTGTCAACTGCGGCAATACCACTCCGCTACGACAGGCGCCGCCGCGCGGCACCGTCGCCCCCATAGACAAACTAACAAAAGCAAGACGCGTCAACGCTGTACTGCAAAACGGTAACAAGTTTGATAAGAGTTTATTACCGCGCTTGCGTCAACTGGCCTTTTAGACGAGGACGGTTTACTTATGGATTGTGTATTTTGTAGTAGCCTTTTAGACAAGGATGTTTAATTAAAAAGCGTTTATTAAAATCAAATAAATTTATTTCCATCGGTAAAATAAACAATAATTTCTGGACATAACAGATATAAAAACAAAAGTTAAATAAACGAAAACGTATTCCTCTTATTAAAATAACAAAAAAGATGATAAAAAAACAACAGTTATGGTAAACGAAATAAAAGCATTATTCTTCAAAAGGTACAAAAAAATAATTATGCATATTATAATATTAATAATAACAAGAAACAACATCTTAAAAAATATACAACTTTTTCAAATATAAAACAAAAACATAAACTTCACATTTTCACAAGAATTTGCAAAAATATTAAGAGTCTATTATAAAATATAAAGCACGAAAATTCAAATCATAAAAAGATTAAAAAGATAAAGATTCTTCTAACTTACAGTCAATTTGTAGGACCTTCGTTTTGTCTACGTTAGCGATGTAATCACAATAATATGTATAATCACAGTAATTATTATGTTCTTCATAAATGTAAAATGTATTAAATTATTTGTTTTCGTTTTGTACGCTAATAAAATAATAGTAATAAGCAAACAAAACGCAAAATCAGGAATTCAACAGTTCGTTCAAGGATGGTTCAAGGCAAAAACGTTTTTCGTTTTATTTAGGTTAGGTTTAACGAGTGCGACTGCGCGATGATTTCTGACTCAACTGGCCAGCGCAAAAACAATAGTTCGACTTCTTCAATCCTTTGAAAAGTCTTGCTTTTGTTAGTTTGTCTATGGTCGCCCCTGAGTAGGGGGCGTAAAATATCGATGAAATACATAATATATACAATAAAAAATATCTATTTTTTATTGTTTTTTTCTCATACTATACACTATTGGGAACATAAAATATTCCTTTAATAAATTTGATTGACAAAAAGTGAGAGATAAACATTTATTGACTAGTATGATTTTTTCCGTATTCTATTAAAACTATTTTTATATACTATAATATTTTTAAAAACTCGGAAAAAGACAATTTAAAACTTCGAAATATATCTGCTGAGTGAAAAAAGATCCACAATTTCAACTTTTCTCGGGTAATTATCAACGATGCTAAATAGTTAGGCCTCCAGTTGGTGACGTCACGAGATTTTTACGTCACAGCAGTCCGGCCTTGTTATTACGGTGGTTACGTTTCAAGTCAGTTTTTGTGTTCTCCAAGTGTGTCGTCAGAATTCAAATTACTTTACTCGTGTAAACGCGCCTTTAGTATATAAAAAAGACGACAAATAGCTTCACAGACAAAAATCGCTTTCTGTGTGTATAAAGTGATTAAAGCGTATTTTTCCACTAATCGCAAAAGGCGCTTTACACGCTAAAGCGATTTACTCGCTTTCTGTGTGGCCGTGGGTTTAGGTTAATAATGGTTCAGAAGACGTACAACTCAAGAATTCAAGAAGGGCTTTGCAAAGATGGAACAAATTACATTTCAGAATATTTTTCATTAATACAGGACAACCTTGAGACCATTACTTTTTTGACATTATATAAATAATTTATTTATTTTAACATTTAACATTTTTGATTTAACAATGATTATTCAGTTTTAAGATATAGGTACATTTATTTTCTTTAATTTCGGTATTTTTTTACGCATGAAACGTTCATTTTAAAGTGAAATTGTACTTTGGCTTATCTAAGGTTAAATATAAAATAAAAATGAGACATTTCAAGAGTTACATTCGAGGTTTATACTAAGGGCTGGCAAAGGTTAGTCTTGGGTCGAGATTTCCGTATACAATGCGTTTATAATGTACTGAACAAAGAGAGGATAGTAAACACGTTGCCAAACGTATGAAATAAACCGAGAAACTGTGCACATCGCTAAGAGACGTGAAAGGGGATATAGCTGATTTGTCGCAGTCGACCCAATCAATACCTCTGTCAGTACTTAAAGTTCTAGGGAAAGGTGTACGTCATGCGTTCAGCTTCACGATTTAATTACGTCTCGTGATACTTAATTTGTTTATTTATTAACGAGTCGTTGTAATTTTCCCTATAGCTTGAATTTTTTTAAGTGCAAGCTAGAAACACTTGCATTTTTGATAAAAATAAGTGGAATTGAGTGGGTGTTCGATAGTGGTCGCGCTATTAGAACTCTGAATTCAAAAATCGATATCTCGAAATCTATTAGAAATAATAGATTGTAGTTTTTTCAAGAACTTTGTTAATATTTCTGCTGTATTTTCTTTGTCACAGTATGTGAAAATCTTTATCAATAAAAAAATTACACGATTGCTGAAAATTGCTATGCTTTAAAAGTAAATGGATGGATTGTTTACAATTTTTGAATGGAAAAAACAACCTTATCGAATTGTTCTTATGTAAACATATTGTAAAATATCCGATCTTGAAAATAAAAAAAAAAGGTTCAATATCTAAAGTGATTCTTGAGTTATGGCCTGTTATGTGTTAAAAGTTAAGTTCTTAAATAATCGCGATTACTGACGTTTTCTCGTTATAAAAAAATGACACCCTAACGATATCCTTATAATTCCATTTCAGATGCTCAGAAACATGCCTAATGATTTTATCTAGTTATCTCTTGAAAAAAAAGTCTTTTAAAAATAAGCGGTTTGCGATCGTGATTTTACTTTACTTGATAGGGAAAGGCGTATCGGCAACGCCGCAACAGCACACCGTCGCGCGTCGCGTCGGTCGGTTGCATTTCTCTCACTCCGACACATCTCTCTCACTCCGACAAATAAGATCCCTATGCGATTTACTTCCACACATGTAAATGCCGACCCAAAAGTAACAGTTGCCAGCACGGTATCTCCAAAAGTACAATGCCAACATCCCCTTTTACTGAACAAAGATCATATTTTACGGATCAAAGTTTAACAGGTAATCTTTCAGTTGGTTGGGTAAATTCAACTTGTTTATGTAGAGTCCTGGACGTCGATCCAGACAATTGTGTATCCTCACTCTACAAATCTGTTTTAATGATCGAGGCCTATTATACAAGTCTCTTATAATACAAGTTAAGGGCTCGGTCATTTTACCAGGCACCAAACTCAGCTGCTGTGTATGCAAAATCTTCAAGCACTCGAACAACGGTTTGTGCTGCATCACCAGATAAAACAGCATAATTATTTTTGAAAACAACATGTTTGGATCGGTCATTAAGTTTTCCTTGCGCGATATTAACATGATATAGTAATACAAGATGTAGTTCTTTGTTTTCCAAATGCTTTGGGAGTGAAGAGAATGGTTTTTTATTGCTTCAGACATACTGAGCAGTAAATCTGGATTAGCTCCGTACTGAATTAAGGTTAGGGTTAAGTCATACACATACTGGATGTCCTTGCAATCACGGACGTTCTGAATCATGTCCATACAAGATTGGAGGATGTGTTGAGTGCGAGTGCTGACCCGTACGTTGGGGTCGAGTCCGTAGGTCAGCAATAATATGAGGAGATTCTTGATAAATTCAAAGTTTGTCTGCTTTTGCACATCACAAATGAGGGTTATGTTTTCGGACACTGTAAACACTAGAACATGTAAAGGTGTGAGATTGGCGCGGTAACTGCAATTTGGATTGGCGCCTTGTTTTAGCAGGAGTCTTATGCAGTTCAAGTAACACACCTGAAAAAGAGTATTAAAATTATAATGTTATAAATAATTTAATAGAATAGCCATTTATAAGCCGATTATACACCTAAAAACTTGTTACTATTCGTTCTCATTCAGTAGGAAATCTTTCTCAGGTTGTGCGAATGGGTTGAGTGCGAACGAATGCTTTCCATCTTTTGTCGATAAAAGCGAATAAATCAAAGAAAAATGCGAGCAGCGTGAACGTAGCAGCGAAAACGTTGCAGCGCGAACGTACTGATAAACATGTAAAAAGTTCGAATGGTTGAAATATTAGCGACAGAAAAGGATTCGTTCAAATGTGTCACCTCACCCGGTGCGAGCGGTCAGCAATGGGTACAATACGAATGAATGGCAACATTCGCCAGGTGTATCGACGCACAGTGGGGTATTTGACACAGATAGTTGATCGAAATTTTTATATGTAGAGCTTATATAAATTATTGCTATTTTCAATTAAAGAGGAAATAATATGAACAAAATAAAGGATAATTCGTCGATTCTAAAAAAAGAAAGAAAAATCACTGTTCCAGTGTTTCCACGGTTAATGCCACTAATGCCAGTAGTAATATCGCAACTAATACTACTAATGCTACGACTGATCCGCGAGCAATGCCCATGCCACTAAAGTCGCTACTAATGCCAAATTTTGCTATACTGCTAATGGCACTAATGCGATCGCTTTGTACACAACAATGCCATCGCGGTTTACACCTCGCATTAGTATATCACTGATTGGCAAATTAGAGGAAACCAAGAATGTTTTTCTCATTTTATCAGCAAAGTCGTAAAAAGTCGCAGTATTTTATTTTACTGTATGAAAGCCCAATGTTTACTAAGTAAAACGTATATAGACAATATGCTGAATTCTTTGAAATGCGCAACTAAATCTCTAAGTATAATAAAAATGTCACAAATTTAATCAAATTTTCTAAACGCCTAACTTTTAGTTGCAAAAAAAATCGTTAGTATAGAGAATATCAAAATAAATAATACGTTTTTGTAGAATACATACCTGCAGCTTGCTGAGCCATTTTCAATCAAAACAATAATATAAACGTAAAAAGAGCACAAGAACAACAATTTATAATTTTAAACATAAAATTTAGCCATTTACCTTTTATTTGTGAGAAGTAACAATTTTGACGTTTCATTGAAACAAATGAATGCAACTAAACACACCCATAGCAACGTCATTCATGGCAGAGATGATTTAACTTATCATTTATCTTTTTTTGGGAAATCTTAAACACATTTGCTTTTTCGAATTTCGATCACCTTTTTCATGCTAATACCCCACCGTGCGACGGCTTTAAAGAGATCAATTTTCAAACTACTTTTAACACTTACAAAAAAACTACAAGATTTTCCAATCTTTAACGATAAAATATGCCACGCTCTTTTAAACAATTGACGATCGCGCCATATGCGTCAAAACGAACGCGTGACAGTTCGATCGCAATGACGGCGCTGCAGCGACGGACGACGCATTACGGATGTAAATAAACTCACCTTCACGGTACGAATTTATTACAATATCCTACCTAATACGCCTCATATCAACTATACTATATGTCGTCAGTGAAACGTGATAACCTGATAACTCCATTTTTTACGTTAATAAGTTTTTTTATACCATTTTAGAATTTAGAATGAGTGGGAGGAGGGTTAATCACTTCGACCTTACAGATCCATTGTGTCCCCCTTTCTTGAATCATAACTCATCATACAGTCCCAGGGCTTTGACGAAAGCCAGTATCTGGGACGGTTTTATAGAGGGTAGTTCTCCATCTCCAATATCAGTCGTACCAAAATTCATGGCACGAATGGTTGTCGTCTCGGCGCACTCATTGATGAGGTGTACTGGTGTTTCCCCATCTTCCCCACAGAATCTGCATTCGCCGTTTCTTCTTAGTTTCAATCTACTGAGGTGTTCATTGAGGAGACAGTGTCCTGTTAAAAACCCCGTGACAATCCGAAGATTGTTCTTACTCAGACCCAGGAAGATTTGTGATTTTCTTCGAGTGTCTTAGACCATTGCAAGATTTCCATTCCAGGTTGCGGATGGAATCTTCCAAGTTCTTGAGTTCCGCCTTGAGTTGGTTACCACTTGGAAAGCAGAACGGTTCTGGTCCAGTTCGTGGAGTGTTCGCTCCTTTCCTAGCTAGATTATTTGCTTTTTCATTGCCTTCTATCCCTTGGTGAGCAGGCACCCAGTGTAGGAGGACTTTGTTTTCCTTGCCTAATTTATTCACCTTCTCTATGCATTCTTTGACCAATTTCGAATTGATTGATACTGAGTTGATCGCCTTTAACGCTGCTTGACTATCAGACAAGATGGCTATTTCTTGTTTCCGATAGTTCCTATCTAAGATAAGTTGTACGCATCTCTCGATAGCGTAGATTTCTGCCTGTAGGATACTAGGGTAAGTGCCCAATGGTTCGGAGTAATTAGCTCTCGGCCCAAACACTCCGATCCCTGTTTCCGTATTGATTTGGAAGCATCAGTATACCAGGTTATGGTATGGTCTTTATACCATTAGAAAGAGAAAAAAATACTCTATAAATAAGAGAAAAAAATACTCTATTCAAACCCAGTGATCTGAAATAGCCACCGAAATGCTGCTATCTCCATAATTTCCGTTACGATCACGCTAAAGCAAACACATGAATTCTTACTCGTATGTTTCTTTAGTACAGTACGTCGATCCAGGGTCGCACTAGGCCAAAGAGGCCCGGGTGGCAACATAATCTAACCTAACCTAACCGTTCTGTAAATACGGGGTATCAGTAAAGGGTAAGGGGAAAAACGAAATTCTCTATATACGAGCAATTCATCGGCGTGTTATAAATAGTTTAAATAACATTACTTAGTTGTACAAGCATTTCCATAATACCTAATCAATTGTTTTTTTTTCAACGTTTTTCCACGTAAATGATACATAATTTTTATAAAAATTTAAAAAATAAGGAGAAAAGTAATAACAATTTAATAGAATACGCACTGTTTTTCAAGCTCGGTCTACTACCGTTGTATAAAAATTAGGATAAGCATGGAAGGATTGATTCTACCATATCTTCTAAGAATTATAAGTTTAATTTTTAAATTATTTTCATATTCATTAAGTCCAAAATGCTGCGTCTTCAGTTCTTTAAAAATGCATTAAAAATTTATTCGTTTTTTGACTTGTATGTTTTGCTTCTAGACCGACCATATTCTAAACATATGGTTATGAATATCATATTTTTTAAATTTAATTCGTTATTTCTAAATCTGTTTGGGTAATATTCAATTCCATTTTCAAAATTTCAAACAATAAAGGTTGCTATCTCCAGAAGTATATTTTTATTTCTTATTTCTGCAAGACGAATATCTGCTATCTCCATATTGTGTCTGAAAAAAATTATGTAACACGAAATATTGAGTGTTATTGTTCCCCAGCAAATAAAATTCTTATCTCTGTATCATATTAACGCATGAAAATACTTCCTACATGTGTACATATATTTTTGTACCGTTTTTTTGCTCTCCTGTAAAATTAGGGATAATGGAGTTTAGTGGTTTATCACATTTCACCGACGATATAATCTCCTATACATGGGGGCGAAGATGACAGTTTGTATTGAAATAAAATTTTGTGAGCATTTTATGCATAAATTAATGTATTATTACTTATTCTTTTTTTTTTTGTTTTCACTCTTGGGTTTAGGTCGTTTGGTTTGGCGACCTAAAGCCAAGAGTGAAAACAAAAAAATATATAGTATACAGGTCAAAGAAACGAAACAAAAAAAAAAATTACTTATTCTTAGATATTATTTTAGATTTTTCTTAATTATGGATCAATTACTGAAAAATATAAAGAAAAATTTGTAAAGGATTACCTTCATGTTATGGGTAAAATGGTGAAGAGGGTCTTTATTTATTAAAGGTACCAAACAAACCATCAATGGAACTGATCCATCACGGCCGACTTCGTTAGGATTACCTATATAAAATAAAAAAAAATCATTACCTTGTGTCAATATTTTTTAGAGAAAAAAAAAAAGGAAATAGTGTCATAAGTAATCTAAGATATATAACTATGTATCTCACTCTAATTCATGTCCTGACATAATGTTTTTACAAGACATTTTTAGAAGAACAAGCTCAATTTTTTATGAAGAACGCATTTTTTATCAAAATAAAAAATGTTTTCTCTTGTAAAGGCAGAAAATCGGCGGGGACAGACTATATTTTTTGATTTCATTACGAATGTATAGTTTTCAGATTTTTCTCTATACTTGGTAGTTTACGATGATACAAAGAAAAGAAGGTATGATATTGCGCAGGTCGGTTGCTACGTCACAGGTGATATCGGCTCCGCGCGCCAATTTCATAGCGTCAAACTGATGACACATAATAAAAATGTGAAAATGACTTTTCAAATATCAAGCTTAATGATTTGACATAACTTTTGAGGTTATGTCCTAATTCTTCCCTATTAGCGGTCTTTTTTATTGGTGGTAATTGAACAATATGGATATTTTTGTATGGCGTACTGATGTCACAGGTGATATGCGCAAACTGAATGAAATTAGAGTCGCCATCCATCATACCTTGTTTTCTTTGTATCATGGTATAAGACGGTATTATTTGCCAAATTTCATAGTTCTAGGTCAATGGAAAATACCCAATAAATGTTGATTCCCTTGATCCGTATCTTTTTTTAGCGTCAGACACCAAATGGCACAAACTAATTCAATGTGTAAACAAAAAAAGAGGTTTACCTTTGAATTAAAATTTTAAGGAAGGAGCATATCAAAAAACTTCGTCGAGTGCGATGGGGACCAAAAATGGCCGACTTAATTCCGGTTTATCAGTGCCGTTCTAATTTTATTCAAAACGTGTAAAAATATGATGTAGGGTAGACTCAATAATTTTTGTTTTATTTTACGTTGTCAATAAAAATTGGTGGTTATTAAAATTGTTATAAAAATATATAATTTTAATAAAAAACTAATAATAATACAAACATCCAGAGGTTGGAAGCGTCTTGAGGCTAACCGACAATACACATGGTCAAGCAAGACACATCTTCTACCTGGTCACCAAGGAATGGTCGCCGAGTAAGCCGAATTATCTCAATCTATGGAAGACCCTGATTGAACTGAGAGAAGTCCTGCTAAACAACAACATTACACGATTAGCCATTCCGAAGCTGGCGTGGGGACTCGATGGTTTGGGTTGGCGTACAATCCGGAACATGATTGAAATCTTATTTAGATTTACGGGAATCGAGATCCCCGTTTGTTGCTACCAAAGCTGAGATCGGGAGAGAAAACTGTAGACTGCTATTTCTACCAGATTTCTCAATGCACCAGGGGCCAGCTTTGCAAATACCGTGTTCTAGATAAATAGTTTGTATATAGTTCTTTAAATCTTTTAATCGTTATTGTTTGTTACTTAGTGTGAAAATAAATTGTGTTTAAATAAATTGTGACTTTCTATCCACACGGAACCGAGGAAAAATATAACAATATAGTCACTTAGTAGCTAAAAGTTATTCCATTACTTATCTCGATTTTTAACCGAGAACTACCGCACGCTACACAACCAACTACACACACCGGAAAAGTCTAGGGATATTACAATTTTATCCAGCCATCGTCAGTAATTTTATTATTTGCATTTCTGATATAATAAAATTAAAACAAATAGTTTACAGGACGTATTGGAAATAAAAATGCGAAATTTACCGAATTTTTCAAATTTACCTTGATTTTTATTGAACTCAAAAAAATACACACATTTTTTTTTATTCTAAACTGTGAATTAAAAAAAAGATAAAACCATTTTTACTTAATAAAGGGTATGGCCTCCTCTACTGTTCATTACAGCCCTACATCGTCCCTCCATGCTCCAGATCAGGTTGTCGATCTCTTCTTGAGGTACAGCCTGCCACGCTGCATTCAAGGCCCGAACCAGATCCCTACGAGTTTCACGAGGCATACCCATTCTCAAAATTCTTCTTTGGACCGCGTCCCATACGTGCTCGATGGGGTTGAGGTCAGGAGATTGTGCCGGTCAGGGTAAGATGTTTAATTGAAGAGCATTGATAAACTCAGTTACCACTCTGGCTGTATGAGGCCGTGCATTGTCATGCATGAGAATGAAGTTTCTCCCAAAATCATTGGCATATGGTAACACGACAGGCTCAAGAATTAAATCACGATATGTGATTCCTGTTAGAAACCTTTCAAGAAAAACGAGATCGGTTTTTCGGCCTAACTGGACTACTCCCCAGACCATAACTGTTCCATCTTGATAAGGGTGCACTTGAACATGATCCAACCGAATAAGATTTCCCGGTTCTCTCCATACCCTAAGCCTTCTCGAATCCAGATGAATTCCAAAGCGTGACTCATCCGTGAAGAGATCACTGGCCCATTGTTCATTCGGCCACTGAACATGATCTTGAGCCCACAAATATCGTACCTCTCGATTTCCTCTCGTTAAGGGTTGAGCTCTCCAGAGGCGTCTGCTTCTTAAGTTGACCTCTCTTAATCTATTGCGAACAGTGTCAGGATTAACGGTTACATTATGTGTTTCCTGGAGAATTAAACTAAGCTCTGGTGCTGTAAGAGTCGGTCGGCGTCGAGCATTTAATTGTAAAAATGATCTTGCTGAGGGGTAGTAATGCGATGTCGCCCTGTGTGCCTTTCAGCAACATCGCCACTTTCACGGTAGCGTGCACTTAATCGCGATATTACACTTTGCGTTGTATTTAATGCTCTAGCTACGTCGATTTGGCGCATTCCAGCTTCGAGCATACCCATGGCCCTTAGCATTTCGTCTCTGTTAAGATGTCTACGCTCCATAATGTCATTTAATACTAAACAGAGTTATTTGATTGAATTCTGGCCAGTTATCATAAAAACATAGCCAGTACAGGTTAAATTCGAACAATTGATGCTAGGTGCTTTTTATACATTTGACAAAAAATGCACAGACACTTTTGCAAATATCCCAAATTTAGAAATAACTAGTGTGACTACTTCGTTTCAATCGAAGTAGAAAGAATCGGCCTACGAATATGTGGTTGTTTATTCAAAACATTTATTTTTAACTTTAATAAAATGATATCCCTAGATTTTTTCGGTGTGTGTATTTTACACTTTCTACCACAAAAAAGTTTCGTTCTAGATTTACTAGCTCTAAACAACTACCAGTTGTAGAATAAATAAGAATAAAATAAATAAGTAGGCTCGTAAAGTCAGACGACAATCCGCAAAGTTTCAAATCAAATTAAAATGTGTCAAATGAATCGTCAATCAGAACTGTCAAGGATCCCCAACCTAGACCCCCACATCCGTCTACCATGCATGAATACAGGGATATAGTAAACGCCACGAATGTTTGGGAGTGATTCATCGGTCGCTACCATGTGAACTAATCTGCTCAAGGTCACAAAAAAACTTAATTCCAGTGCCGTGGTGTTTCAAGTCATATAATAATCAATATATAAACTGTTGTAATTTGTTGTTTTAACTGTCAAAGTCTTGTCAAAACATATATTTGGTTATAAATTTAGTACAAAGTAGTTAGTTGCAAATTTAGTACAATTTAGCTTGCGCAAACCAGTTTGCGTAAATTATGGGTTTATGCTTCTGACCTTAGCCTTAACACTAACATTAGCCCTAACCCTAAGAATATGATTCAACGTTAAGGAACGCTAGCGTTCATGCTTCCGTTGTATCGATCCTAACATTAGCCTTAGTCCTAACAGGTTGGGATATTTTCTATTCTTAGGGCTAATGCTAATTCAAAACTGAATCGCGCATGCTCAAAACTAGAGGTTTTAAAAATTCTCGAAATAATGCCGACATGTTGAATATGACGGTTTATAAATGTTAATAAATAATGTATTTTTTGATCTAGAAATTATTAATGTAAAAATTAGTTCCTCTAGTATTAGGAATTTTAAAAATAATTGTGAATTTAGGTTAGTTCAAAACATATGTTTTAAATGAGCGCAAGCGCTTACGAGAATATCGATTATTTGGCTAAGGCAAGTAGAAGAAGTATGAACGGCATTTCCTTTCTCAAGGTTAATTTCTTAGGGTTAATGTTAAGGGTTTGGAATTTGGAATAAACTACAACGATGGAAGGAATACGTAGAAGAACTATTTAATGATAGCAGACCGAACACTCCACCGAAAGCGGATGAAAGTAATTCACGCAATAAGATCCCAAAAAGACGGAAAAGCAACTGGCCCAGACAATATTCATGCCGAAGTTATAAAACTGATGGCTGAACAGGACGGAAGGGGGTTGCAACTGCTGGTATTCATATTCAATACAATCTACCATACAGGGACTATCCCAACGGATTGGCTACGCTCGACATTTATTACCCTTCCAAAGAAAACCCACGCTTCGAACTGCGATGAATACCGCATGATAAGTCTGATGTCCCATGTCCTCAAAATATTACTCAGAATAATTCACACCAGAATTTATAAAAGATGCGAATACCAACTAGACGAAACTCAATTTGGATTTCGCAGTGGCCTAGGTACTCGTGAGGCGTTATTCGGATTAAACGTTATCACTCAACGTTGCAGAGACATGAATGTCAATGTAATCGCTTGTTTTATAGATTATAGAAAAGCCTTTGACTGCGTTAACCATCAAAAACTTATAGAAGTCCTCAAAACAACCGGAATAGATAGAGAAGAAATTCGATTTATTACAAATCTCTACTGGCAGCAAAACGCAGTGGTTAAAATTGAAGGAACATCGTCAGAAGAAATCACGATTAAACGAGGTGTAAGACAAGGCTGTGTGCTGTCACCGCTCTTATTTAATATATATTCAGAGGCTATCTTCAAAGAAGCTCTAGAAGGAATCGAATGTGGAATTAAGATTAACGGGAAAGTGATCAATAATATCAGGTATGCCGACGATACAGCTGTGCTGGCCGAGAATGAACAAGATTTGCAGAGGCTAATGAATGAATTAGTTCGGCATAGTGAAAACTGCGGTCTCCTCATAAATACCACAAAAACGAAGGTTCTTGCATTCACCAAAACACCTGTGCAGATTCACCTGGATATCAACGGTGACCCAGTAGAGCAAGTGTCTTCATACAAGTATTTGGGGTGTATTGTAAATGATCAATGCGACCCGAAGAAAGAAATTAGAAGCCGCATAGAACAGGCTAGAAAAACATTTATAAATATGAGACAATTTTTCACAAGGTCAGATTTGAGTTTGGAGCTACGGGTACGCATAGTCAGATGCTACATTTTTTCAGTTCTCCTGTACGGGTGTGAGAGTTGGACTCTTGACATATCGTTAGAAAAAAAAATAGATGCCTTCGAAATGTATATTTACCGCCGTATATTAAGAATATCATGGGTCCAAAGAGTTTCAAATGTGGAGGTTCTTAATCGAATGAGAAAACAGAAAGAACTCATGGTTACCATCAAAGAAAGAAAAACATGCTACATAGGCCACATAATGAGGGGTAAAAAGTATGAACTTCTCAGATTAATAATTGAAGGCAAAGTCCAGGGCAAAAGATCTATCGGCAGACGCCAGAATTCCTGGCTAAAGGACATTCGTAGATGGTTTGGTTGCTCATCAATCGACATATTTCGTATGGCTGTATCTAGAATGACGTTAGCTATTTGGATCGCCAACCTTCGAAAGGAGACGGCGTCGTAAGAAGAAGAATGTTAAGGGTAAGGTTAGAGCTAATACTCGAAGTATGAACCCACCATAAACCACCATTAATACATGAATATAAAAATAGTATTACAACTCCTTCCATAGTCTTCTAAGGTCTGGTTAATTGTATGCCATATCTGCCATCATTACTTACCCCCTTCCTGCAGCAACATGTTCAGTAGCTCATAACAAACGTCCCAATCTCGCACGTGCCTAAGAACACAGGCAACCGCCGAGTTCCCTGTGTGATTTATCGACTGTCTGGCACCGGCCTGGATGAGATACCGCACCAAATGCAGTATATCCCACTTGTTCCATTTGTCGTAACCGTATTGTGCTTCTTCTAGCGCGTAGCGGACTATCAAAGCGTGCAAGGGCGTGTTTCCTAAACTATCTGGAGTATTGATGAGTTCCTTGCAGCCATGTTCCAGCAAGAGTCGGACGGTGGCTATTGTGTCTTCGGCGGATTTGTGCGCCACTAATAAAACTGCAAGAAATATGTTGGTTATACCCTTGTATATGAATTTTTAAAGTAGCTCAACCTAAGACGTTTATGGATGTAAAGCACCAGATGGCGGGGCGTATTTCACGGTCTTTTACTACAGAAAAATATTTTTTGTTACTCTGAATTTTGAAGCGACCAATAAAAACAGAGAAAATAAAAATCGATAATTTTCGGACTGTGCCAATTGGTTACTAATCGACCAGATACTTTTTGTCTATTAGATATGCTATAAAAGCTGGTAATTATACAATTCGACCATTGTAAATACCCGACAAATTCCGCAAAGCCGAGGCCGATGTTTTTCAATGATAAGAAAAAAAAAATGTTTGTTTAGATAATTTTCGAGATATTTTTTCTTTCTGAATGCACATTTTTAAAGTATTTTATATTCTTTGTCCGCTTGATCTATTATACTGGTCGCACGTATCGAAGTTCTGTTTCTTCTAGTTTTAAAAAAATGTTCTTATTTCTTTGTAGTTGTAGTAGTTGTAGTGTAAAATAAGATTAATTTTATTAAGTTTAATTATAATGTTTAGTGTAGAATACCAGAAATACTTTAGTAGTAGTGTTTTTATAGTTTATTTTGTAGTTAAGTAGTAGGTGAAGGGATAATTTGGTTATTTTTTCTTTTTGTTTGATTAATTAGTAAGTTTGATAATTTTTTCAGTGTAGAATACAAGAAGTAGTTGTGTAGTGTTTTTATAAGAGATTGTATTCGTTTATTTTGTAGATGAGTAGTAGGTGAAGGTATTTGGGTATATTTTCTTTTTTTTTTCTTCTAATTTTAGTAATTCTATTAAGTATTGTGATAGATACATATCTTCCTTCAACTTCGTTGAAAAGTGCGTTATCATATAATTTTGATTTTCTGGTAGCAGAATATACGAAGAAAAAAATCTGATCAAATTTATTTCAAATTAAATTAATCGAGTCTTATTAATCAAATTAATCTAGTCAAATAATACATAATAATAGTTAGTTTCTAAATACTATACAGGGTGAGTTTCCTACGATGTTCTCTTTGGGTATCTCGGAAACTACTGGAGATAGAGAGTCGGTTAAATGGGGAAAGAATTGCAGTTTCGTGGGGTCATTAATATGCTCCTTACGGATTTTTCGGAGAAGTTCAAGGCTTATTAGATATTTCGAAAAAAAAAACAAATTTTGGCTATTTTAAAACTTGTCTCTAATTCCATTATAATCTACCGTATGATCGAATAAAAACGGCGTCAACGATGGCTATGAAATGAAGATCGCTGTCATTTTATATGTAAAATTATATGGGAAATATCGATCGTCATTTCATAGCCATCGCTGACGCCGTTTTTATTTGATCATGCGGTATTTTAGACAAAAAGTTTTCAGATGAAGTTGTAGATAATCACATACCTAATGAGTTTGTGTTTTCTGTTTTTTTTTCTAAAGCCTGTTATTTTTGACATATGACACAAACATATGTTTTTTTTTTAAATCGAAACCATAGTTGGCCATGACTTCATAAAAAGCGCCATTTTTTAAGCTTTTCAGCGATATAGGTAGGTATAATATGTTTTTTTTTCGAAAAATTACAAGTTATAGACAATTCTTTTCATTCTTGGCTAATTTCCATACCAATAATACCATACCAATTAGTTGGCATCAAAAATGTAAAAAGTTTTATGTTTTCAAAAAAAAAATATCGTAAAATTCGTAAAGCACTCAATTTAGAATAAAATAATCTAAGAATGAAATGATTCTTTTATAAACCTGCATTAAATCAAATTAAAATAGGTATGTAACTTTTTTTTAAATATTAATTAACAGCAATTAGCATTATCATAAATTATATATAATGTACCAACATATCGAAATAATAACTTCTTTGTTAATACGGTTTAGAATTCTTAAAATAACAGGCAAAAATAATCCATAATTTACAATAAAATACAAGTTTCGTTTAAATTTCTTAATCAGTTGATCACTATTAAAGTTCGCAGAAACCCGGGCTATATTATTACATTACTCTGAGGAAAATAACGAAAATAATCGATATTTTTGACTCCGCCCCGAAAGGTTCACGATTTGTCTTCCAGTTGGCAGCACATTTTGTCTAGTCGGTTAAGCAACTTTAAGAATATATAAACAAGGGATATACATATTATGTATAAGCTTGGTGCATTTCAGTTGATTTCAAAAAATTCCGACCGCAGCCCTCTATCGGCAGAAATCAGAAGATTAACATTTCATCTTAATTTAAATTATGTATAATCTTAAGGACATCAAAGTGTTTATTACAATAAATAAGATTAATTAAATTGTTTGAAGTAGGATTTAATTTTAATATTCACATATATATATGTATATATTTTAACATTTCAATATTTAGCTCTACGTATCTATGGTATCGATAAGTACTTACCGACGTGTAATAATGTCATTTGCTGAGTTGTGGTTCGTACGGTAGTGTTAGCCCCAGCCGATATTAGAAGTTCTAAAAACTTTAGGTCATTGGAAGCGGCGTAATGGATGGGATAATACTCATCTTTCAGAATGTGTATTTCTTCTGACCTGACATTGGTGAGAAATCTGGTACAGCTCCATGCTCTACGTTCGCATGCAGCGTGTAATAATAAGGGTTTCTTTCCTCTGAACATTGAATTCTAAGGGAAACACAATGTATATATTAGTAATAATTACTAAAATACATAGTGCAATAAAGAGATAATTATTATCTCTTTATTTTTGTTAGATTTAGTAATTTAATTTTAGACGATATTTTTTTCTTCATTCTTCTTATTTTTTTGGCCCCAGACGACCACATTTATCCCCGTTACGAAGTATCTTTTGTTGGTTAGACAAATTTGTACAGAAGAAGCCACTGAGGGTAAGTCCATACCCTCGTAGGAAAAGCAGTGCCAGCGCCAGCGTAACGGCAGTGAAAGTTGTAGCTGTCCATATTAGCGATGGGAACTATCGAATGAATTAGACTATCGAATGGTTAATGAATGAATGATTTCAACTATCGAATGGTTTTATTCGAATAAAATCATTCATTCATTTGTATACTAAAGCATATGTGACAACCTCGCCGTGCGACTAAATGGTTATCGTTGAGCCACGACTATCGAATGCTTTTGATAAATGAAATTTAGTATTCGTTTGATTTTTGTATGCGTCAGTGCATTATTAGTTCTTCCAAATTTTTATAACTTCACCGTATAAATACTGTGCTATTTTTGCGTTTACTAAAATAGTTAAAATACTAAAATAGTAGTTATTTTTTAATTTTATTTATTGACGATTGTGTGCATGTGCAGGTGGTCAAAATTTTTCCGAAAAGTTGTGTGGTTTTCCGTAGTCCGATCTTTCAATTATTTAATTTTATATGGTATATGGTCTATTTTTTAATGGGAAATTTTGAGAAGTAGCAATTTTTAAGAGAGATGAGATGAACTTAAATTAATTTTAAAAGTACATATTTGTATTTTAGATGTTTTAATAATATGAATTAGTTGAACTTAATAATCATATTAAAGTAATGTGGTTAAGTAAATGGTTATCGAACTCAAACTATGGGGTGAGAAAATTAAAATGAAAGTTTTACACGTGCCAATTTAAAAAAAAAGTTAACGATGTTTGTATTTTGTTTATGCTAATTCTCTTACATGTAGTTTTTGCGAAGAAATATTTCATTTATTTTTTAAAGTAAATGCCAGTAAAAGTAAATATAATTTTTAAATAGTAATATAAAGCACCTAATATAAATAATTTTGATTTCTAATTTTTATTTATATTTTCCTTCCATTACACTGCATGCTTAGAAAATTAATAAATGTTTATATTTCATGATTTTAAAATTTGTTGTTAATATAACAAATTAGTTCTGTAATTATTATTATTTAATAAACCAACGTTGCCAAAAAATTTAGAGACTATATTATTTTTAAATAGGATCTAATATAAATAATTTTGACATCTAATTTGTTGTTTATATTTTGCTACTACTTATATTTATATTAAATGATTTTAAATTTTGTTGTTAATAGGTATAACAAATTATTACTGTCATTATTATTTATTAAACCAGTCTTTGCTTAAAAACATTAAAAATAATTTTCCTACATCTAAAATAACAAGTATTATTGCAGTGTAACAACAGAATATTAATAAAAAAAAATGCAGAATATATAGACATACTATCCCTAATTAACTAAAGCCAAACAATAATATTCTTTGCTAATATCAACTAATACCAAAATATGGCAACAGCGCCTTTCATAATGTATTTTCTGTGTAAATACTAGTACCTCAATAAAAAATAATGTGTCCTTATCTATATCTGACTCCGCAAAAAATCAAAGATGCCGGCTTCTTTCATAGCATTGCCACCGACCGCTGTCGGGTTTCTCGGAAAGAAACCTACGTCGCCGGGCGACAACTAAAATTCAGTTAATATTTTATTATAATCGATCCTGACGAATAAATGAATTTCATAAATGAATGAATTTTATAAATGAATGGTTTTTGCTGCCGAATTACTAGAATACAATATTCCAAGGCAGATGACGGATCTATTCGATAATTTTTATTCGAATAGTTTTCAACGAATGTTTTCTTACTAACTATCGAATTATTCGAATGAATTGCAACTATCGAATGTTTCGATAGTATTCATTCGATAGTTCCCACTACTAGTCCATATCATCACTTAAATTATATGTTAATGTTGTCAATTTTTATACAGTTTAAATAAGGAAAAAAACATATAAAAATATATCAAAATGATTAAAACGAAAACATAAACATAGGAGTGAGATGGAGGTGATAATGAAAAAGAACAGAAAATATTTAAATGTAATATCTGTCAATTTACGCTTCTTGAAACTTACCCAGGGATCTTCACTTTTTTGTATCAGCATCACTAAAATGTTGACTTGATCACCGTCCAATGCATAGTATATCGCCGACTGCAGTTTGCTCAAAGGTCTTGTATCTCTGTTGTCCCTTTCGATGCACGTTTCTTCTTGCTGTATAGTTTGTGCTTGAAAAAGGAAGTCAAACTTTTTATAGTGATTTGTAGGAATCGGGGACTCTTACCATATTTTCCTCTTTCTTCGCAGTTGCTGCTGTGGGGTCCAGGCCAACACATTCGCGCCTCCACGTCGATCTTGGCACCGTGTTTGAGAAGTAGATCAACACATTCATCGTGACTAAAGAAAAGACATAAATAATGGAAAAATCTCACCATATACACAATGTATACAAGCTCAATATCACTCATGCAACAAAATCCACGCAAATTGTTTGCGTAGCTCTTAAAAGACCTCCAATAGATTTCATACAATTATGATGCTTTGTTGCTCTTTGGATGTCAATTGAGTGAGGGTGCAGCCACACTATCCTAAAAACGGCGTATCGGCGTAACGGCGTAATGACCTTGAATAGATTTCCAGTAATTCTATTGGCTGAAACATTCATCTGTCAGAAATTTTATCTGTCAAATTCATCTGTCAAATATTTCAGCCAATAGAATTACTGGAAATCGATTCAAGGTCGTTACGCCGTTACGCCGTTTTTAGGATAGTGTGGCTGCACCCTGAGTCGTTATTTTATTAGAGTTTTGTGGAAATTAAGAAAGTGGAAAAATTTTTCGTTAAAAACGGCTGGGAAATGACAATCCATGATAATTTTGACGGGGTCAATCTCTAGACGTTATTTACTAAAAATTGACATAAAACTTGTCAAAAATTAATATTAATTATAGAAAGATTAAAATAGGATAGAACGTTTCCAGACCCACAAATCTAATTCCAATAAACTATTTTTACTGGAATTTAAAAATAATTTTAACACAATATAAATAAATTTTATAAAAAAAACTTTTTTAAAAACAAGCTTTTATTTAAATACACTAAAAAGAATAGAATAAACTTTTTCTTTAAAACTTTTATTATGAACTTATAACGTCATTACACAATTTTAATATTATATAAAAGCTTGTCGCGAGATTTGAGTGTCCAGTTGCACTCATAAAAATATGGTACGACAACTTTATCTTGTAATTCCTGGTCTAGTGGTCTATCATAACACAAACTTTGAAAATGAGACAGGGTAGACACAGGTTTTAGTTAATTTACTTGATTATCGATGTAGAGAAATCTCGCGACAAGCTTTTATATAATATTAAAATTGTGTAATGACGTTATAAGTTCATAATAAAAGTTCTAAAGAAAAAGTTTATTATATTCTTTTTAGTGTATTTAAACAACTTGTTTTTAAAAGTTTTTTTTATAAAATTTATTTTCTACTTTTTAGTTATGCTGGTTTCTCAGTGCCACACACTTAAACTCAATTTTTTTCTTAAATAACTTTCTATGGGCATCCTAATAATATGTATATCGATTTTCATTAAAAAAGGAGAACTTAAAAAAACGACAGTTGTCAAATTTTGACAGTTCAAATGTGAAAGAAATAAAATGAAAACCGACTATGGGGTAGGGGGCATCCAATATATCGATTTTTATCAAAATCGGATAAATTTAAAAAAAATTTGACAGCTGCCAAATTTGACAGTTCAAAATTTTTTTCTTTCATTTTAGCCCATGGCCGTCCTATATATTAATTTTTATCAAAATCGGACAACTTTGAAAATTTTTTGACAGCTGTCAAATTTGACAGCTCAAAATTTTTTTCTTTCATTTTAGCCCATGGCCATCCTATATATCGGTTTTTATCAAAATCGGACAACTTTGAAATTTTTTTTACAGCTGTCAAATTTGACAGCTCAAAATTTGTTTCTTTCATTTTAGCCCATGGCCATCCTATATATCAATTTTTATGAAAATCGGTTGACTTTGAAATTTTGACATGTCATTAAACTGTCATTTTTTCAATATGGCCGCCCATATAATTTTTTTCATATGTATATACCCACAATATACCGTATGATCGAGAAAAAACGGCGTCCAGTTGGAACCTATATTATATAATTTCAGCCCGATCCATTCATAAATAGAATTTTAAAAAACCAAAAACCTCAAAAATGCCGCCATTTTGACAGCTGTCAAAAATTCGAGTCATGCCCAGGGCTGCCGAAGTTGCTACTTTAGTACTTTACTTTTATATATTTTCTGCTGCTCTACTACTGTTTAGTACAAATCTACTACTAATCTATAGTATCTACGTAATTTACACATTTACACATGATCGAATTTATTGTGTGTAATTTGGCAACATTGACAACCTGTAAGTTACGCCCTCAACGCCGAACGCGATCCATGCCATGCGCCCTTCACGTTCATGCGCCGAACGATGAGCAGGAGATATTTCATTTTATTTAGGTACTCTGATTTTATTACTCCGTTGTCAGTTATTAGTATCAGTAGTACCACAATTCTCCGACACCAATGACTAAAGAATATAAGGACATGTAACGCCCCTATACGGGCTGCAGCAGAATTTGTGACCTTTTTTTTGTTTTGGTGGCAAACAATGAGTCATCATTTGGACACCAGCGACAATTTTAGCGATTTTTAATAGTTTGTGTGTAGTAAACTTTGTATAATAGCTATTTATGTAACTAGTACCTAAAATGATGTTTTTTAGGACGAATCATTACTGTTTGCGGACGAGGCGTTAGCCGAGTCCGAAATAGTAGATGAGTCCTAAAAAACATAATTTAGGTACGTGTTACATACACTATTTTTTGTCATACGCTTTTTACAGTTTTTTAGAACGCATATTTGCAAATTTTCCATATTTGAAATTATAATGTTTGAAAAAGTTGGCTTATAAATTCATATCTTAGTAACGAGTTTGTTTATTTCATCGCATTTTGACATGTCATTCATAGATAAATGCAACAAGTTTAGATTGGAAAGCCCGTAAAAATTTTAGGTCGCGAAATTATTTTGGGTCGCGACCGTTATACGCGATCTGGCGCTGCTATAGCGGTCGCTAAGAACAACGGCAAACAAAAACAGAAATTATTTTCTCTTGTCAAAGTCAGAATCTTCAAAAATCATAATAATCTTTCAAAATCTAAACCGCTCTCATTAAAGAAATTCCGAAAAGTGTTTATATAGCGTCCATTTTCAAAGTAATTATTGCTATCTTGTGAGTTTAATTCAAGTTTTATTTACTCCAACCGGTGATAATTGTGAAAAAGTGGCATTAAAAACTTAAAAAGCTGTGCTGTGAACTGTGAACTGCAAAAACCATCGTGGATCGTGGCATAACATCGATTTCCAATGTTTCATAGGTATTTCATACATGCGTCCTTATATAAAATAAAGTTTCTTGTATGCAACACACTGTATTTTATTTATAAAATTAAACGAAAATTATAATAAATTTGAATAAACAATATTTGGCGATATAATTCCGGAAAAAGCCGAACCGCTCCGAAATTTTCAAAAGTTTTGGGTCGCGACCGTTGCAAGAATAGCGCCAAATAGTGTTTACATTGTCCTTATGGGCACTTTCCAATCTAAACTTGTTTCATTTATCTATGATGTCATTCGAAATTTGTCACAAAATCACACAAATTCATCAACAATTTTAAAATGTTCCAAAATCCCGAACATATTGCTAATAAGGCCAAAGAAATCGTGTTGGATTTACTTCCTGTGAAGTCTCGTGCCATTTACCAGAAAGAATATGATGTTTTTAATGAATGGAAAGACAAAAATGGCGTATTCGTTGTAAATGAAGATGTATTGCTAAATTATTTCCACGAAAAGTAAGTACCTAGGTACCTATTTAAAAGAGGCTTTAAATTAAAATATTCTTAAATTACAGTCACAAACATTCAAACCATCGTCAATTTGGTCGAAATATTCCATGCTGAGAGCAGTGTTAAGTGTTAAAGAAGATATTTATATTGACAAATTTCCAAAACTTATTGCTTTTTGAAGAGGAATTCGGTTGGTTACGAGCCTAAAAGTCTAAGGTTTTGTCCATAAAAGAGATCGGTGATTTTTGGCCACGGCTAGTGATGAAACTTATTTACTTACTAAGGTAAGTTTGCGATAATGATTTTTAAAATATATAGATGGTTTCTTATTCCATTGTATTTGATTTTTAGGTAGCTCTTGTCATTGGCCTTTGTGGAGCATGTAGAAGAGAAGAATTGTACTCTCTACGAGTGCAAGACATCATAGAAAAGAGACAACAGCTGCCTTTTAGTTACCCTTGCGGATACAAAAACTAATATCAAAAGAGTGTTTCCGGTGGTGAACGAAGGGAACGTTGTCAATCCAGTTGAGTTGTATAGAAAATATGCTTGTCTTAGGCCAAAAAATGTACCACATGATTATGTCTTGTTTGTGACTGTAATTTAAGAATATTTTAATTTAAAAGCCTCTTTTAAATAGGTACCTAGGTACTTACTTTAAACAAATAACTTAGCTTTTGATATTGTTAGTATTTAATAATTTAATTATAAATATATGTATAATTTTATGTGATTTTGTGACAAATTTCGAATGACAAAATAAAACAACCAAATAACGAATTTAGACATTTTAGTCCATAAAGGTTGCCATGACGACCTTTACGGCCTAGGCCGAAAAAGAAACATTTTACGGACTGAAATGAGTCCGTAAAATAGCTGTTTTTGGGAGCGTATGACAAAAACTTTATTACAATGGTGATGAGTTGTTCAGCTTTCAAGTGCAAAAGCAGCAGCTATAAGAAAGAGCCAGGAGTTACCTTTCATAGGTAAATAAACAGTCCACTCCAACTTTTTGGCGTTTTCTTATCGAAAACGTCGATACTAGTTTTGTACCTTTTGTTAACATTTTAATACGTTTTTTTCGTAATTAATTAGGATGATACACCATAGGCGTAGTCAAAACAATTATCAAAAATATAAATATTGCTTCAAACCTTTGAATAAGAAGACTAAGGAAGGAGCATAATGCTATCCATGTATTCATGCATGGTGGGCGGAAAAGCCACCATAAAAGCTCTCTAGGGTGGGGATCCTTGACAGTTCTGTTTGACGATTCATTTGACACATTTGAATTTGATTTGAAATTTTGTGGATTTGTCAGTCTTTACGGAGCTTATTTTATGTTATTTATTATTTATTCTACTACTGATAGTTGTATAAAGGTAGTAAATCTAGATGGAAATTGTAGCAGAACTTAAATTAACAGTGACACTATCGCGATTTATCGAAAAAGACTCTAAAATAGTTGGTTGTGTAGCGTGCGGTAGATCTCGGCAAAAATTGAGTGAAATAATGGAACAACTTTTCGCTAGTAAGTGACTATATAATATACATACGTGTAGTAAACCGATCATTTATGAAATTCACTTAAATTAACTAAATTATACATATTTTTCTTGCATTTTAGCTTTTATTTATTACTTGACAAAGATTAGATGTCAAAGAATTTAGATACGTTAATTTGACTGGCTTCAGTAGCGTATCGGATGTTTGTGTTAATAAATACTTATTATAACTTATCTATTTTTATTAGAATTATATATTTTTAACAATTTTAATAACTACCAACATTTATTCACAACGTAAAATAAAACAACAAATTATTGAGTCTACCGCACGTCTACCCTACATCATAGTTTTACATTTTTTAAATAAAATTAGAACGACACTGATAAACCGGAATTTAAGTGGGCCATATTTGAGGCCCATCGCGGTGTACCTAAGATTTTTGATATGCTCCTTCCTTAGTCTTCTTATTCAAAGCTTCAAACAGCTAGGTTAAGAAAAATATGTGCCACGGCACTGTTTGGTGACATCGTCACAATTTGCTCTCGGGTGTTATTTGTCCTTGGATTCTTTAGTCATTGTCCGACACGAATTTTGACAGATGTCAAGGATTTAAAAGAAAACGAATACCCTATGTTAATGCTAAGGTTAATACCTTATGGGCCTTAATATCGTCTATTTACTATTAATTTTTTCGACATTGAGAAAAAATAGCAACCTACTAAAAAAGGTTAATCAGATTCGCAACTACACTGCTACTACTCTTCCGCCTTGATCTACTACTCTTTTTTTTGAGGATCTAGTACTATTTCAATTAGTGTAGTGGCAGCACTGGTCATGCCTTGCAAAAAAATGTCATTGGGACTGAACCTACATGCCAAATTTCAATCTCCTACAATAAAAGGAAGTGGTTTTAATTTAGCTTACAAGATTTGCCCCGAACAAACATACATACATAGATAGTTACATACAAAGCAAGTTAAATAAAAGCTTATAAAATAATTACAACCTTTTTAAGGCCAACTCCTCAGCTGTCTTTGGTGCCGTTTTTATTCGATCTTATAGTACTTTGAAGATGGTATAGAAACAAAAAAATATATTACCCTTTCATGCAAGCTATATGAAGTGGCAAACTGCAGGGAAACCTGTTGACATCAGCAGCAGTGTGTCTAGCTAGTAACCAACGGACCAATTCCACGTTGTTGGCACCTACACATTTTTGTAATAGGTTGTAACCAGCCTCATCATGAATTGCTAGTATATTTTCATTCTGTAAATAATATCAATTTTAGTTAATACTAATAAATATAGAAAATAAAACGGATCTTCTAAGCCAAATCTAGTTAATAAGTTTCCATAATGTTAAATATGATAAAGATTTATTAATGTATAGGTATAATTACTTTTGGAATTTGTAGCAATAACCCCTCTAGTCTTTGAACTCCAATTTTCGGATTTGCTGTCAGGGCGTCAAAAATTGTTTGAACTTTTTGTCTAGTTGAATCAGTTACTTTATGACCATGACCATTGCTCAATAGTGCACTGCCAGATTGAAAAACTTGGCTCACCGAACCACCCATGATATTGATTGTTGGTCTACCTATTCATGTTGATCGTGTAACACCTAGAAAAATAAAAAAAATCCAAGGGCTAAATACCACAGTTGGCCAAACATTTTTATGATCAAGGACACTTAGTCGGAATGACAGTTAAAAATTTCACACAATGATTTTCTGATTTGGTATTACCCTTAAACAAGGGTATTACTATTCATATTTTTGGAGTTTTGGGGACTAAACTAATAGAAAATCGGTGTTTGGTTTGGTTTTTATTTATTGTTTCAAGGCTAAACGATGACCGATGGACGAAGTGAATAATAGAATGAAAACCTTGTTCATAAAAGATATCTGTGTTTCATAAAAGAAATGAAACGCAGATATCAAGGTGGACGGAACATTGCAATGATGGCTGATGACTGCTGGTCAGTAAAAAGGGACAATCTGGCTATGGAATACATAAGAAAATCCACTACAGGAAGTTTTTCTTTCAAGATAGGGTCCAAAATAGCCCAGAGCCTATACAGGCCGAGGTTCAACAAATTAGCGACAAGCTGCAATTTTTCATGGAGCTTCATTTTGTAGATCTATAAACATCCTAAAACCCCAGCGATGAACCGTTGAGCCCGTCACCCCAAAACCACCCCCACAAGGGGTAAAAATGGCCTTTTTTTACTTTTTCTTCAATAACTCTAAAACTACGAATTTTAGGAAAAAAGGTCACGAGTAAAAAATTGAAGAGAAGAAAATTTCATACCACACAGGTAAAGAACCAAAATTTTTAGAATTTCAGTGGCACAGGTGCGAATTTTTTAATTTAGGAGGATTGTTTTAATAACCCACTTCAAATGAAAGCATTTTTGAGATAAATCTCCAAACCAAAAAATGTATTATGATACAAGTTCCTATAAAACGATCTTTTTAATAAAGGTAAGTTACCAGTGGCGGAGATAATTTTTTTAAATGTGCGTTTTTTACCTTTTAAAAACATTGAATAAGAAAAATTGCGTTTAATAACAAAATAAGAAAAACCTTAGCTCAAAAATAGAATAACTTATCTTAAGGGTAGTCCTCACTCACAGTATCTGCTGGCGGAACGAATAGATATGTTACTAGTGATATTATTTTGTGAGTTTTATTCAAAATCTGAGCCAGATAGGTATAGGAAAGCCCAATATAGTTTGAAAGAGCATTTAAATCTGCTTCGACTTATTTAAAAAAAATACATAGTGTTGCATTTGAAATAACGAAGTTTTTATGTAAAATAAATATTTAAAATAGACCAGCAATTTTTGCTACCCCTGTATACATTTAAGGAAGGAATAACATTTTTCTGTAAAGTTTATTTCTCTACCTTTAAACTCAGCACAAGAACTAATTCTGAAAAGTCATGTACAGGGTGTTAATAATCTATTCTATTGTACGAGGCATGTTTTTTAAGTAAGTACCGTTTTGGAATTAAAAAAAAACGTGCTGAGATATCGCAATAATTTTATTTTTACATGAAAGCCTGTACCTTAATCTACTTTTCTACATAATTTCCGTGAATATTGAGGCACTTGTCATAACGTGGCACCAGTTTTTCAATACCCTCCTCATAAAATTCTGCCGCCTGACTGGTTAACCACTGTATCACAACTGTTTTGACTTCGTTATCGTCTTGAAGACGCTGACCGCCCAGGTGTTTCTTCAAATGCAGGAATAAATGGTAGTCACTGGGCGCCAGATCAGGGCTGTATGGAGGATGATCTAGAGTTTCCCATTTAAAAGATTTGATGAGATCTTTGGTCAATGCAAATCCGTCAACATTTTCGGAACCCAACGTGAACACAATTTCCGGTAATTCAAGTTCTCGGTCACAATGCGATACAAAACACTACGAGAACATTGAGGAAAGTAGTCGCACAATGATGAGATTGTAAAGCGTCTGATTTCTTTCACCTTTTCGTCCACTTTCTGCACCAAATCTTCATTAACGACCGAAGGACGCCCACTTCGTTCTTCATCATGCACATTTGTGCGGCCATCTTTAAATGCTCTCACCCATTTCCTTACCATTCCATCACTCATAATGTTTTGTCCGTAAACTTCACAGATCTAACGATGAATATCGATCGGTTTTACGCCTTTAGCACTAAGAAATCGTATGACAGCCCGTACTTCACAATCGGCGGGGCTCACGATTGTCGGAGGCATCTTAAACACTCAATAAACAACGTATACAATGAAGAATCAGACTGTACTGGCGTCTGTGCATAGACAAGAGATGTAGGTAACCAGCGCGCATGCGCGGAACGCCGACCGTAGCGCTGCGGCGGCGGAATCGCAAAACGGTACTTACTTAAAAAACATGCCTCGTAGCATGCAAATTTAAATATCTTTCAATATCTCAAAAACCAAAGATTTTAAACATATTTAACCCTTATAATAAATATCTTTTTTTGGGCCCAAGAATCCAAAAATGAAATAAAATACCGGGTGTTCCATAAGAAAAAATATAACTTTGGTATGGATCTTAGTTCTGAAACACCCTGTACATTTCAAAATAATTTTAAATTGTGCACATTCCCTCCCCACATATACCCATAAAATATTTTGTTTCTACATCTTTCCGTTTTCGTATAATCAACCGAGGCGAATGAGGTGCGCCACCCTGTACAGTACATCTGCTGGATCTGTGTCTATGAAAGGAATGCGGACAAAAAACATTTAAATAAACATCAATATATTTTATACGTCGATTTGACGAGTGCGTCACCACAAATCGCTCCGCCCACTCATTTAATTGGCTACTTGCAAATTTGTTGAATTTTTATTGATGGGACGCGTCGTCTATTTTTTTACGAAAACCATCGAGAGAATATCGTTTCCCCTCTCACGGATACCCCGTAGCTACAGAACGGACAGACGTACTGTATATGTACTTGACCTTATATGCTAGACGTCGATACTAGTTTTGTACCTTTTCTTAACATTTTAATACGTTTTTTTGCAATTAATTAGTATGAGACCACCTAAATAAGCAGCATACACAATAGGCGTAGTCAAAACATTTATTAAAAACATAAATATCTCTTCAAGCAGCTAAGTTAAGAAAAATATGTGGCACGGCACTGTTTGGAGGTATGGTAACAATTTGGTCTCTGGTGTTATTTAGTCAACTTTAGTCATTGAAAGAAATATTAAAAATTTCACCAGTAAATTTCATCATTCAAAAAAGTGACCAAGAAAAACAATAACATACTACCTAATTTTCCTTGTTTTTGCTTTATTGATATTTTGCTTATCAGTGTATTCACATATTGACATTTTTTTGTATATTATACAAAAAATATATTAAAAAAACAATACTTATTGTAAAATGTTAAGAATATTTATAAGGAAACCATTTTTAGCTGTTTATATTTCTTTCTAAAACTTATATATTTTGATTTCCAAAAAAACAATACACTTTATCCCTTATTTTTATATACTACCTTACTGGAGTTATAAAATTAAAACTCTCTAGTACATTATAATTCCAAAATATTGAAAAAATACTTATTCTCAGTATATTTTTGCTTTAATATAATAATAATAGGTAGGTATATAGTACCACTAGTACCCTTATTATATTATATCCTTCCTATTTTATTATTAAAACCTTTACTAAATAATTTTTGGTACCTATTTAAAAAAATAAAAGATGGCACTTTGCCTGTTCATCCCAGTGCTAGATTTTCATTTTCATTTTGCATTTAAATACACAAATTTTATATATTATTCAGATTTAATAGACATTGTAAATTTACTTAAATACTCACTGTTTTCCTAAAAGCCATAATCATAATTTATTTTAAAAACAATAAATAACTATTATTAACAATTGACGTTCTATCACACCAAACTATAATCAATGCTTGAACCCATAAAATAATAGCTTGAAACAAACCATAACACAGTTTTGGGGGCATTAGAATTATTCAACCATTTATGTCCACTAACTGTGAAATATGTGGTGGTATTCTTAATTTGAAAACAGCCGTTTGCATGACCAACTTAATTATAAATTCATTATAGAAAATCAAAACATTCTATTGGACATTTAAAGAGAACGAAAATGTATCCATACATCTTTCCAGTTGACTTCAATATTTATATACGAGACTAATCAAGTTCAAATTAAAAACAATCTATTTTGGTAAGCAACTTACGTTTCAAAGACAATAATTTAAAAAAACACCATGTCAAGGACCAGAGTTAAAACAAAAAGGAATGTAATCTCTATAATCAGTATAGTCTGTCCAACGAGAAGATCCTTGACAGTGATAGATGTGTCTGTCATTTTAATTTCAAAGTAGTTTATTTTATTTTACAAAGAAATAAGTTGGTACAACTGGAACGCATAGCAGGAAATATTTAAAATTTGATTGACAAGATGACAAGTGATTACTTCAAAATATTGTGAAAAAACTGTATAAAACTGAAAAAATGTAATCGAGTTATTTTATTTAATAAAACCGGTATGTGTTAATACAAAACAAACAAGAAAAAGACACTACATACCAAAAAAATATAAAAAAGAACTATTTTTTACTTTCAAGCTTTATGAAACTACCGGCATTTATGATTATATTTATCAATATAACTTATGTACAAATACAAATTTGTAATATTCCACAGGAATAAATAAAACAACATAGGTAAATAAAACAAACTATTTTATTAATAATAACACCTACCAACTTTTATACCTTAAAGGTTGATTAATTAACTTTAATCTTAATTTTTTTAAACCAGTACCTCTTGACATTATTTTTCTGCAGTACTAAAATCCATTATTTACCTATCGTGTGATGTCGATATTTTACAGCTACTCCAGTTTTTAGTATGTGTTTAGTTTGATCCTTCTACCATATACGAGATGCACTTATCTACGACGAGATGGTATACAAACTTTAACGATGGGGTGTATAAGACTTTCTGCCTGGGCAGCGAGTATTAACCATAAACTGTGCTCTGGGTCTACAGTTAATTTTCACTCGATTTTTTCTCCACTTGACTTCAAAAGACACAATACACACGTAATAATACGAATCAAAATGCATCATCTTCCAAAACGCAGGGTATTTAACAAAAGTTGACACAAAATTATAACCTATAATTTGGCAAGACTTTGACAAGCGTCAAAAATGACAAAAATCTAAAGGCGAGTTCATACGCATCGGCGTCCGTTTATCATTCATCGTTCCGTCAAACCAATAAAATTGAAATACGATCTGTCATTTTTTAAATAAACCAATAAAACTGGTTAAAAACAACAAGACACGACGCATGACGGATTTATATTTAAACCCATCCATAGATAACTTAAAAACTATTAGAAACTTTTTTTAGTAAAATAAATAGATTGGTATGGGACGTCATCTGCTTTTCTTCTGTCATCGTCTGTCGAAATCTTACCTGAGAAAAAAAACAGAGTTTACAACAAAAACGGGATAACATGCAACGCGTTGTATTTTAAACGAACATAAACAATCACTGACAACAATTATTGTACCTAAACGCGTATTCCGAATATTATTTAATGTTTTTAGTTATTTATCATATCTTCTCTGAATAAAAACAATTTAATTACATTTACGCAAATACGAACGTCGTCTACCTAACACTCCCCTCAACCCACAATCGATATTTGACAAACGGACTGACAAGAATAACAAAACGTAGTTCCATCTCTTTTTACCATAGTTTATTTTTAAAATTTTTTTAAATGACATATTACTAAACAACTAAATTTACCATACCTTCAAATAATTATAATATAAAACAATTTGATTTTATAAATTTAAATAATTTATCAGATTTCCTCAGATCCCAATCTGATCAATTATATCGGAAAATCTCATATAAGTATATGGAAATCTCAATAAAATTGTTTTTGTCTGTCTCTGTTCACAGCTCTCTGTCTAACTTATGACTAATAACAAGTGCTTCTCATTCCTATTTCTTATTCTCATTTTATTTGATAAATTGGGAACGTAATTCAAACAGCTGATTGCGGTAACCAGGGTTGGCACCTGGCAAACATGATATAATTATTAAATGTATGTTTTTTATCCCAGAATCTAGTGATCAATCAGAAAATATGATAGAGAGTATTTTCACAGACAAAGTTAGTTTAAAATTGTGGTATTTTCAGAGAATAGGTACATTAAGGTAATAGGGTATTTTTTTAATTAAATTAAGGTATTAGGGGTATTTTCTATTTTGACATATAAATAATTCTTAGGGCGGATTTACCCAATTTCTTAATTGCTATTCCTTAATTCTTATTTCTTAGTCTCTAATTTGTAATTCTTAATACACAATTCTTTATCCCTTATTTTTTTAGAGACAGTTATCCAATGTCTTAATCCTTATTTCTTAATTCTTAAAACTGACACTAGTAGATCAAATCAAATCGTTTTTATTTCGCTGTGTTATTGTGTGCAATGAGGTCCATACAAAAAAATGCAGCACTTTCGGGTTTGTTTATAACCATGGCTTGTTGTGTCGCTACTCTCGTGAATCGCCACCGAGGTTGTAGGCGATTTGGGGTTCGCCCCCTGAATAGAAGAAAGGACATGGAAGGCAATTTTGGAACTCTAATACAAGACATGCCTTCCTTGGAATGGGACAAACAACAGTTCACAAAATACACAAAAAATTAACATTTCAAAATTTCACGCATGCGCATCTACACGTTTTCCTTAATCGCTAATTCGTAATCGCTAAAAAGTTAAAAGTTGGGAACTTTCAAAATAAAGAATTACGAACCGTGGTTAAGAATTAAGGATTAAGACATTGTATAACCAAACTAACTGCATAACACGTATTTTATCTTTTTATAATTTAGCGAATAAGAAATAAGAATTAAGGAATACCAATTAAGGAATTGGGTAAATCCGCCCTTATTCTTATGAGAGATTGCATTAAAATTTCTGAAACGGTCAGGTCAAATAACTCCTCGTCTCATAAAACATTTTCAACTAAATATAATATGTACCTATATTTATTAAAATAATACCGTATGATCGAAAAAAAAAGGTGTCCATGTTGGCTTGGAAATGACAATATCGATGCCATTCTTGCCCATATTAATAGGACACCATGATAGCTAGAATAAAGTAAATAAAGTAAAATATATTCAGCATATTTCATTTAAAAATAGTTGTAAAAAGTCCAACTGAAATCAAAATCTTTAGATATTAGTTTTTAATAGACTAAAGGCAACTAAAAGGTTTCTATTTTTTATGCAAGAGTTTACAGAACATAGTATTTTCTAAATATTATACCATTAATAAAATTGGCTTTCTTCTATTAGAAAAATATCTCAGTATATTTGGTTTAGCCGTTTAGCTTTGATTTGGTCTGAGAGAAATAGGTTTTAAAAAAATATCAGAAATTTTCAGTACAAAATTATTGTACAAAATTCTGTACAATTTTTACTGTGGACATTCTTGACGTTTGTCCACGTGTGCGCTGCATTCTTCCCCTACTTTGCGCGAAAAAGTACAGTTCACTGTTTTCCTTGCGATCGTTAATAATTTAATTGACCTTATCCCGCGAGCTTTTCTTCTAACTAATTAATTCCTTGTAATACTATTCAATAAACTATTTAAATTCAATGGTTAAAAGTGGAATGGGAGATCGGGATTGGCGTCCTTTTATATACGGAGGCCTCGCAAGTTGTGTCGCAGAGTTTGGTGAGTGTCGTTTTTATTTTTGAAATTTGCGGAGGTGGTTTAAATATATTTTTAATTTTATTTTTATCGTCCCTTTTTCTATTTATACTACAATACAAGTATTATTACTTTCTTTTGCCTTAAATTAATTGATTTGTTTAATTTTTAGGTTATGATTTTTCTCCAAATCGATCTAATTTGCATTCGTAGTGTATTTTTTGTTTTTCATTCTAAAAATACATTAATATTTTGAAAAATATGTTATTTTTATGAGAATTAAGGTATTTATTTACGGCGTATACAAGAAATTTGTAAGTTCTATTTAAAATCCCCTTGGTGTTTTTATTTGTATCATGATGTCCTCAGACCAACTATAGATTTGTATCCCTAAAAATAAATTACAAAGGCATTCTATTTTTAATTAGAAGTAATTAAGTGCAATATTATGCCAAGAACAAAATAGAAGTACTAAAAACTAATAAATTTTGATTATAAACAGGTTTATAGGTACATATAAATGTTATATATCCATTCTTTATTGTTAAACAAGTTTTAATGTTGTCATTAGTGATGAAATATTTATTTAACTTTTTTTGTATTCTGTGTTTTATATAGATTTTTAATTTCAAAATGGCATGTTTTGATAATAACATTTATCTTATCTATTACTAATTATGAAATAATTACAAAAGCTTAGTGTTTCATTATCAAAATCAATTTAATTCTCATTAAGGTCATGTTACATATGGCTTCTGTTGACGTATCAAACTTCACAGGGGGTAAATATATAGGGTTTTTCACACAATAATTAATTTTTTTATGGTCTAGATACAGGGACGGATACAGAAATTTATTTTAGGGGGGCCCAAATAAAAAATAATGCAAAAAACGCGTTTTAGGACGCCATTTTTAATCCAAAAGCCTAATATTTAATCCAATTCACAGATTTTAGGGGGGGCCGGGCCCCATGGGCCCCCCCTCTGTATCCGCCACTATCTAGATAGGTACAAATCTGATTGTTTTATGTTTGGATTTTAATTATAAACATTTTTTTTTAATTCTATATGAAGTTCTATACACACTCTGTGATTTTGGACTTATGTGATGGTTCAACTTACCTTAATGTAAAATTAAAATTTGATAGTTGGCCATTTGGAGAAAAACCTAAAACTTCCATAATTTAATCTTTTTTCTAAAAATAATATTTACTGATTACTGATATAGAGCTATTGACTTAAAATATATGTGAATACCCTGTATATCTCCAATTATTTTTTAACCTATAAAACCAGATTCTAAAAAGACTTGTAAAAAATCTGTGTTAATAATTACATTACTAATAATTGCAGAGAAAAAATCCAATTTTATTAAACAATTTTTTTACAAAATTCCAATGGATGATTAAACACACTTACATTATTGTTTATTTCATTTTTAGGTACGTTTCCTATTGATACTACCAAGACCAGATTACAAATTCAGGGTCAAAAACTAGATTTGAATCATGCACAGCTGAAGTACAATGGAATGATAGATTGCTTTTTTAAAATAGTTAAACAAGAAAGTTTCCTAGCATTATATTCAGGGTAAGAATATAGAAATACAGTGAAAACTCAATTATCTGGCACTCAGTTATACAGATTCGCATTCCAAACTTCATACATATACCAGGTGACCAACTAAGAATGGATGCCGGCTGTATCTCAGAAACTACATATCTTTATTATAGAAACTACTTTGTAGTTTCTATAATTTTATATATTGTGTCAATAATATTATGTATGTAGTTTTCTTGGTGTAGCGCATTTTGCTCTATCTCATAAAATAAAGTGGTGGGGAAATGTTAAATTTACTTTTTTTTAAAATACAGGGTTGTTCACCACATACGACACTGAATATTGTAGCTAAACGATTAGGTCTTTACAAATTGTAAGTTTTGGGTTTGGTTTGGATTAGTCAAAATGTTAGGGCTTCATTTCTCCAAGGGTATCAAAGTTTTTAATACTAAATATTTACTGAAGTTTATTTATTGATCAGTTATTGTGTTGCAATAATAAAAATTATACTACCTTATACAGAGAGCTTGTACCACTAGCCAACTCGCATACCCAACAATGTTGCCGTTTGTTGTCCCTAAATTTCGCAGTTCGGAACGCGTATAAACGAAAATCGGTCTGGTATGTCGCGTGCAATCTTAACAAAAAAAAGAGAGGGAGTAACCAAGGCAACTAGACTAACCCCAGAGACTAACCAAGGCAATCAAAACATGCCTACAGCGTTTTTTGATTGCTATTACCGACAACTGTAAATTAAAAAAAAATAAAAAAGTTTGGTTTGGGTTGGGGCACGATCCTGGGATCTCTCGTTCCCGAAGCGACGGCCTTACCACTGGATCTACAGCTGCTCTTGTAAAATTGGCTATAGCTAGGCGTTACTTTCCGCCGTTCTTAAAACCGTAGGCCTATTATTATTATAGGTCTATAATAGTAATAATATCATAATAGTATAATTAATTAATCTAATTATATTAGTTATACAGGGTTGTTCACCACATACGACACGGAATATTGTAGTTAAACGTCGAAAATCGACAAATATGAAAATATGAACCCTTCCTGGACACAAACGGTACTTTGTGAGACAGGAAATTGTAGAGAGAAACAAGCCCTATAACATAGGATACAACATTTTAATGAACAGTGCTTTCCATAAAGTGAATAAAATGAAAAATATACGAAATAATATACATGTTCTGATTTCTTTCAAAAATCGACATCTATGAAACTATGAACCCTTCCTGGACACAAACGGTACATTGTGAGACAGGAAATTGTAGAGAGAAACAAGCCCTATAACATAGGATACAACATTTTAATGAACAGTGCTTTCCATAAAGTGAATAAAATCAAAAATATACGAAATAATATACATGTTCTGATTTCTTTCAAAAATCGACATCTATGAAACTATGAACCCTTCCTGGACACAAACGGTACATTGTGAGACAGGAAATTGTAGAGAGAAACAAGCCCTATAACATAGGATACAACATTTTAATGAACAGTGCTTTCCATAAAATCAATAAAATGAAAAATATACGAAATAATATACATGTTCTCATTTCTTTCGAAAATCGACATCTATGAACCCTTCCTGGACACAAACGGTGCATTATGAGACAGGAAATTGTAGAGAGAAACAAGCCCTATAACATAGGATACAACATTTTAATGAACAGTGCTTTCCATAAAATCAATAAAATGAAAAATATACGAAATAATATACATGTTCTGATTTCTTTCGAAAATCGACCTCTATGAAACTATGAACCCTTCCTGGACACAAACGGTACATTATGATCTAATCGTTTATTAGATTTTTACAAATTGTAAGTTTTGGGTTTGTTGAAGTACTATTAGAGCTGCAATTTAAAAATATTTTTACAAGATACAGAGTGTCCCAAATAAGTAAAAAATATTATAGTTGTATTTTTTTAAATGGAACACCCTGTATATTATTCTATTTTTGGATTCTACGATTTAAATAAAGGCAAATTTGATTAAAGTTTATCACACTTAAACCTTACCGTTTTTGAAAAATATTTTCAATTTTATGAAATCGCAGTAAAAATTTTAAGGCTTCATTTCTTCCAGGATATAAAAGTTTTTAATACTAAATATTTACTGAAGATTATTTATTGATCAGATATTGTTTTGCAATAATAAAAATTATACTACCTTATACAGAGTGTCCAAAAATGTATTTTAAATAATTACTAGCTTTAAACGACAATAACTTGTTTAATTTAAATAGATTAGAAAAAGAAAACACTAATTCACAACAATACACCAAAACATTTTACTTTTGCACTGGACACGCGTTTTCCTAAACTATCGAAACATCGATCTGTAAAGTGGGTAGTTTAATCATCTACTGATGATGTGTTGAACAAGATGCGTTCACAAATCGCGCGGCCATTGCGAAAGTAAAGTGTTGTGGTGTATTGTGGGGAATTAGTGTTTTATTTTACTAACATAGTAACACGAAAAGTTCAAAAAATGAGATAAATAATAGTAATTTCTCATGTAAAGTAAACAATATTATGTTTACTATATTTTTTTGATTGAGTAATATTTGATTTATTTTTATTTTGAGGATATTAAAAAAGGGAGCATGTTACTTACTGAACCTCAGTAACACTCTTCTAATAGATTTTCTTTCTAGACTTTTGCCTGGTCAAACAGTCCCTTTATTTGGGATATGTGGCTCATTTCTCTACGCGGTATGTTATCGAATATGCAGTTATTAAAACGATCCTGCCTGTTTTCGATTATTGTTGCAGTATCTGGCCGGCAGTACTAAGGCAAGCCACTTATGGAACTATCAAATTTGGAACGTACTACTCGCTGAAGAGGATAATTTTGGAACATAACAAGGGCAAGGAACACGTCAGCGTTAATATACTTTGTGCTGTGATAGCGGGCGCATTCTCTAGCGCCATAGCAAATCCTACCGATGTGTTGAAGGTGCGGATGCAAGTGCAGGGAACCACCGGGAACGTAGGCCTAGTTGACTGCTTTAAGGAGGTGTATACCCATGAAGGAATCTCAGGATTATGGAGAGTAAGGAAATTATAGAGTAAGAAATAATACAGAGGCCTTCCTGTTTACAAGTACAAAAGACAAAGCAATAAGACTCTAACTCTCGGTCTCAACATATTTTTCATTTTATTGTGAACATCATCAGACAAATATACTGTTAAGATCACACCACACACGTTCACATCTTACATATTAAAACAACACTAGTCAGTGTTAATACCGAGACTTAGAGTCGTATTGCTTTGTCTTTTGTATTTATAAAGCAGGTCTCTTTGGGATTAATGGACGTCTTTTTTAAACTATTTACAAATGTTTGATTTTAATTATCTCCTATTTTATACCGTGCTGGCAACTCTTACTTTTGGGTCGGCATTTACATGTGTGGAAGTAAATCGCATAGGGATCTTATTAAGTCGGAGTGAGAGAAATACGACCGACGGTGTGCTGTTGCGGCGTTGCCGATACGCCTTTTTATTGATAAAGATTTTCACATACTGTCTACAAAGAAAATACAGCAGAAATATTAACAAAGTTCTTGAAAAAAGTACAATCTATTATTTCTATTAGATTTCGAGATATCGATTTTTGAATTCAGAGTTCTAATAGCGCGACCACTATCGAACACCCACTCAATTCCACTTATTTTTACCAAAAATGCAAGTGTTTCTAGCTTGCACTTAAAAAAAAATTCAAGCTATAGGGAAAATTACAACGACTCGTTAATAAATAAACAAATTTAATTAAATGTCCCTAGAACTTAAGTACTGACAGAGGTATTGATTGGGTCGACCGGTCAACTGCGATAAATCTGCTATATCCCCTTCCACGTCTCTTAGCGATGTGCACAGTTTCTCGGTTTATTTCATACGTTTGGCAACGTGTTTACTGTCCTCACTTTGTTCAGTACATTATAAACGCATGAAAAAACTGCCTGTCGAAAAAATTTCTATAGCCTAAAAAGAAAGGCGTATCGGAAAAATGTGGCAACGCCGCAACAGCACACCGTCGCATTTTTCTCACTCCGACTTAAGATCCCTATGCGATTTACTTCCACACATGTAAATATAGACTCAAAAGTAAGAGTTGCCAGCACGGTATATGTATTTATGTTTATATTATTTGTGGAATTTTAGTTATAGTATATGAGGGAATATTTAGTGCTTTAAAACTTAAGAAACATAATTTAATGTATATAAAAAAATATTTTAATCTCCTGCATATTTATGGAACAATTTTAAATATTAAAAAGATTAGAAAGTAATAAATTTTGTTTTTACATATTTGTAACATTATTTATTAATTTATTTATTAATACCAGTTAATTTACAATGTAGAAATACATGATAAACCGCAGAGAGACAGAGCTCTGTACGCGGACCGGTTTAACTTAAAAAATTAACAACTAAAAACTAAAAAACTAAAAAACTAAGAAGTATGAAACAAAAATAAATATAAATACAAACAAAAATAAAGATCAATTACTTATAACAGGCGATCAGTATTCCGCTTTAGCCAAAACCTGATAGTTCTCTTCAAATTTTTCTTTTCCACTGTTAAATTTTTCAATTCAGTTGGTAAGAGATTGAAAATTTTTATCGCTTTAATGTAACTGTCTTTATCACTTATTCTTTTGCTATTTTTTGGTATAATTATGTTTTTGTTTCTTGTAATACTTTTGGAGTTTATATATTTGTTTTTTAAGATCTCATAGTGAAAAGTTATTGCTTCTAAGTTATAAATTTGTTCAATACTTAATGGATTTTTGTCTATTACAAAAGAGTTGTTGTTGATTACTTTCAGTATTCTTCTCTGTAATGTATTTAATAGCGTAAAATAGTTATCATAAGCACCACCCCATGCTATAATACCATAACTAATAACACTTTGAAAGAAGGCATAATAAATTGTTCTAAGCATTTCAACATCCATGTATTTTCTTAGTTTATAGAAAACAAAAATTAAATATTTAGTCTTGCTAATCAGATATTCAATTTGTTTATCCCATTTTACATTAGAGTCAAAAATAATACCCAAATATTTACAACAATCAACTCTTTTTACATATATGTCTTTAATTTTTATTTCAACTAATTTAGGAACACTATCTGAGTAATTTCCAAAAGTCATGAAAACAGTCTTATCAATATTTAAAGACAGTTTATTAAGTGCAAGCCAATTTGCAACCTTATCTAGTAGTTCATTCATTTTTTTAATACTTTGCTCCCAAGTGTCCTCAGTAGCAATGATTGCAGTATCATCTGCATACGATATTATACAACCATCCTGTATGCCAATTAATAAATCATTTACATATAAAATAAACATCAATGGCCCAAGGATAGTTCCTTGAGGCACTCCAATAGTTACATCTTTATTCTCGCTTATATAATCATTAATTTTAACTCTCTGCTTTCTATGCTCAAGATAACTTTTCATTAGTTCATTGGCCTTGCCTCTAATTCCCATACATGAAAGCTTATCCAATAATATACCATGATCTACCGTGTCAAAGGCTTTTGCCAGATCTAAAAAAGTTATTAATACTGGTTTGCTTTTGTCTAATTTGTTATAAATGATGTTAGTTATATGATTTAAAGCGTCTGCAGTTCCTATTCTTTTAATAAAACCAAATTGTTTTTTAGATAAAATATTACAATTTATAATAAATTTATAAATTCTTGAATGAACAATTTTTTCAAAAATTTTTGCAATATTCGAGATTAAAGAGATAGGTCTGTAGTTAGATACCATAGATTTACTTGAACTTTTATGTATGGGAACTATATCAGCTAATTTAAGTGCTACCGGCCAAGTCGATTTCTCGATGCATAAGTTGAATATGTAACTTAGTGGCTCTACTATAAAATCAGCAATGGTTTTTAATACTTTAGTATTGATCATATCGACTCCACCATTTTTGAATTCAAATTTAGTAATTATATTATAAATCTCTATAGGACTGGTAGGTTCTATGAATATAGTTTTCTTATTTAATTTTGGCATTCTCAATGACTGATCCAGTGGCTTTACTATTTTATTACTCAATTTTCCTCCAACTGATGATATTTGTAACATTCAATATTAACTTTTTTTAAAAATTCTTTAGGGTGTTAGTCCGACAGCTCAGAGAGCAGCAGTGATAGCAGCTGTAGAATTGCCAGTATATGACTTTTGCAAGAACTATTTATTGCATTTGTTAGGTGATAGTGCTTCAAATCACTTTGTGTAAGTCATTATACTTTTTTTAGAATTTCAAATTAGATAATTTCTTACAATTCCAGGTCTAGTCTTTTTGCCAGTTTAGGGAGTGCTGTTGCTTCGACTCCTATTGATGTTGTACGAGTAAGTTCGTCATTTTTAATGAAATTTGGTTTCTAATGCTATTTCTTTTCACAGACACGTTTAATGAATCAAAGGAAACTTAAAAACGCAGGTGTTGCAATACCTCATCACATTTACAAAGGCACTTTAGATTGTTTTATTCGAACCTTTCAAAATGAAGGATTCTGGGCATTTTATAAAGGATTTGTTCCAACTCTGTTTCGGATGGGACCTTGGAACATTATATTCTTTGTGACTTATGAACAGCTCCATCTCTTTTATTGAACGACTTAACTTTTTATTTTAAAAAAGGATTGGAAATCATTACTTAAATCTTTGAAAGAGAATTGTTTACACTTTTTTTATTTATATTTTATTTATTATCTAGCTATAATTCTGTATATAAATATGTGTACATTAATAGCTACAAATAAATATAATTATGTGAGTCATTGGTATAATTTTCTTAATAATAGAAGAATGGCTACAAATGTGACAATGCATCATAAAATCACTAAAAGTCTGTCCAACGAGTTGGGTAAGATTTTGATAGATGATATCCAAAGAATGACAGAATACAATTTTCCCAGGAATTAAGCCCCATTCTTAGAACTACATTCTGTCGCTGGCGATACTGTTAGACACTTCAAACAACCAATGAGACCTGTACTAAATTTAAAATTGACAACTGTATGAATTTTCTACAAATCTCATTGGTTCCTTTGACGTGTTGCTGGCGATAGTATGAAATTCCGAGAACAGTGCTTTAAGCTGGGAGCCATGTTCTCAGAACTTCACACGTAAAAAGGACCAATCAGATTAGTACAAAATTCAAACAGCTGTCAATTTTAAATTTAGCTCAGCACTCAATGGGTGCATTCAGTACACACACCGGTTAGTCCACCGGTGTAGAAAATTAAAGTGAATGCCAATGGTAACTCACCGGTTGTGGTCACTGATTACTTGAGAGCCTACGGTATTCTGTCATAATTGTCATCTGTGTCATAATTGTCATCTGTCACATTTTTTGTTGTCTCGATCATTCAATAAAAAATAATAAAAGTAATTGGTAGGTTTTTACCAGTTGATGTTGATACCGGTGTGTTTACTGATCGCGCCCATTGATTGTTTAAGTGTCTAACGGTGTCGCCGGAGACAGAACATAGCTCTGAGAATGGGGCTTTAAAATGACAGACTGTCACTCTAAGAGGACTTCTTGTTTGACAGACCATACATGTTTTTGCTTAATTCCATTCTATGACTATTCTTATGTTGAGAATGACTGTCCTCTGTGACAAAAAGTATAAAAAGCCTGAACATTCCTAAATGTTTCCCAAGATTTGTTTTCTAGATCTGCTGATGCTTTTATTTCTTTGAAATCTCCAACAACATGAAGGACTCCATATATTATTACAAAAAGACTGATGAGTGCTTGAATAAAAATCTAAAAATATTTAAATATTAACATCTATTATTTAAATATTTAAATTAATCTTACGTCTGTAGGCAAACGGGTAAAATCTAATTCGTTAAGCCTCAAATATGAACGATCTGAAAGAAGAAACTGATTTATAGTAGAATAAAATTGTTATTGATCTAGATAATAAAATAAATGGGTTTACATACGTTGTGCTGCCGAGTATGCAGCATGGAACAGTGATAGAAAACCTAGAGTTAAAATAAATTTATACAGCGCATTAGAACTCATTTTTATATAAAATATATCAGACGATTAAAACTAATTATTTAAACGATTTAATTTACCATCTGTCATGCAGTAATAACCTGACTTCTTCTTTTAAGTTTTTGGCTCATAGACTAACTTTTCTTCTATTAAAAAAAGTAAAGTTTCATGTACGTTTCCTTTTTGCTGCTAGGGTGATTCTAGACAGACCTACTTTGTTTACGCGGATTCCGAACCGCGATCCCCGACCACTGTCCTTGCCCGCTGATCATCCCTAAACGCGCCCTATATCTCTGGTTTTTACCATTAAAAATGAAAATAATCTTGTCATCTGTCATATGTCTGTCATCTGTGATTGTCTGTGAAGCCCCGTTCTCAAGCCCCGTTCTCAGAACAGCGACTGTCGCCAGCTACACGTCAAAAGAACCAATGAGATTTGTACAAAATTCAAACAGCTGTCAATTTTAAATTTAGTACAGCTCCCATTGGTTATTTGAAATGTCAAACTGTGTCGCCCGCGACACGACGTTGTTCTGAGAACGGGGCTTCAGAACTGCGACTGTCGCCAGCGACACGACAAAAGAACCAATCAGATTTGTACAAAATTCAAACAGCTGTCAATTTTAAATTTAGTACAGCTCCCATTGGTTGTTTGAAATGTCAAACTCTGTCGCCCGCGACACGACGTTGTTCTGAGAACGGGGCTTGAAGCCCCGTTCTCAAGCCCCGTTCTCAGAACTGCGTCGTGTCGACAGCGACACTGATTGACACTTCATACAACCAATGGGAGCTGTACTAAATTTAAAATTGACAGCTGTTTGAATTTTGTACAAATCTGATTGGTTCTTTTGTCGTGTCGCTGGCGACAGTCGCAGTTCTGAGAACGTGGCTTCAGAACTGCGTCGTGTCGACAGCGACACTGATTGACACTTCAAACGACCAATGGGAGCTGTACTAAATTTAAAATTGACAGCTGTTTGAATTTTGTACAAATCTCATTGGTCCTCTTGACGTGTCGCTGGCGACAGTCGCTGTTCTGAGAACGGGGCTTGACTGTTTTGGAATATAGCCCCGTTCTCAGAACAGCGACTGTCGCCAGCGACACGTCAAGAGGACCAATGAGATTTGTACAAAATTCAAACAGCTGTCAATTTTAAATTTAGTACAGCTCCCATTGGTCGTTTGAAGTGTCAATCAGTGTCGCTGTCGACACGACGCAGTTCTGAGAACGGGGCTTATTTTTGGAAATATCTTTCTGTCAAATAGGTATTGTTATTAATTTTTTTTTAGTGTTTTGATACATTAATCTTGCGTTGTTTTTATCCAAATCTAATTATTTTAGTGCACCAATTATTATATGATATTTTATTTAGAAATTGCAGTTTGAGAAATAATGGGAGCTGTTTTGGGTCTTTGTTCTGCAGCACAGGTACTTTTTTTTATCAATTTACGTTTCAAAGAAATTGTTACTTTGTCGTGATTACTTGAAATCTGTAGTAGTTTGAAATATATTCAAATACTAAATCCAAAACGACATATTGACATATTATATATCTGTATTAAGCCAGACAATAGATTTAAGAGTAAATAAGGTCCTCTTTTAACAGTATTTTATTCATTCAACATTATTAAATTCATAGGCAATAAGAACCAACTCATTTATATCTCTTTTTTATATAGCTAGCCTGTTGTTGTGGTAGTGCAGCATGTTCACTATGCTGTTCTGCTTGTCCATCATGCAGAAACTCAACCTCATCACGTATTATGTACGCATTAATGCTATTGCTTGGTACAATTGCAGCCTGTATTACTCTAGCTCCTGGATTGCAGGATGCTCTTAAGAAGGTCTGTATATTTCACAAGTATGTTTATTTCTTATAACCTAGTTTACTACCTTCAAAACACAGGTTCCCTTCTGCGCTAACAGTTCAAGCTCAGGACAAGCTGTTTTACCTGCATCTGTGGTATTTGATTGTGACAAAGCAGTGGGATACTTAGCGGTCTATAGAATTTGTTTTATATTAACATGTTTCTTTGCTCTGTTTGCTTTGATGATGATTGGAGTTAAATCATCTAGGGATCCGAGAGCTGGAATTCAGAATGGGTATATTTGAAGTTTTTTTGGTTATTATGTTCCTTTAGTTAATTTAATATTTTTACTAGATTCTGGGGCATAAAATACCTTCTAGTTATTGGTGGGATAATAGGAGCATTTTTTATTCCTGAAGGAACCTTTGGGATAACATGGATGTGGTTTGGGATAATAGGTGGCTTTATGTTTATTTTAATTCAGTTAATATTGATTATTGACTTTGCACATTCATGGGCAGAAGCATGGGTTGGCAATTTTGAAGAAACTGAATCAAAAGGATGGTATTTTGCACTGTTAGGTGTAACATTCTTGAATTATGTACTTAGTATTGCTGGTGTAACTTTATTATATATATTCTTTACTCAGGTAGATATAAAACACAGTAACAATCGATGTACATTTTTAACTATATTATTTTCTAGCCTCACTCCTGTGACCTAAACAAATTCTTTATTTCCATCAATTTAATTTTCTGTGTGATTGTTAGTATTCTTTCTGTTCTGCCGGCAGTTCAAGAGAAGCTTCCACGATCTGGATTATTACAGTCATCTGTTGTAACATTATATGTAACATATTTAACATGGTCAGCTGTTTCTAATTCAGCGAGTAAGTATAGTCTTAAACAAAGTTTATAAATTTAATTACAAATTACAATATCACTTAAAAGTTTACTTTGATTAAATAATCATATACAGTGACCCAGTATTCTGAAAAAGTTTCATATATCAGGATTCCTATTTGACATTTTTATATTAATTGATTTAATAAAATAAGCTAATAAGCAATATTATTACACATTTTTAAAAAATTAGATAAGACCATTTAAATTTATTTTTACACTAAAGTTGCAGTTTTTTTAATGAAATGCTGTATATTTTGTTACTTATTTTTTATAAAATTTACCTTCCAAAAATTCTACGGTGTCATATCATAATATCCTTGTATATGAATTTTTAAAGTAGCTCAACCTAAGACGTTTATGGATGTAAAGCACCAGATGGCGGGGCGTATTTCACGGTCTTTTACTACAGAAAAATATTTTTTGTTACTCTGAATTTTGAAGCGACCAATAAAAACAGAGAAAATAAAAATCGATAATTTTCGGACTGTGCCAATTGGTTACTAATCGACCAGATACTTTTGTCTATTAGATATGCTATAAAAGCTGGTAATATACAATTCGACCATTGTAAATACCCGACAAATTCCGCAAGGCCGACGAGGCCGATGCTTTTCACTGATAAGAAAAAAAAAATGTTTGTTTAGATAATTTTCGAGATATTTTTTCTTTCTGAATGCACATTTTTAAAGTATTTTATATTCTTTGTCCGCTTGATTTATTATACTGGTCGCACGTATGGAAGTTCTGTTTCTTCTAGTTTTAAAAAATGTTCTTATTTCTTTGTACAACCACTACAACGGTTATAGCGTAAAATTAGATTAATTTTATTAAGTTTAATTATAATGTTTAGTGTAGAATACCAGAAATAGTTTAGTAGTGTTTTTATAGTTTATTATTTTGTAGTTAAGTAGTAGGTGAAGGGATAATTTGGTTATTTTTTCTTTTTGTTTAATTAATTAGTAAGTTTGATAATTTTTTCAGTGTAGAATACAAGAAGTAGTTGTGTAGTGTTTTTATAAGAGATTATATTAGTTTATTTTGTAGATGAGTAGTAAGTAGGTGAAGCTATTTGGGTATTTTTTCTTTTTGTTTTTCTTCTAACTGTAGCAATTCTATTAAGTATTGTGATAGATACACTATATCTTCCTTCAATTTAGTTGAAAAGTGCGTTATCATATAATTTTGGTTTTCTGGTAGTAGAATATACAAGAAAAAATCTGATCAAATTTATTTTAAATTAAATTAATCAAGTCTTATTAATCAAATTAATCTAGTCAAATAATAATAATAGTTAGTTTCTAAATACTATAAGGGTGAGTTTCCTACGATGTTCTCTATGATCTCGGAAACTACTGGAGATAGAGAGTCAGTTAAATGGGGAAAGAATTGTAGTTTTGTGGGGTCATAAATATGCGCCTTTCAAAATATGGGAAATATCGATCGTCATTTCATAGCCATCGCTGACGCCGTTTTTATTCGATCATACGGTATTTTAGACAAAAAGTTTTCAGATAAAAGTTGTAGATAATCACATACCTAATGAATTTGTGTTTTCTGTTTTTTTTCTAAAGCCTGTCATTTTTGACATATGACACAAACATTATGTTTTTTTAAATGGACACCATAGTTGGCCATGACTTCATAAAAAGCGCCATTTTTAAGCTTTTATCAGCGATATAGGTATAATATTTTTTTTTCGAAAAATTACAAGTTATAGCCAATTCTTTTCTTTCTTGGCTAATTTCCATACCAATAATACCATGCCAATTAGCTGGCATCAAAAATGTAAAAAGTTTTATGTTTTCAAAAAAAATATCGTAAAATTCGTAAAGCACTCAATTTAGAATAAAATAATCTAAGCATGAAATGATTCTTTTATAAACCTGCATTAAATCAAATTAAAATAGGTATGTAACTTTTTCTTTAAATATTAATCAACAGCAATTAGCATTATCATAAATTATTATAAATAATGTACCAACATATCGAAATAATAATTTCTTTGTTAATACGGTTTACAATTCTTAAAATAACGGGCAAAAATAATCCACAATTTACAATAAAATAAAAGTTTCGTTTAAATTTCTTAATCAGCTGATCACTATTAAAGTTCGCAGAAACCCGGGCTATATTATTACATTACTCTGAGGAAAATAACGAAAATAATCGATATTTTTGACTCCGCCCCGAAAGGTTCACGATTTGTCCTCCAGTTGGCAGCACATTTTGTCTAGTCGGTTGAGCAACTTTAAGAATATATAAACAAGGATAATATGTATCACTGATTCAAAAATAACTATTTTTGACTATTTCTATACATTTAAGCTCTCAAAATTATAAAATTACAAATAAATATTTTTTTCAATTGTAAGTACTTTATAAGCAAAACAGCGTATTAAATTTAATATACTGTTTTGATTGGTATGTACAGGGTGAGTCAAAACTAGATGTAATTTTCTCTATTACTTTAAATTCATTCTGCATTCTGAATTCTATTACATTAAATAATGTAGTTTTTATCCAACTTTATGATTCAATAACTAATAATATTCAAAATCGATGTTTGTTCACTAATATTGTTATAAATATGAATCAATAAATATGATTTATTGTGCACCAGTCATTGATTCCTCAGGTGCCAATTATTTTATGAAATTAATTGAAAGTCTTTATCTTATTTATATATTCAAAAAAAATCAAATTCTATTTTATTTACTATGTTAATTTATATTTTTTAGAGGAATGCAACCCTGGATTATGGGGTATTTTTGGTGGAAAATCAAATGGAAATGATTTTGATGTTGTAGGTTTATTTATTTGGATGTGTTGTGTTCTGTATTCTTCTTTGAGATCTGCTAGCAAATCTTCGAAATTGACCATGTCAGAAAATATGTTGGCACATGATAACGGAGCAGGTATGTATATTCTTACATTTATTTTATATTTTGGTTGTTCCGCTTTCTATGGTTATTTAACATTGCTGTATAGATACCATGGCATTATGTAGTGAATTATTAAAAATTAATTTTATTGTATTTATTTTAAATGTTTTTTATAGTGTATTTGTGAAAGTGTAAATGTTATAGCAAGTGGTTAGTTGTCATGTTTTATGTCTTTAAGTGAATGATAGAGAGTTATTTAATAAATAGGAATAAGGAAAAAGGGCACTGCATTTAATAATTGAAGGGTCCAAGGGGAAAAACTTGATAAGCGATAAGTCAATTTCTTAATTTTACGATTTTACAATATATTGTTATTACAATTTTGATTTTACAATATATTAGACTTACTATAAGGTCTGACTGGTTCCTAAAAAATGTATAAACTCTGCAGGGCATTAATTTGTTAAATGCTATGATATATGCCATATAGATAGTAAAAATATAGAATACACGGAAAGAACCTGATAACCGCCAGCCGTCCAGTGCTCTACTGTAACGTCTCTAACTCACTGACGACCAGGTCGCAACGACCTGGCCGTCGCGTCGGCTGGCCGGATGTATTGCGTTTATAGCTGCGGCCAGATGGACGACCAGTTTCAACAGAGTTGTCAGATCCATAAAATAATTAACTAGAAAGAAGTGTCAACTCTGTGTTAAATCGTGGAAACACGATACGCCACCGAAAGCCTTCGTTGTCTTCTGGAGAACTAATTTTCCAATTGACAGGTTGACATGATAAGGACATGATGGCTTAATTTTCATTTCCGTTTCCGGTTATTCAATGGCGGGTCCTCTTTCAGTTCAAATGTATTTTGTATTTTTACTTTTCATAAATAAAACCAAAAAATAATTTATTCACATATATTTATTTGAAATATGGAACAACGTGACTAAATAAATATAAAAATATAGAGGATTGTATTGTTTCAATACCAATTAGTTAATTATATGTACTTTTAACGTAAATTAGTTAAGGTATAAGTATGACTTACAGTAATTTGTAAATAAACACACGTGTTCGCAGACTTCAAGAACAGAAAACGGACACACGAACATGAAAACGGGAGCCTTATACAAAAACCTGAAAACAGAAAAACAATTTTTTTTATACTAAAATTAACAATGTAAAAATATCAATAGGTATAAAATATAAATATACTGTTTAAAAAAGCGTCCATTATTCCCAAAGAGGCCTGGCTTATAAATCAAAAAGAAGCAAAAAGAGACTTTTAGTCGGATACCATAATCAGATTATCAGTCCGATTTATTGCATTATTGACAATAAATCGCACATACTGGAGATAACTAATGTTGACTATAGTTAAAAATGATCTTACCTTGCTGTAAATTGCTTCCATTTTCAGAAAAATCATCGATCAAAGATATTATAACACCATTTTCTTGCATCTAAAAAATGTAAAAACAGTGTTTATTTACTACCTATTTTTCATATACATGGGACATACCTACTACTGCAGAAACGTCGTTTTCTCCAGGATTCTTCATGTAATATATATTTTATATACTTTATTACCATTATATTTATAAATTTCAGCCGAAATATTAAATTGAACTTCCAAAACGAAACTAAACGGAATGAATTAAAATGGCGTCGAATATTTTCGAATTTGTTCTAGAACAAATCTGAAGTTGTCTCTGAAACTGAAATCTGTCAATTCTAAACTGTGAAGTTAGACAATAGTTAGACAAAAACAATGCTGTCCTTGTCTAGGCGGCCATACTTGTCGTGAGGAGAATGACAGGAATGACACTAATGACTGTTTCCAATTTTCCTATTTCACTGTCACCCCCCTGGTCAGATCTAACGATTTTTTACGTTTTACTTTTACCAATTAGAAAATATTGTTTCAGAAGGAATTAAGTTTCAGAAATGTTAAAATATCCGAGTTAACTAAAAAGCGAAGTTGCTATTCATGAGCTTATTAAATGTTCTAATATTAAATAATGCATTTAAAATATTCTTGGATTTTTCGTTAATAAATACTGGTGTGGTAAATGGAGTAAGTAAAATCTCCAACCCCGACTACACGATAACGTCGTTATTTCCATGTTTTTCAATTCCGCGATGCCTGCTTTTCCATCAGTCGTTTCATAACAGAATATTCTACATCCTACGTCTATGTAATTTAATATGTGTAGAGTGAGACATGTAACGCGTGAGATGTTCAGCATTATATCAATAAAGGACAAAAACAGTATTGTTCCTAAAGGCGCGTCCAGACTTTGGCATTTTAGCCCGAACGAACCGAACGCGCACGAACAAGCAGAACAAAAAGGCCGAACAAAAAGCATTGTGTACGCGCAACCGACAAAAAGGGAGATATTCAGTTTCTTTTTTCTACTGATATGGGCTTCTACTGATGGCTCTTATCGACTTTAGAAGTAAACATATTAGGGCCATCGTAAAAAAAAGTCGTTAGACACTGGCTCTAAATATAAGCAGGTAGAAAGTTTAGCTTCCACTTATTTCAATGTTTACAATATAAATTCCTCTTTTTTATTGTTACTGAGAACCTATAACAGTAAATATTTCTGTTTTTATGAATGTTTAAGTTACTTTTACTCTTAATTTTTTTTTAAATAATGTACCTAGTAGAAATATAGTTTAATGAACCCTGTTTGAAAAACGTTAAATTAAATATAATATTTAAAATACAGTTGTCCTCCTTGTACATGACTACAATACAACTAAAAATAATAATTTAATAAAAAAAATAAGTGGTTGTAGAAAAACTTTAAATATGATTTTTTAACATCGAAACTCGAAGGTATAATAACAGGTATCATACCGACCATAAATATAGTATGTCATATAAAAATGTTTTGAATTTTTACTAGAATCGACCCTTGATAAAAAAAAGGGACTAGATTTAAGTTTCCCTTTGATCCAGTCTGTATACTATTTCTTTGGATTTTCTGCACGTGTGCAAAAACTACACTAAAACACTATATCTTATAGAAAATAAAATATTGTGCATTGATTTTGAGGGATTTCATCTGAAAAATTATTAATTTGGAAGAAAACCGGCAACAAGCGTCAGAAAATTATAATATTTTAGTGCAGTCTACTGGTCGCAACCACCAACGGACGGCCAGGACCTTAGTGTGCGCGGTATCATTTGATTTAATGGTTTTAGAGGTAGAAGCGGCCTGGCCGGTGCGACCTGGGCCCGTATTCTGTAACTTTGAAAACGCTAAGCGCTTTTAGACGCTCAGCGTATATGACGTTAATTTTCGCTGAGCGCGCACTTTATCAACGATATCGGTATTCTCGTCTGACGTGCTTAGCGTCTTTACTGATTGCGCTGAGCGCTTTGAAAACGGTTGCCTTAAAGGATCGTTTTGCTTGTCGAACTGTCAGTGAAAATCGAAAAAATTGTGATTTTGTGCGTCATCTTGCTCTTTAGTGAAAATTACTACTTTTTTTATAAATTCCTCAATAAGTAATTGATAACTTACGACTTGACAGCTATAAATATTGTTCAAAACATCGAAAATGCTGAGAAGCGTCTTCAACACTTCCCTCGTATAATAAGAATAATGACATATCCATAGAAAAATAGCTTGACATAATTCAACAATAGGTTATGGAATTCACGTAACATTGACATTTTTCATTGTTACATCCGTCAGTTATTAATTTTGGCTATTAGCTACATTAGAAATTGTGATGTTGCCAATATGTGCTCAACGCGTATCCAGAACACGATTCGCATGGCAACGAGAATACCAAAATCGACTGCCTTGCGTTTCGCTGATCGAATACTTGCGCTCACCGCTTTGACAGCGTAACGTTTTCATGTCAAAGTTACAGAATACGGGCCCTGGTCGTCAGTGTGTTCGAGTCCTAAAATTAGTAAAATGGCGCAATCATGTTTTTCCTCTGGACCTTCAATTGAAAGGCTTATTGTAATAATATATGCCACAAATCCGTAATTCTGAATTATTAAACTTTGTAGTCTTTGAAAAAATGTGTAAATTTAAATATTAATAAATATAAATTTAAGACGTTTTAGAGATAGTTAGAGTTTAGTTTAACTGGTGTGTTACTAAGTATTTATCTTACGAATTTGTTGGATAAAAGGCAAGAAAAACGCTACTTACTAGTTAATGAAACTGATTTCTGGTTGAGTTGCTTATCATGTTATTACAATAAGCCCTTCAATTCATAACGTTTGTATTTTTTATGTTTTTAGAACGGACTAGTTTTTTGCTATGTACAGGGTGGACCATTTTGGTTGTTTCTATAGGGTATCTAGAAAATCGTGAGAAATATTCAAATTTTGATACTGCAGTCTCGGGTTCTTTTTTTGAAAAAATTACAATGGCGCAAACCGATTCCCAAATTTTGTACTTTTTGAAGATGTTCGATAGTATGTTTATTTCAGCAACCACGGAAAAATGAATTATACATTCTAAAGGCACTTTTCTGTGTAGAATGTAGTGGCGTGGTCAGACTTTTTTCGAAAAAAATATTTTTTGAGATATTAACCATACTTATGTTTTTTTTTAAATAGAACCCCCTGTATATTTTTAAATTTTCTAATTCAGCTTGGCATGGGCTTCTCGAATATATAACACTCTATATTTATTTTTACTATTAACCTCAACATTTCAAATTTTTCTTAAAATGCCCACTTAGTAGATAGTAGGCCGCGCCGAGTAACAAAGTATTCGGTTGTCATGGTGATCGGGACATACCTTTGATGGATGCGTGACATTTCATTTCAACCGATTGAAGTGTGTGTATTTTAAATAATAAAAAATGAGTAAATTTGAAAATTTTGAGAAATATAATGTTAGAATGTTATATTCAGTCTAACAAACATAAGCAAATGGCAGCTGATTTATATTTTGAGCGGTATCCAGAGCGCGAGCAACCATACCCAGCCATTTTTAAAAGGTTAGAAGATAGTTTAATCAATTTTGGATCTTTTCAAAAACCGCGTCCGAAAGATTATCAGAAAGAAGATGAAGAAAATCATTTAAACTCTGAAACGGGGCTCTGGTGCACAATAGGTCCCCACGCATTTAACACTTTTTTGGGATTTTTTTGCAAGATTATCTTAAACTGAATATTTTTAAGCATAAAAATTGTTGGATGAATGTGTTTTATCTTTAAAAAGCGGCAAAAAACGTATTTTAGGTACAGGCGACGGACAGTAAATATGTTAAATTTTCTACTCGGATTCAGTAAAAACATCACATATTAGTACTTTATTACCTTATATAGACGTGGAATGATCTAATTTAAGCACAAAATGTAACGAATCTTCTTTGTAAGCATAAAAATTAAGAAAATATATTTATTTACATCAGCTCAAGCTAGCAATTTTATGACTTTTTCGATTGACAGTTAATCGATCATCGGTATGTCATCTATGGCCTTCGCATAGAATTTGCGACGTTGTCAATAAAATTACTTTATATGATTTTCTTCTGAAATAAAGTTGTGGAGGGACTTAAAACGGTAAGTTATCACTTTAGTGCAACAAAAATTGAACTGTCTAGTAGCTTATTCGTTAGTGTGGATTATTTTAAAGCAATTTCTGAAATAAAATTTGCGGATTTTTCAGGTTCTACGAAAATATAAGTTTTTTTAATATATAGTGTTTTTCGACGCGTAATCAATGAAGTTTTGTCATTAGGCTCAATTAGGTTAGCCTGGTTATTTGGAGGGTGTTAATGCATTGGTTAGCCTGGTTATTTGGGGGTGTTAATGCATTGGTTAGCCTGGTTATTTGGAGGGTGGTAATGCATTGGTTAGCATGGTTATTTGGAGGGTGTTAATGCATTGGTTAGCCTGGTTATTTGGGGGTGTTAATGCATTGGTTAGGTTAGGTTAGATAGGCTGGTTATTTGGAGGGTGGTAATGCATTGGTTAGCCTGATTATTTGGAGGGTGTTAATGCATTGGTTAGCCTGGTGATTTGGAGGGTGTTAATGCATTGGTTAGCCTGGTTATTTGGGGTGTTAATGCATTGGTTAGGTTAGGTTAGATATTCTGGTTATTTGGAGGGTGGTAATGCATTGGTTAGTCTGGTTATTTGGAGGGTGTTAATGCATTGGTTAGCCTGGTTATTTGGGGGTGTTAATGCATTGGTTAGGTTAGGTTGGTGGGGAGTGTTTGGAAGTACGCAGATCACATCGATTTCGGAATCTTACTGAACAAATCCGGGAAAAATATATTTTTAAACAATTGTGCTAAATACTGTGTAATGATTTTATTGTCAATTTATTTTTATAGTGTTTTTGTTTTGCCTCGTTTATTATATTTTTAATTTTTCGTGTTCTTAAAGTGCGTACTAAATGTAAAAAAATGAATAGAAAGTAGAACGTTTTCGTCGATTTTACACAGGGTGAGTATGGCAACACTGTGCATAACCTTGTATTTTACTGTCTTTATGAAGGTTATAATAGGGAGTTTTCGCATTGAAATGTAGTGAAAATTTGGAATTTTCAATTATTTTTTTTCGTAGAAAAAGTGGTTCATCCAACAATTTTTTTCTTTTAAACCATTCCATTAACTATGGGATCCACATTAAAAATTAAAAAAACCACGATTTCGTGGGGACCTGTTCTGCACAAGACCCCTGAAACGGTAACGTTGATGTGCGGTTTTCACCGTCATGTTTTTGATGAAAATTGGGCTCCAGACACCGATATTAGTTCTCGTCTATCTTCTATAAAAAAACGGTGTTTCCCTTTAAAAGCTTTCAATTTGACCCACCCTGTACATTTAAATATTAAAAATATAATAACGATTATATAACTTAATATCATTTTTTCTATTTGTTGCAAACCTGGTGGATGACTTTACATGAGCACACGAATTATAATTATAATTTTATTTGCAATATACTCAAAAGTTTATTCTGAATTTTTAATCATTTTTATTCATTCAAGAACAAGCTTGTGGAATTTTAGAGCTTTTAATAAATAATGGAAAAAAATGGCGTCACTTGAGGAGCCTTTAAGATGATAATCTATAATAATTTGTGATATTGGGTTAAAAATAGCGCCTTAAAAAGCATATTCTACATTAATTTTTTAAAAAAACCTCATAGACTTATGCGAAAAAAAACTCAAAGACTTATTAAGACTCGTCCTATATAATTTATTAACAATTGATATAAAAACTTTTCAAGAATTAATAATTAAAACTTAATATAGAAAAGATCTTCTAGTCATAAAAAATCTATTTTCAAAAAACACCTCTCAGCAAACTTTTTGCTTTTTTTCCATATAGATATTAATTTTAGGAAGTTCTTATGTCAGTTTTTGATGTGACCCAACGAAATTATGACAGATTGACTCCGTTTTCATTTGATCGCATGGTCATTTGGCGATAGAAGTAGTTGCTAATATAGGAATAAAGCTTGATTTTCATGCATCCGTTGTCCGACGATGCGATGATACGATTTATTAATTATTAGACTTTAGCATTATTTGTATATATTATACAATATGGCATATTCCTGTCAGAAATGGAACTATTTCTATCATTTAGAGTACGTCCCCGGATCGTCTTTACAAGAGAAAAGACTTTTTCATCTCATGGTCTCGTATTTCTACAAGAAAATACATTTTCAAATTCCCATACCGTTTTTGAGAAAAATAAAAAAGATGAAAATACGGTGAAAATCTATTATAGTTCTTTTTTTTAGGTTGGCACAAAAAGGGTTCTCAAAATTACTGCATCTATTTTATTGCATCCTATACAAAAAAAAAACTGTAAATTGCGCGTGCCTAGGGTTTCCATACTTCCGGATTTTTAAAGTGTCCGGTCTGTTTAAAGTGTAAGTAAACTTAGTAAAATATTTTACCAGTTACAGTTGAATTAATTTCTCTGTTACATTGTTGAATATTTAGTATCTACGATCACAGATTAGGTATCCTATAAGTATACAGATAAAAATCTTGTCCCTAATTCGTGGTACGAAAATTGTTTTTTATGGCGATGTGCAAACGAGTAAAATTTCCTGTGCGCAATAATAAACTCGCGTAAAATAACGATAAACAGCGTAATAGAGAGATATCGCTAAACCGAATAGCGTGCATGGACGTTAGGGCCAGGTGTTATTTCCTTTACGTGGCGTGAGGTGGTATTAACTCTCTTCATTTATAGTTATCGGATCGGAAAGAATTCTGTTCGCGTCGCGTCCGCTATTTAAACTTAACTTAACTTTGAGTTTAAAACTTTGAAATTGTTTTGTTTACAGGTATTTTAAAATTAAAGGGCTAAAGTGCTTATTTCCAGTGCTTTATTGTTCAACGTCTGCCAGTGGGTTTAGGACAACAAGCAACAAATTCTCTTAGAAGGGCTAAGTCGTCATCTGCTGTAAACCTAAGCCTCTTTATAGGTTCTTTAATATTGGAAGAGGTGGAATCCATATTTTGGGCTATATTTATTTAATTAAAACTAATCCCAGCTACTTAAATATCAAATTACCTAATAAAACTAAAGTAACAATTCAAAACAATTCAAACATAACCTAAAATAAAAGATCTCGCCGGTCGGCCCCGGTTGTCAAATACCCGCACATGCCCATTTCAGCAATTTTAAAACGTTATTTAGAAATAGCGCTTGGTGTAATTGATCCGCAGACTACGTCAGGCGGTAACGTTATTAGCGGGTGTTGCGTTAAAAATTGACTCGCGCATATCGTAACCATGATAAGGTACGCGTAAACACTGCATGACGCTATTCGGTTTTCCGATATCTCTCTAATAACTGTGCCGGTCAGGCGCTGTGTACAATTTTAGAGGCCATAAGTGGGCGTGCTATGTGCGCAAACTAGTAACCTAACTAGTGACCGATTCAGAAAATTGGAACCACGAAAAACAATAAAGAAAAAACAAAGTTTATAATCTGTGCTACGATGCTACAGCTCTACGCATGTTCGAAAGTACCCATTTCTATACTTTGGCGCTCAAAATTTTCGCTTTTGGTGCACTCCTGGAAAGCGAATGTTTTTTTGGTTTATATTTTGTTGATTCATTGGACATTTAGAAATATTATAAGGGGATTAACTAGCAAATTTTTTTATAGCAAAATACATTTTTCTCAAGATGTTAATAATCCTTACGTTAATAAAAAAAATCCTCTTGCAAGGACGATTCGGGGACCGACTGTATGTAAAAAGTATTCCTCTTTTAACTTTAACGTTTTTTTTATTCAGTTAGAGGCTCTGGAACTGATAACCTAGTCGAAAACGAAGGTATGTTAATTTGTTTTTTTGGTAAGGAAAGTGTATTTTTTTGGTTATATTAGTTCACTATAAAGTAATTATTGCATACATTTAGATCTGATATTCACCATAATGCCTTGGGTGATTCAAAATTTTATTTTTTCGATATATTTTCACTAGTTTTTTTTTTTAATTATTTATTGTGAAGACGGCTATACTCCTATCGCAGGTAACGACGGAGGCGAAGGCGGTAATGGCAAGAAGGTCTGGGATAATGAAGACGAGAGCGTCGCTTATAGCTGGAGCTTCTTCCATGTCATGTTCGCTTTGGCCACCCTGTATATTATGATGACGTTGACAAACTGGTACAAGTAAGTACAAATACAGTGTTTTTAAGAAAAACAATAATTTGTTCAAACATTTTTATTGCATAACCATTTCCAAACAGCTTTTAGTACGTGAAGTTCGTACATAGTTTTCTTATCTTATTACATTAGCGTACACAAACAATGTGAAAAGAAAATAGAAAACAGTAGGGGAAAAAGGGGGTTTCTACATCAGGAGCAGGAGCAGAGCGCACTGCGCATGCGCGTAAATCAGCTAGGAACAGGTAAAATACGCTAAAAAACAAGAATAAACAGGTTTGAACCGCTTTGAACAGCTTTTGAACAGCTTTGAACCGCTTTTTAGCTTAAAACAACAGACCTGTTCATTTTTTGTTCATACCTGTTTATTTCTGTTCAAAAGCTGTTCAAAGCGGTTCAAACCTGTTTATTCTTATTTATTAGCGTATTTTACATGTTCCTAGCTGATTTACGCGCATGCGCAGTGCGCTCTGCTCCTGCTCCTGATGTAGAAACCCCCTTCTACCGCTACTGAAAACTTTACCGTAACGCATATTATATCGAGCGTCTAGAAATGCATGACAAATGCGATAAAGTTCGCCCGATATAAAATCAATGTTCGCATTATTTCGGGTAGTTTCGGTTCAACATGTCTTGCGATAGCATACGTTCTTTACGAAAATGCCACCCGGCATAAATTATTTATGACAAAAAATATTTTACGTTTTTCAGAAATGTTTATGCTTGACAAAAATCTATGCAGCTCAACCTTTGAATAAAAAGACTAAGGAAGGAGCATAATGCTATCCATGTATTCATGCATGGTGGGCGGAAAAAGGACTCTAGGGTGGGGATCCTTGACAGTTCTGTTTGACGATTCATTTGACACATTTGAATTTGATTTGAAATTTTGTGGATTTGTCAGTCTTTACGGAGCTTATTTTATGTTATTTATTATTTATTCTACTACTGATAGTTGTATAAAGGTAGTAAATCTAGATGGAAATTGTGGCAGAACTTAAATTAACAGTGACACTATCGCGATTTATCGAAAAATACTCTAAAATAGTTGGTTGTGTAGCATGCGGTAGATCTCGGCAAAAATCGAGTGAAATAATGGAACAACTTTTCGCTAGTAAGTGACTATATAATATACATACGTGTAGTAAACCGATAATTTATGAAATTCACTTAAATTACTTGTCAAAGATTAGATACTACTTGTCAAAGATTAGATGTCAAAGAATTTAGATACGTCAATTTGACTTACCTGCTTCAGTAGCGTATCGGATGTTTATGGTTATAAATAAGTATTATAACTTATCTATTTTTATTAGAATTTTATATTTTTATAAGAATTTTAATAACTACCAACATTTATTCACAACGTAAAATAAACTAAGAAATTATTGAGTCTACCCCACGTCTACCCTACATCATAGTTTTACATTTTTTAAATAAAATTAGAACGGCACTGATAAACCGGAATTTAAGTCGGCCATATTTGAGGCCCATCGCGGGGACCTAAGATTTTTGATATGCTCCTTCCTTAGTCTTCTTATTCAAAGAGCTCAACAAACTAGCAATAACTATAGTTTGTCCAACTAAAGATATTTGACAGTGACAGGTGTGACACTATTGCACATGTAAATTGTATTTTTTGTAATTTTTTGCATCTCGTTTATCGAAATCGTTCTTTCTTTCGATAGACAAGTTTTAGTGCAGATATGCAGATGTTAAACCTAGTAGAAATTTCAATAATTTATATTTACACAATGCAATTTTTGTTTACTTGTAACACGTAAGATTTTTTCGTTTGTTGAATTTATTTTTTCATATAGCATTTAATTTTTTTCAATTATTTTCAGGCCAAACTCTCATATTGAACAATTCAATTACAACGCGGCTTCTATGTGGGTGAAAGAAATATCAAGCTGGCTATGCTTGGCTCTGTACTCTTGGAGCTTGGTAGCTCCTGTTTTGCTTCCTGATAGAGAATTCTAAATTGTGATTTGTATTTCTAACCTTAATCCTATCTTCAGCTGTAATCTTAGCGTGTACATAATTATACTTACTCAATGTATCGACACCATGTGATCAAAAAGTTTTATAATCAAGTATTCTTTGTATGATGACAGATAAACGATCCTTATGAGAAATACATTAAAGATTTTCTAACTGTCAAAGTCAAAGTTCACTTGACTATGAATGTTTTTGATCCAACTACGAGCCCTAACAACTATATGTTGGGACAAGGTCTTTTTTTGCAATAAAAATAGTAATTTGTTAAAACGAATCAATTTATTTTGTTTATTATTCTAAATTCAAACATTACAATATGATCTAGACAATTTTACTATATTTTGATAACTTTGCAAACAAATCACTTTTGATAATAGCTTATTTTGCCAAAATCAAGCCAAATTTGCTGGCAACTATATATTGGGACAGCACAACAAGAAATTTGTTTAATACGGAGTTACATCACCTTGCGCCTTAACAACTGCCTGAACTCTTAATGGCATTGTATTTACCAAAAATTGGCACATTTGAGGAGAAAAATTATTCCAAATTTCCTGCAGTTTTGTCCGCAAATCAAAAATTGTTCGTTGAGGGTGGTTTCTTAAATATTGCTTCATTTTATGCCACCCAGTTTCTATAACATTGAGTCGGGACTACTTGCAGGATGGGATAGAACTTTTATATTATTATTACCGAACCAATTTTTAGTTGATTTTGCTGAATGGCACGATGCTCCATCTTGTTGGAAAAGATAGTCTTCGTTTGGAAACAATTCTTGAGCACTAGGCAAAAGTGAGGTCTCAAGTATATGTTGATATTTTTGGGCGTTAACAGTGCCATCTATAAAATTTAATTTGCCCATACCTCTTGCTGACATGCAACCCCAAACCATAATCCCATTAGGAAATTTAACAACCCTCTTTAAGCAATGTTTATGAAAGGCTTCTGCTTTATTTCGTATTATTCCTTTTCGATGATCTCCAACGCAAACATCAAATTTAGACTCATCGCTAAATATGACCTTATTCCAATCATTTTGTGTCCACGATAATTTAGATTTTACGGTATTTTTTTATTATATTAAAGACCGTGGTTTTTGGAATACCTAAATCATCAGAAATTTTTCGAATTGTTTTTCCCGTACTATATTGACGAATGATAATTTCACGTAGTTTTTGATTTGTAGCTTTTCCACGGACCATTACTTTAAATTAAATATTTAACAAAATTGAAAATTAAAAAAATTAAAATTACTTACAGTAAATCTCACTACTCAAAGTATTGAGTCACTTACAAGCTGTCAATGCTGAAGTAAACAGTTTGCGACATTTGTGACGTTTATAGCAAAACCGTCTATGATGATATTATTTATTTAAAAATACTTGTCCCAATTATTACTGTTTCACAATTTTATATGATGTGATTCACCGTTCTTTATTTTTAGTACACTCAAACAAATATAAGCCCGTGTCAAACAGAAATTGAACCACCTCATTTGAAGGTCTTTTTCACATCTTTTTCGAATGTTTTTAACTTGCAACACCAATATATATTTTTTTCCTTAAATTTGGGATTTTTTCGATTTTTTTTTCGTTTCTTCAAAAATAATCTACTACCATGTTGTCATATTATCGAGATTTTAAAAATTTCGCAAGCGAATTTAACATTATTTATTACTCCAAGCACCACCGAGTAGAGGAATATCAAGACAAGTCAAAAATTATAGATCTTTAATGCCGGATCCACACAGACCAAGTAAACAAAACAGAAACATTCATGTTTTACGACAAAATTGCGACAAAGCCAATATATTTCTGCGACATTTTTGTCTCATTCCCCGTTTCGAGTCGGTAAAGATCAAAGTGTCTATGTTTTGTTCGTATATTTTACGACAAGTTGTCGACGCAGTGTGGATGGCGTGTGCTGCCAACAGTAGGAGACCAGTGAAATAACACATGGTTAATAAAACTCATTCGCAACAACTAAACTTTTGACTTTGTTATATTTTTTTCTTTGCGGTGCACGGTGGGGTATTAGCATGAAAAAGGTGATCGAAATTCGAAAAAGCAAATGTGTTTAAGATCTCCCAAAAAAAGATAAATGATAAGTTAAATCATCTCTGCCATGAATGGCGTTGCTATGGGTGTGTTTAGTTGCATTAATTTGTTTCAACGAAACGTCAAAGTTGTTACTTCTCACAGATAAGAGGTAAATGGCTTAATTTTATCTTTAAAATTATAAATTGTTGTTGTTCTTGTGCTCTTTTTACGTTTATATTATCGTTTTGATTGAAAATGGCTCAGCAAGCTGCAGGTATGTATTCTACAAAAAAGTATTATTTATTTTGATATTCTCTATACTAACGATTTTTTTTGCAACTAAAAGTTAGGCCTTCAGAAAATTTGATTAAATTTGTGACATTTTTATTATACTTAGAGATTAAGTTGCGCATTTCGAAGAATTCAGCATATTGTCTATATACGTTCTTACATGTAGTTTTTTGCGAAGAAATATTTCATTTATTTTTAAAGTAAATGCCAGTAAAAGTAAATATAATTTTTAAATAGTAATATAAAGCACCTAATATAAATAATTTTGATTTCTAATTTTTATTTATATTTTCCTTCCATTACACCGCTTGCTTAGAAAAATTAATAAATGTTTATATTTCATGATTTTGAAATTTGTTGTTAATATAACAAATTAGTTCTGTAATTATTATTATTTAATAAACCAACGTTGCCAAAAAAAAATTAGAGACTATATTATTTTTAAATAGGATCTAATATAAATAATTTTGACATCTAATTTGTTGTTTATATTTTGCTACTACTTAAAAAAAATATTTATATTAAATGATTTTAAATTTTGTTGTTAACAGGTATAACAAATTATTACTGTTATTATTATTTATTAAACCAGTCTTTGCTTAAAAACATTAAAAATAATTTTCCTACATCCAAAATAATAAGTATTATTGCAGTATAACAACAGAATATTAATAAAAAAATGCAGAATATATAGACATACTATCCCTAACTAACTAAAGCCAACAATATTCTTTGCTAATATCAACTAATACAAAAATATGGCAACAGCGCCCTTCATAATGTATTTTCTGTGTAAATACTAGCACCTCAATAAAAAAAATAATGTGTCCTTATCTATATATGACTCCGCAAAAAATCAAAGATGCCGGCTTCTTTCATAGCATTGCCACCGACCGCTTTCTCGGAAAAAAAACCTACGTCGCCGGGAGACAACTAAAATTCAGTTAATATTTTATTATAATCGATCCTGACGAATAAATGAATTTCATAAATGAATGAATTTTATAAATGAATGGTTTTTGCTGCCGAATTACTAGAATACAATATTTCAAGGCAGATGACGGATCTATTCGATAATTTTTATTCGAATAGTTTTCAACGAATGTTTTCTTACTAACTATCGAATTATTCGAATGAATTGCAACTATCGAATGTTTCGATAGTATTCATTCGATAGTTCCCACTACTACTGTCTAGCACAAGGAGGTGGTCTTTTTGAACACTTGTTATAACTTTTTTTTATTTAGAGTAATATTATAGTTTTTTTTTTGGGTTTAGAGAATTTATTTATTTTTAGTTTTGGATTGTAAACACTCTCAAATAATAAATCTTTAAGTATTTTTATTTTAAATGTTACCTTAAGTGAAGGTAAACACTTAAATGAAAATAATAAATACTCGGCACTCCTCGCATCATATTCCTAGTCTGTCACCCGTCCAAGCACAACTGCAACTGCGTACTGCCTGACCAGCCGACTAGCCTGCAGTGACTCGAGTACGAACGCAAAACGGGTAAACGTAAATTCGTCCGGCAACTTGCTATGTTACTAGTAGCCTTGTCTTCTCTGTATAAAAATGCATAAAAAGCTTGGTTACTGTTACGTTAAATTATGTAAAATTATATAGCGTATGTTATATATGAACCTATCTATCAAAACATACCGTATGATCGAAAAAATAGCGTTAAGTTGGCTAGATAATGACATTTCAAAAACTATTTTTTTGGTAGTTTATTTTGTAGGGTATTTTATTATTCTAGGTATCCTAGGTACGAGGCATGTTTTTTAAGTAAGTACCGTTTTGCGATTCCGCCGCCGCAGCGCTACGGTCGGCGTTCCGCGCATGCGCGCTGGTTACCTACATCTCTTGTCTATGCACAGACGTCAGTACAGTCTGATTCTTCATTGTATACGTTGTTTATTGAGTGTTTAAGATGCCTCCGACAATCATGAGCCCCGCCGATTGTGAAGTACGGGCTGTCATACGATTTCTTAGTGCTAAAGGCGTATAACCGATCGATATTCATCGTGAGATCTGTGAAGTTTACGGACAAAACATTATGAGTGATGGAATGGTAAGGAAATGGGTGAGAGCATTTAAAGATGGCCGCACAAATGTGCATGATGAAGAACGGAGTGGGCGTCCTTCGGTCGTTAATGAAGATTTGGTGCAGAAAGTGGACGAAAAGGTGAAAGAAAACAGACGCTTTACAATTTCATCATTGTGCGACTACTTTCCTCAATGTTCTCGTAGTGTTTTGTATCGCATTGTGACCGAGAACTTGAATTACCGGAAATTGTGTTCACGTTGGGTTCCGAAAATGTTGACGGATTTGCACAAAACCCAACGTTTAGGCAGTGCATTGACTTTCCTTGAGCAGTACCACAATGAAGGTGAAGATTTTTTTTAGACAAAATTGTTACTGGTGACGAAACATGGGTGGCCTACGTCACACCAGAATCGAAACAACAGTCCATGGAATGGCGACATTCATCATCACCCAAAACAGTGAAGTTTAAGCAAACAATTTCTGCCCGGAAAATCATGTGCACAGTTTTTTGGGACAGAAAAGGAGTATTGCTAGTGGAGTTTCTGTCTCCTAATGAGACAATCAATGCAACATCTTATTGTGAGACATTGAACAATCTGCGCCGTGCAATCCAAAACATAAGACGTGGCAAGTTGAGTAAGGGTATTGTTTTGCTGCATGACAATGCCCGTCCACATGTGGCTAATTTGGACCAAAGATCTCATCAAATCTTTTAAATGGGAAACTCTAGATCATCCTCCATACAGCCCTGATCTGGCGCCCAGTGACTACCATTTATTCCTGCACTTGAAGAAACACCTGGGCGGTCAGCGTCTTCAAGACGATAACGAAGTCAAAACAGTTGTGATACAGTGGTTAACCAGTCAGGCGGCAGAATTTTATGAGGAGGGTATTGAAAAACTGGTGCCACGTTATGACAAGTGCCTCAATATTCACGGAAATTATGTAGAAAAGTAGATTAAGGTACAGGCTTTCATGTAAAAATAAAATTATTGCGATATCTTTGCACGTTTTTTTTTTTAATTCCAAAACGGTACTTACTTAAAAAACATACCTCGTATTACAAAAATATTTCTAGGTATCTCTATATATAGGTTGTTAAAGGTCGGCCAATTATTTTTAACAATTTTTTGGTTTGATTTTTATATGAATTTTATTTCATAAAATAATTTGGCTTTAATTACCTGCTCAAATGATTTACCTTACTGACGAAACGCCCTGTAATCAAACCGAAATGTGATAATTGAATAAAAACGTCATTTCATCATACGTCTGTTTGACAAAACTTGAAAAATAATTATAATTAGAGCGTTAAAAATAATGATTACTTTATCCAAAACTACGTTATGCTATGGATATGTTCAAAGTTTGGCTTTCAATACGCAATATGCGAGATTTTTGGCCACAGAAGCAGCAAAGAAAGATAAGGTGGAACCTAAGAAAGTCGAAGTAAAAGTGGAAGCCCCGAGAATGCCCAGACTGAAGCAGTTTAATATTTACAGATACAATCCCGAGGGTATTGAGACCATGAGGAGACCCCATATGCAAAAGTATACTGTAGATTTAAATGAGTAAGTATACTTAATGGAAATTACATATTATATATTATCTTTGATTTATGTTCAGTAGCATCCCAATATGCTTTAATTAACTGCAATCATGAATAAAATAGAAGAAACGATAGATAAAAATGTTATTATAAGTTTTCCATTTTTGGAGATATTTTAATATTTCAATAATGTACTTTGAAATAATCGAAGAAATTTTGGAATTTTTAAGAGGAAACATAAACAATTTATTTTTGAAAATGTAGATACATCTCGATTCGACCAATATACCAACAACTTGGTACAAGGCACAGCTCGTTTACGTCATTTACTGGCGACGATGAACTGTCTAGAATGCTAATTGCTATTAATTAATAGTTAAAAAAAGTTACATACCTATTTTAATTTGATTTAATGCAGGTTTATAAAAGAATCATTTCATTCTTAGATGATTTTATTCTAAATCGAGTGCTTTACGAATTTTACGATATTTTTTTTGAAAACATAAAACTTTTTACATTCTTGATGCCAACTAATTGGCATGGTATTATTGGTATGGAAATTAGCCAAGAAAGAAAAGAATTGGCTATAGCTTGTAATTTTTCGAAAAAAACATATTATACCTACCTATATCGCTGAAAAGCTTAAAAAATGGCGCTTTTTATGAAGTCATGGCCAACTATGGTTTCCATTTAAAAAAAAACATAACGTTTTTGTCATATATGTCAAAAATGACAGGCTCTAGAAAAAAAAAACAGAAAACACAAATTCATTAGGTATGTGATTATCTACAACTTGTATGTGAAAACTTTTTGTCTAAAATACCGTATGATCCAATAAAAACGGCATCAGCGATGGCTATGAAATGATGATCGATGACATTTCATAGACATCGTTGACGCCGTTTTTATTCGATCATACGGTAGATTATAATGGAATTAGAGACAAAAGTTTTAAAATAGCCAAAATTTGTTTTTTTCGAAATATCTAGTAAGCCTTGAACTTCTCCGAAAAATCCGAAAGGGGCATATTTATGACCCCACAAAACTGCAATTTTTTCCCCATTTAACCGACTCTCTATCTCCAGTAGTTTCCGAGATACCCATAGAGAACATCGTAGGAAACTCACCCTGTGTAGTATTTAGAAACTAACTATTATTATTATTTGACTAGATTAATTTGATTAATAAGACTCGATTAATTTAATTTAAAATAAATTTGATCAGATTTTTTTTTCGTATATTCTACTACCAGAAAACCAATATTATATGATAATGCACTTTTCAACGAAGTTGAAGGAAGATATAGTGTATCTATCACAATATTTAATAGAATTACTACAATTAGAAGAAAAACAAAAAGAAAAAATACCCAAATACCTTCACCTACTACTCATCTACAAAATAAACTAATATAATCTCTTATAAAAACACTACACAACTACTTCTTGTATTCTACACTGAAAAAATTATCAAACTTACTAATTAATCAAACAAAAGAAAAATAACCAAATTATCCCTTCACCTACTACTTAACTACAAAATAATAAACTATAAAAACACTACTAAACTATTTGTGGTATTCTACACTAAACATTATAATTAAACTTAATAAAATTAATCTAATTTTACACTACGACCACTACAAAGAAATAAGAACATTTTTTAAAACTAGAAGAAACATAACTTCGATACGTGCGACCAGCATAATAGATCAAGCGGACAAATAATATAAAATACTTTAAAAATGTGCATTCGGAAAGAAAAAATATCTCGAAAATTATCTAAACAAACATTTTTTTTTCTTATCAGTGAAAAGCATCGGCCTCGTCGGCCTTGCGGAATTTGTCGGGTATTTACAATGGTCGAATTGTATAATTACCAGCTTTTATAGCATATCTAATAGACAAAAAGTATCTGGTCGATTAGTAACCAATTGGCACAGTCCGAAAATTATCGATTTTTATTTTCTCTGTTTTTATTGGTCGCTTCAAAATTCAGAGTAACAAATAATATTTTTCTGTAGTAAAAGACCGTGAAATACGCCCCGCCATCTGGTGCTTTATATCCATAAACGTCTTAGGTTGAGCTACTTTAAAAATCCATATACAAGGCTAATACCTATAATATTTTCGTTTTAGTTTGGGATAAAACGCATTAAGTAAAAAAAGATACAACCAGTTTTCGATAAACACATTATTTTGCATTCCAGTGAAAACATAATTAAATTTAAATTAAATATAATAAACATTATATACAGTGTCCACCATAAAGTTGGATCCATATGGATGTTTTTTTTTATATTAGAGTTTTAAAAAATCTTTTTGTGGCAATCACTTCTGCTTTGAAAACAGCTTAAAATGCACCAAGCCAAAGTTGACAGCTAACATCTGGGAGCTGTCAGATACAAAATATTTAAAAGAAATTTTTAAAAATTGGTTAAATTATTATTTATTTTAAAAAAAGTGACTAACAAAATTATATTTCAACTTTGACTTGGTGCATTTTAAGTTGTTTTTACAGCAGAGTTGATAGCCTCAAAACGTTTTTTTTTAAACTCTAATACCAATATTACAGTTGAGGGTTGGAACCTTTGGTGTTACACAGCAAAATAAAAACACTAAATCACCACAATACACAAAAAAATACACCAAAACTATTCAGTTTATAATCATCTGCTGATGATGCTAACATGGTTAGCGAAACGCGCGTCCAGTGTAAAAGTAAAAGTGTTTTGGTGTATTGTGGTGATTTAGTGTTTTTATTTTGCTCTAATACCAAAAAAAACCGTCCATATGGATCCAACTTTATGGCGAACACTGTAATATTATTGAAGTGTTTACAAAAAATAACTATTTTATTTTGTAGATTTTCTTGCAGTGCAGAGGCGAAGGATTTTTTTTGGAGAAATTAAAGATGAATGTAACAAATTTTATTTGACAAGTTATTTTATTCTAGTTGCGGTCCGATGGTTCTCGACGTTTTGGAAAAAATAAAATCGGATCAAGACTGCACACTATCCTTCCGAAGATCTTGCAGAGAAGGTATTTGTGGTTCATGTGGAATGAATATAAATGGCGTAAACAGCTTGGCATGCACAACGTAAGAATAAAAATACACATTTTGCCAATTATTGTGACGTCACTGAATATGCAAACAACATTATGCAGAGCTCTAACGAATCAATTAAGAAGGACGAAACCTTGATCTCTAGATTTTTTTAGTCATATACAGGGTTGTTCACCACATACGACACGGAGTATTGTAGCTAAACGATGAGATTTTTACAGATTGTAAGTTTTGGGTTCGTTGAAGGACTATTAGAACTACAATTTAAAAATATTTTTACAAGATACAGAGTGTCCCAAATAAGTAAAAAATATCAAAGTTGTATTTTTTTAAATGGAACACCCTGTATATTATTACATTTTTAGTTTCTACGATTAAAATAAAGGTAAATTTGATTAAGATTTATTATACTTAAACCTTACCGTTTTTAAAATATTTTCAATTTTGTGAAATTGCAGTAAAAATTTTAAAGCTTCATTTCTCCAAGGGTATCAATGTTTTTAATACTAAATATCTAATGAAGTTTATTTACTGATCAGTTATTGTGTTGCAATAATAAAAATAATACTACCTTATACAGAGTGTCTAAAAATTTATTTTAAATAATTATTAGCTTGAAACGGCAATAACTTGTTTAATTTAAATGGAACACCCTGTATATTTTACGAAAATCAGATGCACAATTTAATTGTCTATCAAATTATATTATACCATTTTATATCTATCTCTTTAAGTTTCCGTAGAAAATGCATTTTCTTGTAATTTAGAACTTATTTATCAATATACCCATGGACTATTGACATTTTAGATTATTTTTAAAGATGTACCAAATTTTTAAAGAGTACAGATACTAATATTGTCGATATAATTCGTTTATTTCATTAAAAAATAAAAAAAAACTGTTTAAATATTTGTTAAAGAGGATCAGTTAATATGATTCCAGTATTCAAACAACATTAACTGACTGTTTGCTTTGATTAATAATAATTGCTCCAAATACTAAAAAACTGAATTTTGTATGGGCATTAGACAGTGTGATAAAAAGTAACACCTTAAAAATGATATTTCATTTTTTAATAAATGCTTATTTATAACTACAGAGACTTTAATTTGATAACTTATTATTATATTGATTTCTGACTCAAATCCACATTTATTTATAATAATTTAATAACGAACACAATTAAGTATGTAATTAATTAGTATATGGGCGCAAATAATGGTGTTATATTTAATTAATGGTATACTCTTTTATAAAGATTTAAATAGTTTTCTTTTTGCATACAAATGGGCTAGTAATATTATCGTTTTGCTAAAAACGATAATATTACTAGTCTGTACATTTTGTACATTTGTTGCTTTAAAAACAATCTAAAATGTCAATATTCCATTGATATATTGATAAATGAGGTCTAAATTATAAGAAAATGCATTTTATACGAAAACTTGAAGGGATAGGTAAAAAATGGTATAATACAATTTGATAGACAATTTAATTGTGCATCTGATTCTCCTAAAATATACAGGGCATTCTATTTAAATTAAAGAAGTTATTGCCGTTTGAAGCTAATAATTATTTAAAATAAATTTTTAGACACTCTGTATAAGGTAGTATTATTTTTATTATTGCAACATAATAACTGATCAATAAATAAACTTCATTAGATATTTAGTATTAAAAACATTGATACCCTTGGAGAAATGAAGCTTTAAAATTTTTACTGCAATTTCACAAAATTGAAAATATTTTAAAAACGGTAAGGTTTAAGTATAATAAACCTTAATCAAATTTACCTTTATTTTAATCGTAGAAACTAAAAATGTAATACTATACAGGGTGTTCCATTTAAAAAAATACAACTTTGATATTTTTTATTTATTTGGGACACTCTGTATCTTGTAAAAATATTTTTAAATTGTAGCTCTAATAGTCCTTCAACGAACCCCAAACTTACAATTTGTAAAAATCTCATCGTTTAGCTGCAATACTCCGTGTCGTATGTGGTGAACAACCCTGTATAAAATTGCTTATGTAGTCATTTTGTTGTTCTACTAGCCTTTTTGTTTCCCAATGTACTTTACATGCCACCTCATTATTATTACCACTATTATATCGGTGACTTTTCATTCTCAACCTTATATCAAGTATGCTTATGTCTGAAATTAAAGAAAAAAACTATTAGCAGACTATTAGAATTCTGTGTAATACCGTACGATCGAATAAAAACGGCGTCAGCGATGGCTATGAAATGAAGATCGCTGTCATTTTATATGTAAATCAATTATAATGGAAATGTACTAAATAAAGTATAATGGATCGTCATTTCCAGGCCAATTGGACGCCATTTTTTTTCGATCATACGGTATTAGTTGTATATCATTTCATATCGTTGATCGAATATACTAAATTATTGACTTTTCAAAGTTTTTTATGTATCTATTAGCAAAATCAAAGCCAGTGGTAGTACGAAAATCTACCCACTACCTCATATGTATGTGATCAAAGACTTGGTAGTGGATATGAAACGATTTCTCGATCAACACAGAAGGATAAACCCTTACCTGATGAGGAATGAAGAGAAATATGAGGAGGGTCAGGAGTATTATCTGCAGAGTATTAAGGATAGGGAAAAGTTGGTAAATGAACTTACATAACGTTTTAGTTCTTTTTCTCGTGGCATGCTCTATACAGAGTTTGCCAGATTGTTTCAGCTAAATCATGGGAAAGCAAAAAAGCGAGAGCAAAGTAAACTACAACAAAGCCCTAAAAAATACAAATCACCACCTATTCCTCATTTGCGGGAATAGTGTGTGGAAACTAAATTAGAACGAAGCATAGTCAAAATATGTTTTATTGACACAGGTACAAACGCAAATTAAAAACACTAAATTACCACAATACACTAAAAACACTTTTACCTTCACACTGGACGCGCATTTCGCTAACCATGTTAGGATCATCAGAAGATGATTAAGACTAACAGTTTTATTTTGCTGTTGTAACACCAACGGTTCCAACCCCCAACTAATAACAGGTACAAACACCATGAACCAAGGTATATACAGGGTGTTTCAAAACAAATGCGAAAAACTTCAGGGGGTGATTCCTTGTTCAAAATAAAGGGTAGTTTGCTTCATAAACATTGGGTCAAAAGTCAACCATTAGGGAGATATTGCGGTACAAAGATGGCGGAAAAATAATGTTTTTATTTTTTATCTTGAAAACGAAAAGAGATAGACTAATAAAATTTTATGGAAGCGTTACTGTTATGAAAACACACTTTCTGGTAATTTTTTCACTTTTTTAAAATGAGTGGAAGGGGTTGAAATAAACTAGCCCTATCATTCTTGTTAACGAAATTTAAAGAAAAATCTTATCAAACACATGCAAAAAAAATAATTTGGATAGTTTAGTTTGTTTAGAAACTTTTTTATCTCTTGTATTTTTTTGATAAAACTCACCGATTTGAAATTAAAAAATAAAATGTAAAGCATTACATGTCAGGACAAAAAACATTTTCTGATAAAGAATCTAGTGGGCTGCTGTAATTTTTTTAGGAAAAAATCTAATCGGTCGCTGGTACTTTTTATGATGTTCCTAATATTATTTTATTTGACATTACTCTACTGCAATACGTTATTATCTAGATGATTATTATTATCGTTATTATCACTAGATTCTTAATCTAAAAATGTTTTTGTCCTGACATGTAATGCTTTAGATTTTATTTTTTAATTTCCAATCGGTGAGTTTTATCAAAAAATCACAAGAGGTAAAAAGTTTCTAAACAAACTAAACTATCCAAATTAAAGCATTTGCATGTGTTTGATAAGATTTTTCTTTAAATTTCGTTAACAAGAATGATAGGGGTAGTTTATTTCAACCCCTTCCACTCATTTTAAAAAGTAAAAAAATTACCTGAAAGTGTGTTTTCATAACAGTAATGCTTCCATAAAATTTCATTAGTCTATCTCTTTTCGTTTTCAAGATAAAAAATAAAAACTTTATTTTTCCGCCATCTTTGTACCGCGATATCTCCCTAATGGTTGACTTTTGACCCAACGTTTATAAAGCAAACTACCCTTTATTTTGAACAAGGAATCACCCCCTAAAGTTTTTCGCATTTGTTTTGAAACACCCTGTATATAATTACCAAAATAACACAAATGAAGTTAAATAATTAGGTATGAACGAACGAAGCTTAATCGAAAAATGTAATGGAATAATGTTAAGCAAAAATGCGTATTTTTTTACTATATAAACTTTATAAGAACTTATAATTGGATTGACGCTTTCCGGGATGGTATTATTATTTTCCGGGGTCCGGAACAATTTACCTAAATCCGGGATTTTCCGGACTTCCTGGACGTCTGGCAACTAGTGATGTAAAAATTCTAAGTAATCGTACAGTACATCTGCTGGATCTGTGTCTATGAAAGGAATGCGGACAAAAAACACTTAAATAAACAGCAATATATTTTATACGTCGATTTGGAGAGTGCGTCACCGCAAATCGCTCCGCCCACTCATTTTATTGGCTACTTGTAAATTTGTTTGTATAAAAAATAGAAAATATAAGAAATGCGCATGCGTACGTAAACGTTTACGTGTTTGTAGGCCGATTCGACCGTATGCCGTTGTTCTCTAATATCGTTTCCCCTCTCACGGATACCTCGTAGCTACAGAACGGACAGGCGTACTGTACGTAATCGTAAGAGAGAGAGAGAGAGTTGTTTCATAAAAAAGTAGCACATTGATGCGAAAACCGCATCTTTGTATCTCTACTCGTAAACGAGAAACCCTCTAAAATACACGAAAATGGGACATCTGTAATAATGGGCTAATCTGAAGGGCACTATTTGAGAGGCTGTACTAGACAGATACAGTTAAGGTGGTTTGTCATTGCCTTCCTTGAGGTGGTAGCTCTCTGGCTCTATTTAGATAAATAATTTTATTTAAAAAAATAAAGCTCACATTTCAGGCACAGATTAGGTATCCTATAAGTATATGGAAAAAAATCTTGTCCCTAATTCGTGGTACGAAAATTGTTTTTTTATGACGATGTGCAAACGAGTCAAATTTCCTGTGCGCAAAAATAAACTCGCGTAAAATAACAATAAACAGCGTAATAGAGAGATATCGCTAAACCGAATAGCGTGCATGGACGTTAATAAGGCCAGCTGTTATTTCCTTTACGTGAGGTGGTATTAACTCTCTTCATTTATAGTTATCGGATCGGAAAGAATTCTGATCGCGTCGCGTCCGCTATTTAAACTTAACCTAACTTTGAATTTAAAACTTTGAAATTGTTTTGTTTACTAGGTATTTTTTACTACGTCTGCCAGTGGGTTTAGGGCAACAAGCAACAAATTCTCTTAGAAGGGCTAAGTCGTCATCTGCTGTAAACCTAAGACTCTTTATAGGTTCTTTAGTATTGGAAGAGGTGGAATCCATATTTTGGGCCATATTTATTTAATTAAAACTAATCCCAGCTACTTAAATATCAAATTACCTAATAAAACTAAAGCAATAATTCAAAACAATTCAAACATAACCTAAAATAAAAGATCTCGCCGGCCGGCTCCGGTTGTCAAAAAAAACCGCACATGCCCATTTAAGCAATTTTTAAACGTTATCAGAGGTTATTTAGAAAGAGCGCTTGGTGTAATTGATCCGCAAATTACGCCAGGCGGTAACGTTATTAGCGGGTGTTGCGTTAAAAATTAACTCGCGCATATCGTAACTATGATAAGGTACGCGTAAATACTGGATGACGCTATTCGGTTTTCCGATATCTCTCTAATAACTGTGCCGGTCAGGCGCTGTGCACAATTTTAGAGGCCATAAGTGGGCGTGCTATGTGCGCAAACTAGTAACCTAACTAGTACCCGATTCCGAAAATTGGAACAACGAAAAACAATAAAGAAAAAACAAAGATTATAATCTGTATAATCTGTGTTTCAGGTTTAATTGAAGAACATAATTTTTTATTTTCACTGTTTTCCTCAATTAAACGGCAAGGATAATGTTCAAGGAATAATACCAACCTGTAACAACTATTTATTTTTAGGACGGTCATATCGAGTGTATCCTCTGCGCCTGTTGTTCAACTTCCTGTCCGGAATATTGGTGGCACGGCCATAGCAACGAACCCAATGATTTCCTAGGTCCAGCTGCCCTATTGAATGCTTATAGATGGATCATAGATAGCAGAGATCAGAACATAGCCGGCAGATTGAATCAGTTAAGAAATTATTTTTCAGTTTATAGATGTCACCAGATCAATAATTGTACCAGTTGCTGTCCGAAAGTAAGCTGAACACTTGTGTGAGATGGTAGACAATATTTCATTTAAAAGAAAACTTTTACTGTACCTTATTTCTAGTACTCGTTTTGATTTTGTTACTGACCGATATTGATCAGTGCCGAAATCGAAAAAAAGACTGCGCTATCGAACAATATACAAATCCGTTTGTTTCTAAAAATTTTGTTACTAAAGTGATATGTTCGTCCCTAATATTGAGTACCTCATATATTGATATACAAAAAAGTCTATATCTACAGGGTTGTTCACCACATACGACACGGAGTATTGTAGCTAAACGATTAGATTTTTACAAATTGTAAGTTTTGGATTCGTTGAAGGACTATTAGAGCTAAAATTTAAAAATAATTTTATTAGATACAGAGTGTCTCAAATAAGTAAAAAATATTATAGTTGTATTTTTTTAAATGGAACACCCTGTATATTATTCTATTTTTAGATTCTACGATTGAAATAAAGGTAAATTTGATTAAGGTTTATCACACTTAAACCTTACCGTTTTTGAAATATTTTCAATTTTATGAAATTGCAGTAAAAAATTTAAGCCTTCATTTCTTCAAGGGTATCAAAGTTTTTAATACTAAATCTTTACCAAATATTATTTATTGATCAGATATTGTGTTGCAATAATAAAAATTATACTACCTTATACAGAGTGTCAAAAAATTCATATTAAATAATTACTAGCTTTGAACGGCAATAACTTGTTGAATTTAAATGGAACACCCTGTGTATTTTACGTGAATCAGATGCACAAGTTAATTGTCTATAAAATAGTATTATACCATTTTTTTCCTATCTCTTCAAGTTTTCGTAGAAACTGCATTTTCTTATAATTTAGACCTCATTTATTACTGTAGGTACCCATGGAATATTGACATTTTAGATTTTTTTTAAGGCTGTACTTAATATATATAGGTAATATAATAAAATAGGTATGACGTCGTTGATGTGACGCAATTGACAGCTTTATGAAATATAGAAATTTTATAAGGACTAACCAACGCTATCCACCTCACCAAATAACCAACTTAACCAACACAACTAACCTCGACACTGATAAAAAATATAAAAAAAATCACAAAACATATTCTTTATCTGCGACACAATGTTCACATCTACTAGTTCTAGCGTTTTGTTTTTGCATTCACTAGGTCATTCAGCAGCATACGTCACTTTATAATAATAATTGTAAAATCAAAATATCCAAATTGTGTTATAAACTAACCGAATGCTATGTCTTTTCTAGAAACTGAAACCTGGAGTAGCCATAGCTCGTTTGAGACTGTTTCTGGCCGGTTTCAAGAAAAAACGCAAAGGCGAAATGGAGGGTACGATCAAATCCGATCCTGAAAAAGGCGTTCGCAAGATCCAGAAATGCGAATAAAATCTCAAACGTAATATATAATAGAAGTATATTAAAATATATAATTTTTACATTGTTAGTTGTCATGTATTTTTTATATTTTCTAATGCTTTAACCGAATCCGGTTCAACGGTGTCTCGGAATGTCGATTCCAAGTCGAGGTATTTGTTGAAAGCACACCAATCAATCAGTCTTCCGGCTTCTGGTTGGGGTTCTGATCCCCACCACAGATCATTCTGAAATTATTTGTAAAAAATAACATTAGACTCAATTATTTTCAATAATTTTTTTATCCGAGCGGTAGATGAAGCCATAAAATAATTAACTAGAAAGAAGTGTCAACTCTGTGTTAAATCATGGAAACACGATACGCCACAGAAAGCCTTCGTTGTCGTCTGGAGAACTAACTTTCCAATTGACAGGTTGACATGATGGCTTAATTTTCATTTCTCTTTCCGGTTATTCAATGGCGGGCCCTCTTTCAGTTCAAATGTATTTTGTATTTTTTCTTTTCATAAATAAAACCAAAAAATAATTTATTCACATATATTTATTTGAAATATGGAACAACGTGACTAAATAAATATAAAAATATAGAGGATTGTATTGTTTCAATACCAATTAGTTAATTATATGCACTTTTAACGTAAATTAGTTAAGGTATAAGCATGACTTAGAGTAATTTGTAAATAAACACACGCATTCGCATACTTCAAGGACAGAAAACGGACACAGGAACATGAAAACGGGAGCCTTATACAAAAACCTGAAAACAGAAAAACAATTTTTTTATACTAAAATTAACAATGTAAAAATATCAATAGGTATAAAATATAAATATACTGTTTAAAAAAAGCGTCCATTATTCCCAAAGAACTTGGCTTATAAATCAAAAAGATGCAAAAAGAGACTTTTAGTCGGATAACATAATCAGATTATCAGTCCGATTTATTGCATTATTGACAATAAATCGCACATACTGGAGATAACTAATGTTGGCTATAGTTAAAAATGATCTTACCTTGCTGTAAATTGTTTCCATTTTCAAAAAAATCGCCGATCAAAGAGATTATAACACCATTTTCTTGCATCTAAAAAATGTAAAAACAGTTTATTTACTACCTATATTTCATATACATGGGACATACCTACTACTGCAGAAACGTCATTTTCTCCAGGATTCTTCATGTAATATATATTTTATATACTTTATTACCTTTATATTTATAAATTTCAGCTGAGATATTAAATTGAACTTTTTTCCAAAACGAAACTAAACGGAATGAATTAAAATGGCGTCGAATATTTTCGAATTTGCTCTAGAACAAATCTGAAGTTGTCTCTGAAACTGAAATCTGTCAATTCTAAACTGTGAAGTTAGACAATAGTTAGACCAAGTTAGACAAAAACAATGCTGTCCTTGTCTAGGCGGCCATACCTGTCGTGAGGAGAATGGCAGGAATGACACTAATGACTGTTTCCAATTTTCCTATTTCACTGTCACCCCCCTGGATGAAGCAATCACGGTTTTGTAGCATACCCAAAACTAGAGTTTTTAACAATTTTCGAAATAGTTAACATGTTGACGTTGACAGATTACAAATGTTTATAATTATTTATTGTAAAATGGAAAATAAATTCCTTGCAGTATACATGCATACATACATACATACAGCCGTTACCCGCTGACGAGTATTCGACACACATAAAGAAGATGGTCACGCAAGGCGTTTTCTTTCATGAGCTTTTCTGTGACTGAAAAGCCCGATACGTGATGTTATCTGCCTACCGCACTCCGGACATTCAAAAATCTCATTGCTTTGTTGCCTCTTTAACTGAGTTAACAACTCTTCTCCATTGAGTTCTATTGTGAGCTGCTTTTTCCCACTCATTCTGCATGTTAATTCCCTTTAAGTTTTCGTGGAAAATGTCCTTGTACCTTCTCAGTTGTCCACCCGGCTTTCTCTTACCGTCTACAAGCTCACCGTAAAGCAGAGATTTTGGTATGCGGTTTTCTTCCATTCTTACTTCGTTTTTTACTTATAGCATTGTTGTAATCTTCCGGGGGAGTGCACATGATTTTAGTTTTGTCGATGTTTAGCTTAAGGCCCAAAGCCTCGTATGCCCAGGTATATGTGTTCAACATTTCTTGTAATTGCTGTACCGTGTTTGCAACTAGAGCGCAGTCGTCAGCGTATTGAAGTTCTGTGATAAATTTTGTACGTGTTTTTGCCCTGAGTCTTTTTATGTTGAACATACCGCCGTCATATCGGTATCTAATGCCCAATCCTCTCTCTCGCAGTTTGCTGTCCACTATAATGGAGAGCGCTGCCATGAATATGTTGAATAGGAGAGGCGCTAAGACACATTCCTGCCTAACTCCTGTATTTGTTAGGAATGGGTCGCTCAGTGATCCATGATGTGACACTCTTGACTTGTTGTTGTTATGGAGGCTTTTACACACTGTAAGAAATTTGTTGGGTACTCCGAACTTTTTCATAATTGCCCAAAGCGCATCTCTGTTCACAGAGTCGAAGGCTTTTGTTAGATCGATGAATGCAACATAAAGTTTAGACTGCTGCTCTTTTACTTTTTCCTGTAGTTGACGGATGGAAAATATGGAATCGACGGTGCCGCGGTTGGTACAAAAACCCGTTTGCGATTCTGGAAGGATTCTTTCTATATATGGGTGCAGGCGGTTTGACATTATTTTTGCAAGAATTTTTCCGCAGATAGCCAATAGCAAAATTCCCCGGTAATTTCCGCAATCCGATGCACTTCCTTTGTTCTTAAATATATTCACTATATTCGCGTTGCAAAAGTCCTGAGGTACCTTTCCGCTTTCCCATACGACATCGAAGAGAGCCTTAAGATGACCAATAAGTTCTTTACTTGCACACTTATAGATTTCCGCCTTGCAGTATAGGTACCGTATGATCGAGAAAAAACGGCGTCAGCGATGGCTATGGAATGAAGATCGCTGTCATTTTATATGTAAATTTATATGGGAAATGTCATCGATGTTCAATTCCCAGCCAACTGGACGTCGTTTTTTTTTTGATCATACGGTACATGGACCGGTTATCTAAGTTGTCTCTAACTCGGCTTCAACTCCAACACATTGCAGGGATATGCGATAATAGGTATAGAGTTTATAAGTATATGGGTTTAGCGAGACTCCATTTCATGGTTGAGTTTGTATGTTAATGGCAATTCTTGCTTTGCTTTATCACCACCATTACAAATGATAAATTCGACGCGAACGAAATCGCTGGTACACGCTAGTATTATATATTTTTGGATGCTTTTGAAAATTATTTTTAAACATTCAAATCTTACTTTAATATTTAAAGGCATGGCATCAGGAAGCGGACATCGAGATCTATCCAAAAACTGTAAAATATCTTCATACCGTATCTTACAATCGTCGTCTTTAGGAAGCCTAAAAATGTAAAAATATATCAATTTTATTATTATAAGTTATATATATTATAAGTATAGTATCTGTATATACATTGTAGCGTTTTTTTTAAACATTAATAGCCCAACGTGGGGCGCCAAAAAAGGTGTAGCGTTTTTTTATAAAACATTACCACTGCGAACGGCAGCTTTTCATCGGAGAGCAGTCGTGGATAAGGTATTTCACTGGAAAGAAAACTAATTAATAACAATAAACAAAAAATATAGATATTGGGCGCCAGGCATGTACAGAGAAAGAAAACACAGTTGTATATTACTTAAAACTAATGGCTATATTTATTCATGATGAATTCTGATGGTAAATAGCATTGTACAATTTTAATAATTATTATAGTGGTTAAATACTATTACATGGCGTAATGTAATGGAACCTAAGATCTAAATCATATTGTAACTACTAAATCGACATAAATGTTCTTAATAATCTAACCACTAAATATAGTCTGTACGATATTATTTAAAATGTACGTTATTAAGTTAAGACTGAAAATCGACTGAAAACCAGAACCTAAATCTACACTTAGCTGTTCTCGAGGCAATCCTGTTTCAAAGAGTAGCAGCGTGAGGTAGGCTCATATCTCAGTACTGTCTGTCGGCGATCCTGTTGGCCAAAACAACAAAAGAGGCCAGAATGAGGACACCATGAATCAATACAGCCGTAGCTACTGACTAGGCTTAGAAATGGGAGCGAAGCAGCATGGGGCTTACGCTGTATCCATACTGTGACAATATGGGGACACTACCCGTACCTTGGAACACTACTAGGACCTTGGATAATGTCCGTAACTTGGACCATAACCTTGGACACAGTCCATCCATAAGATAATGTACGTCCATAAGACCCTAAAAATACGAAACTCTTGTTTAAAACCAAACAAGGTCTAATAAACAAAATAAACCTACCTCGAAACACTTCCGAGGGCTCAATAATAAACAAAAGAACTGTCCTTTCTTCCATTTAACATTCTGGAGGACAACAGCAAAAGTACACCAACGTGTCAGCAAAATACAAATACGAGTTAAGGTGGGTCAATCCAAAACTCGACCCTAAAAATATTCAATAATAATAACGAATCTAATAAAGATAATATCTCATCTTTACCTGTTGGTTTGAAATAGCAGCTGATTCAAATTATACAGCAAGATTTAAATAATCACCATTTCTAAAAGCCGGGATGGTTAGGTTAGGCTACAGAGCGCTAAAAGCAAAAGTCAGTCCACAGCACGGAGAGTTGACAGAAGCGATGTTGACAGCGCCTCCACAGAGCGATAACAGGGTTGTGTCAAACGATAACAGGGTTGTGGACTAGAGAACGTAAAAATTACGCCAAGCGCGTCAAATAAATTATCCGGCCTGAACGATAGGGTATCCGGTGATACGCCAGAAATCATATATTATATATAAAAAAGACATGTAACGAACTAAAAACGTTACAACATACTATAATTATTTGTTCTTGTGCTTAATAAATATTAATATATATATGTTGAAACTTACACCTCAAGAATTTTCTCTATTAGCTGAATATCAAATGGAAGTCTGGAACCCTTCATGACAGTGTAACATTCCTGTTTGGTCAGTTTGCCAGTTTTAGCGTTATCATTGTGGATGAAATATTCCTTTAAGCGGTCCAGGTCGTCCCACAGGAATCTTTTCAGTTCTGTTAGTGCTATGGCCCTGAAAAAAAACAATGTGAAACTTGAAAATAATTCATAAGTTTAGCATTGAGTCTTGTTCATTTTGATTAAATCTTTGAGGCATTTTTGCAATAAACAAATTTGAATTTTGTTTGACAGCAACAATAGATTTTTAATTTTGACATTGATCAAATTTTGATCATCAAATCAACTGACGATGTATGAAATGCCGTAATGACGCCACCAATCTCTTTTATCTCATTGTCGAGCGATTGAGAGAGTTCGACAATATATGACGTGACGTTGAACAATGGCTGAACATCCTTTATGTTACTATAAAATTAAATTAAATATGACGTTATACCTGATTTTTTCTCGATTATATTTTTCTTTATAACAACTAGCCGAAAATCCTCTGGCTATAGTTATCATCTCGTGTTCGGTGAAATCATCTCCCATCACTCTACATAACTTGTCCCTGAAATATAAGAGACATATAAAATTTCTCTGTCGATATAATGTGAAAAAGAATAGATTCTTTTAACATTTTGCCAGCCTTTCATTTCCTCTAATTTTTATATATTAAAAAATATACCCAGATAAGCAGTATTTATCAGTTTTGCGTATCTAACTATATCTTTTACGTATAGTATATGATTATAATATGATTTATATTTTAAGCTTACCTAAGCCGCTCGTAGGTTATAACTGAATTTTCCACAGGCATGTTTTCTGCTACAAAATCTTTATAAATCGGTTCTAGTTTTTCTTTAACCTTTTCCATAATTCGTTTTAAATTAGCTTTAGGAAACTAAAATAAATTTTTAACATTTAATCACAATTTTCTATAAGGATGTAGTTGATGGCAAAGTTGAGAAATGGTTTTTATCTAGTGTTAAATTAAGAACCCACGGAATCAGTAACACTATTTTAAGGAAGATAAAATTTTACCTGTCCACAATTTAGTTCCATATATCTTAAAGCATATTCGTCAGCGTTGGTTAGTATAAAGGTGAATCCGTTTATTATCAGTGTGGCTCCAACAAACATATGTTGTGGAGTATAACACAAAGGAGGTTTACTGGTAAATATTTTTTGACCGGCCAGTTGAACCTTCGATCTTGCTGCGAACATTGTCGATGCAAACCCTGAAATATTTTAACATTATGTTCTATGTTTTGTATCCGTTGTTTAAAACACTTTCGGAAAATTTTAATTTCTCTGTACTGTAATGAAGTTCATAAAATTTCTAGGACACCCTGTATATTGTGTTAATATTATACTAGAATAATAGAGACTTCATTCTCTTTTAATAATGACAGTCAATGTATTTTATTGTTAACTCATTATTGTAATGAACTTCATTAGTGTTCCTATTGTTGAATTAAATAAGTTAAATATTTAATTACAATTTTGTAAGAGAGTTTTGATCGGTTTTGATCGCTATAGTTTAATGCGAAGAAGCGAACTGTTTGCGCCGCTCGCCCTACTCTGCTAGTGCAGGCCGAGTGGAGGGGAGCGTCAGTCGAGTACCTTGGCTGCAGCAGCTCCAGTTAGGGAGTTGGTGGTCGCACGCGAAACAGTGAGGTTCGAGTCCGGAGTGCCCTGCCAAGTGTCCTGCTGCCAGCCGCCTGTCGCCACACTGTATAAGGTAAGCACCCACCGCCAAAGTGATCGAGAGTAGGTCGTATTCTTTTATTGTTAATGACGTTTACTTTACTGCCTTAACGCGTTACAGGGATAAGGGAGACAGAGATATGTATATTCGCTGAGATAGACGCAACTATGCACCTCTACGGAGGCTGGAGGCTATTTGAACGAATCGCGCGAGCGCAAAGACATAGAAAAACTTATATGCCATCAGGTAGATCAAACTGTGCACCTCTACGGAGGCTGGGGGATATTTGATCGGATCACGTGGACGCGAGGAACGATTTCTTTTGTTAAAAGGGTGAGAGTGAGACAGCTAACGGTTAAGGTAGTTCAGCAAACGCACGGGTCGCGAATATTCATGGAGCTAGAACAAGATCTCGCCCAAATCCCGAGGCTGGTTTTGTAGTTCCCGTATTTCTCTAGGTATGTCGTCCGGATGGCACCCTGCATCAGTGACGCTGGACGGGATCTCGCCGAAATCCCGAGGTTGTCCTGACAGGGCGGTGTGTGTGCGCGGGCTGCGCTTATTCGAACGACGTACAACTCGCGTCACTCCGGGACTCGCGTTTGTGTATCCCACGGGACGCTGTTAACTTCGCGATCAATCCAGGGCTCGCGTGTGTATATCCCACGGGACGCTGATAACTTCGCGATCGATCCAGGGCTTGCGTTTGTGTATCCCACGGGACGCTGATAACTTCGCGATCGATCCAGGGCTCGCGTGTGTGTATCCCACGGGACGCTGTTAACTTCGCGATCGATCCAGGGCTCGCGTTTGTTTATCCCACGGGACGCTGTTAACTTCAACATCGATCCAGGACTCGCGTTTATGTATCACGGGACGCTTTTAACTCCGACGCCGATCCGAGGTCCGTGTTTCGCTGTCAAAACGGACGCCGTTCCGATAAATATTTAGCTGTGACCATCGGGACGCCTGTAACGACGTCGCCGCCGTTTAGAGAGTCGCGTCGTGGTAGAGTGTGTTGCTCCGGTACCTACGTGTCTGTGTTCATTAGGACGCCGCTAAATCCGACGCCGATCAGGATCTCACGTCGTCGTGTTTAATAGAATGTCACTTCGGGAACGCGTTTTGAATTCGCGTGATAGAACGCGTCAGAGAGTTACGTATCGGGAATAATCGATCAAAACTCTAGAGGTACACGGTTGTTATTGTAAATTTTACTTTACGGGTCTCTAAATATACATTTTATTTCACTATTGTTACGATTCGAGGACGTGAATCTTCCTTGATTACTTTTGTACATAATTAATTAGTTAAATAAAAACCTAGTGTTACGTTATAGTTAATTGTGTGTTTTATTTTCTTTTCATCTCATCACTCCCTGGTATCTCCACTGTATAAAAGCTACCCGTATTGGCACTAGTGGTCTCTCAAACACTTTAAACGTAGGGGGTGGCGCCCGAGGAACCGAACCAAGGCAACTCGGCGTCCGTGAGCTTTCGCAAAAACGGGGGAGCCTCACAGTACCTCATGATATATTTAAAATTTAAAAACATTAGTTTAAAAAAATTGAGTGTGCACTCTCTAACTCACTGACGACCAGGTCGCAACGACCTGGCCGTCGGCTGGCTGGATGCATTGCGTTTATAGCTGCGGCCAGATGAACGACCAGTTTCAACAGAGTTGTCAGATCTAACGATTTTTTACGTTTTACCAATTAGAAAATATTGTTTGAGAAAGAATTAAGTTTCAGAAATGTTAAAATATCCGAGTTAACTAAAAAGTGAAGTTGCTATTCACGAGCTTATTAAATGTTTTAATATTAATTAATGCATTTAAAATATTCTTGGATTTTTCGTTAATAAATACTGGTGTGGTAAATGGAGTAAGTAAAATCTCCAACCCAGACTACACGATAACGTCGTTATTTCCATGTTTTTCAAATCCGCGATGCCTGCTATTCCATCAGTCGTTTCATAACAGAATATTCATAATTCGTAAGATTTTCAGCATTATATCAATAAAGGACAAAAACAGTATTGTTCCTAAAGGTGCGTCCAGAGTTGGTGCGTGGAACGAACCGAGCGCGCACGAACAAGCAGAACAAATAGGCTGAACAAAAAGCATTGTGTACGCGCGACCGACAAAAAGAGAGATATTCTGTTTCTTTTTTCTAGTGATATGGACTTCTACTGAAGACTCTTATCGACTTTAGAAGTATGAAGTAAACATATTAGGGCCACACAATAACTTGTATGGCTTTTTCCATAGTTTAATAAACCAGTTATCGTTTTGCCCCATTCCTGTTAAAGTCTCTACAGCAAGAGAATGGGTGATTTCGACAGATATCCAAAAAAGACAGGAAATACAAATTTCTACTTTTGAATTAAATTATTATATTTTTATTCCTGACTGCGGTTTAATATTCTTTCGATAGGAACAGACTAGAATTACATACCTGTGTTTCTTTTGGCCACTTCAAAAATGGACAGGCTGTCGTCCGTCAAGAAATAACTAATTATAAAATTGCGCGTGCAATTTTCTGGTATTTTTGACTTCATTTTGGCTTCGAAGCGTAGTATGTGTGAATCTAGTCCAAAACTAAAACATACAGAAGATATAGGGGCGTATGGCATATATTTTTTAATTTTTTTTTATTATAAAACAATGTTAGTTTGTCAAAGATATGTGTGTATGTTACTTTACAGGTTTAATATTTTGTTACGGTATTTTAATAGAAATATGGCGTATCTATCCAATAATACTCTTGAAGACTGAAGACAGCTTATTTGCAGTTGTATGAATTTAGTTCGTTTTTACTACAAGTATTATGCACTAATATTTTGATTTGAATTTGGTTGAACCCTGTTTTCGAGGTGTTCTTGCTTTTCAGAACATTTCTCACTTTCTGGTTTAACCGGAAGGGGCTATTTTATGCATTTTGGATTCCGGTAAAATAGTCATGGACCGGCAAATACAATAGAATTAAATGCAACTGTCGGAATGGTTGCAAAGCCGGCGCCGACTCCGGCACCGATTTTGCCGGTGTGTGTGCAAGCGCTCTTAGGCTATGCGTTGACAGGCAAATTTTGATCAGCCGACTATTTAGTTGCATATTTGTAACCAATATATCCTTATGGAGCCGCGCTCACATGCAATCAAATTGTCGGCCGACTAAAAATTATAAGTCAGCGCGTAGGTTTATTGTGTCGAATTTCACTTCACAGTTTTCCATACTATTTAAAATCGTAAGTCAGGGAATTCAAAGTGTCTTGTTTTTCAAATTAATATTTTTTTTAGAAAATATGCCATAATTGTAATGTTGAGTAGTTTATTTGCTGAGACTTTGCTGAGAAATGCGTATAGGATTACTATTTTTTTACGAAATACATGCATTTGGAATTGCCCACGAATATGTTGTGTTGAATAAAACTTCCCTTTTCCCCCTGGATCTCAAAATTTCCCACAAATCGGAAAATTTCCCACGTTTTGGCATAACTAATCTATACCCAATAACAGTTAACCTGGTAGGACTGCTCATTCAGCTGAGGGTGCAGCCACACTATCCTAAAAACGGCGTATCGGCGTAACGGCGTAATGACCTTGAATAGATTTCCAGTAATTCTATTGGCTGAAACATTCATCTGTCAGAAATTTTATCTGTCAAATTCATCTGTCAAAAATTTCAGCCAATAGAATTCCTGGAAATCGATTCAAGGTCGTTACGCCGATACGCCGTTTTTAGGATAGTGTGGCTGCACCCTGAAAGTGTCAGCCAGGTGCATGCGAAAACTCCTCGCTTTGTGACGTCATTGTAGTCCTTGTCATGGTTATTAGTCCTTATCCGGCAACCAATAATACACACACGTGCATTATTGGTTGCCGGATGCAAAACGTTCATTATTTAGTTTATTTATTTAAACACCTTATATGTATGCAGTATAGAAAATTAACTGTATAAATCGTATTAAAAAATATGATCTTGAATAAACAAGAAGAATAATAGAAACCATAATTCTGTTTTTTCGTTGGTTTTATTAAGTGACAACTATACCGCAATAATTAGAAAAGTACCTATCGTATAAAAGGAACTTTTTGAAATCCTTATGCGGCGGTTTGGGCTCCACGGTGATGCAGTTCTGCGCGGAATCCTCGTACGTGCCGAACCCGTTCCAAGGAGGTAGTTCCCTGTCCTTTGGTAGGGGTATATTAACGAAGTCCTTGTTGCTCTTCGGCTCGGCGATGGGTTTGAATTCGCTGATGCCGTACTTGGTAGCGTAGTACTCTTTGGTGAACGAGTCGCAGTCTGTGAGTACCAGTTTACGGCCGTAACAGTTGATTACAGCTGAAAAAGAAAACAATCGTTTAATGAAGCTTGTTAATAAGTTAATTAGTTTGAACTATGAATTAGAAAAAATAAGGAAGGATGCAGTCAAATACTAGATACTTCTAGATTGAAGCATTAAAAACGGAAGCTACGTCATAGTAGCCTCTCAAACATCGCAGTTTTAACAAAACGAATATTTGTCAAAGAACAGCAAAGAACACTCGAAGAATAAAATTGAAAATGTCAAATGTCAGATTAGAAAAAAAAATAAAAATGACAATATCAGATTACCAAAGAAAAGTTTCATGACAATCGGCAACATTGACCATGACTACCAACGTACATCCTTTTTTATATCTCAGTCTGTTTAGTTGACGCGTCAACGTTTTTTTAACCAGGATACGGGATTACGGTATAAGAAAAAGGAAAAATTGCGCTCCATGTTTAACAAAGGATTTTTGGAAATTTAATTTGCATGACATTGAATAATTTTTTTATAGGCCCTCAAAATTGCTTTAATTTGGAATAATTTTAAAGTGCCAATTGATGACGTATGAAAACTACGCCCAATCACATTGCAGAACCGTGCTCGTGCGCCAGCCAACAACTGGCAACATTGCGATTTGATTTGACGTGCATGTTGAGTGTTGAGTAATAAATTTGAGGTTAAATTTTTTGTTTACTCCGTTTGTGAAAGCTTGTAATCAAATTTTAAGTTTTAAATTGTTATTTTTTGATAATTTGTTCCATCATGGTCGTACCAGAAGCTGGATTCGAAAAGGCGTCATCTGATAACCTTACGCAGGTTAGCATGGTGGCCCACCAATCTCGTGGACAACCTGGACCAAATAGATGCAGGTAGGGCTAGGAACCACCTGTATCTAGAATGGTACGCAAAGGAAGTCAGTGGTGCAATATTGGATGCATATGAATCTAGTTGCCCCACAAGTAAGGGCATACAAAAAAGTAACAACAAGCCCTGGTGGAACAAAAAGCTGGCCAATCTTAGATCGGAGGTCCGACGACTCTTCAACAGAGCCAAACCCAGCGGCGAATGGCATCTCTACGCCGAGAAATTAACTGAGTATAATAAGGAGATTAGAAGGGCAAAGCGGTCTGACTTCAGACTTTTGCGAAAACATCACTTTAACTACTTATGCAGCTAGGCTACACAAAGCTATGGCCAAGAGTGGACCCATCCCCAACATGGCACTTAAGAAACCTGACGGAAGCTGCACGGAAGGAGATGAAGAGAGAGCTAACCTCCTACTTCATATACACTTTCCAGGTAGCATATCTATTGATACGCAAGTAGCTCCGACCGAACCCCACAATCCTCGCAGGGAAGACTGGGAGACGGCCAAGCTAGTAATAACAGAACAAAAACTGATATGGGCTATTGACACCTTTCAGCCTTATAAAACAGCAGGAATAGATGGGATTTTTCCTGCCCTTCTAAAGAAGGGTCAGGAAATAGCTACACTCCATCTATTAAACATTACAAGAAGCAGCTTAGCGATGGGATATATACCAACCATCTGGAGAAGAGCGAAAGTCATGTTTATACCCAAAATAGGCAAAACTGACTGGGCTAACCCCAAATCATTTAGGCCTATTAGTCTCACATCGTTCATATTAAAAACGATGGAGAAAGTAGTCGACAACCATATTAGAGTAAATCATCTACAGGTTAACCACTGCACGATAGTCAGCATGCATATAGAGCGGGTAGATCCACAGAAACTACTCTGTACCAGTTAACTGAGCTAAGACAGGCAAGCCTGGATAGCAAAGAAACAGCACTTTGTGCCTTCTTGGACATTGCAGTGAGGTACATTTGACAATATACCTCACAACGTGGTCAAGCGATCTCTTGAAACAAGAGGGGTGAACAGTACGATAATTCGCTGGTTTTGGGAAATGCTCTCAACACGAACAGCAGTTGTACCAAAACTGTAGTTGTTAAAACAACGCAAGGAACTCCACAAGGTGGAGTGACCTCCCCCCTACTGTGGAGCTTGGTAGTGGATGAACTAATGGAAGAATTAACTCTAGCGGGAATACACTGCATATGGTATGCAGATGACATAGTCATCATTGCACGGGGGAAACATGAAGGCACCCTGTGTGATATTATCCAAAGAGGACTCCGCATCGCTGAGAGATGGTGCAGGACTGTCGGGCTGAGTATTAACTCAGATAAAACAGCAGTAGTGCCATTCACCAGAAAGCGAAGTTTGAAAAACTTGAAAAGAATGTATCTAGATGGAAAGGAAATACTGCCATCGCTGGAAGTGAAATATCTGGGAATAACCCTGGATAGTAAACTTCTCTGGAACAGGCATATTAAGAACATTACTAGCAAAGCCACAAAGACTCTCTGATATGCAGAAGACTGGGGGGAAATAGGTGGGGCTGCGCCCCTAACATTTTGCGCTGGTTGTATTACCATGATAGTAAGACCCATGATTACTTATGGAGCAGTTGCTTGGTATACAAAACTAGAGCAACGTACAGCAAGGCAAAACCTGTGCAAAGTAAAGAGACTGGCATGTATCTGCATCACAGGTGCCATGAGAACATGTCCAACAGCAGCAATGGAGGTCATTCTAGACCTAACCCCACTGCATATTGTCGTCGGTAGTTATGTCAATGCGACAATGATTAGAATGGTCATTGACGGAAACAGTACTGGGAGAATTTTCAGGTCAGGGGCTTGGAACACCCTCAAAAAGAAAATTCCACTTCTCCAACTCCCAGTGGATGACATACCAAGAATTTACAACTTTGAGAAACACCTCACTGTAGTTTGAGTAATAAAAAGGATTGGAAGAAAGAAACGCTTACTCAGCATATAAAAGACCATACCATCACGTGGTATACTGATGCTTCCAAAACCAAAGCAGGGACAGGGATAGGAGTATTTGGGCCGAAAACTGAATACTCCGAACCAATGGGCACCTAACCCAGTATCCTTCAGGCAGAAATTTGCGCTATCGAAAGATGCGTACAATTTATCTTAGATAGGAACTATCGAAAACAGGAAATTGCCATCCTATCCGATAGTCAAGCAGCACTTAACACGATCAACTCAGTAACCGTCAATTCGAAGTTGGTCAAAGAATGCCTAGAGAAGCTCAACAAATTAGGCAAAGAAAATAAAGTCAAAACTTTTTTGACTCTGGGTGCCTGCTCACCAAAGGATAGAAGGCAATGAAAAAGCAAATGATCTAGCTAGAAAAGGAGCGAACACACCACTAACTGGACCAGAACCGTTCTGTTTTCCAAACGGGAACCAACTGAAAGCGGAACTGAAGAATCTGGAAGACTCCATCCGTAACTTGGAATGAGTGTCCTCCAACGGTCTAAGACACTCGAAAAAGTTCCTTAGAACTTATGACCGAGAAAAATCAAAGGTTTTCCTTGATTTAAGTAAAAACAATCTTCGGATTGTCACGGGGTTCTAACAGGACACTGTCTCCTCAACGAACACCTCAGTAGGCTGAAACTGAGAAACAACGGCGAATGCAGATTTTGTGGGGAAAATGGGGAAACACCAGAACACCTTATCACTGAGTGCGCCGAGACGACGACCATTCGTGCCATGAACCTTGGCACGTCTGATGTCGAGGATGGAGAGCTGGCCTCTGTGGAGCCGTCTCAGAAACTGGCTTTTCTTAAAGCCCTGAGACTGTATGATGAGTTATAACTCGTTATAACTCAAGAAAGGGGAACACACAATAGATCTATAAGGTCGCGGTGATTAACTCCCCTTCTAAACATTCTACATTCTACATTCTAGCATGGTGGCCCGGCGGTGTTGCCGCTTTTCAACATGCCAGGTGTGACGTATTAAAAATAAAGTGCGGATTTTTCATCTGGGCTTTTTTGTTTTTATTTATTTTCTTAAGAACGACTTCAAGTTTTTCGAAAGTGAGATAGCAGAAAATTCCAGAATTAATTGCTTTATTCAATTATGCGAATTCCAAAATTTAGTGAAAGAGCCCATTGTGCATGTGGTTCGTTCAAATGAACGAATCGTAGGAGTCGATTCAATATGAGAAATTGAATCGTGTGATTCGATTCACTAAAAAGAATCGTCGGATGCGGAATTTACGTCATGGTTTGATAAAAGAGAGGACTTGACGAAGGCACTTGACGTAGGAGAAGATATTAAAAAAAGAGCAGACGTAAAAAAGACATAGATGCAAATGAAAGAAAAATATGCAAGGGAGGCCTCACCATAACTAACACTAAAGTACAGTTGCATTATGATATTGATGATATGTATGCGTACTAAACGAAAATAATGATAAATGATTACCTCCTATACTCAAATCTCTCTCATCGTAATACTCAATGTTCTGTCTTCCACAATCAAGAGGATCTACAATGTATCTTCTGTTTGTCAATGCCGATCCCAAGACGTTTAAAACGGTATAATTTGAATTGCTACCTACTGGTGGCAGTTCTTTATATCTATAAAATGAAAAATGGTAAGAAGAAAGATTTGTTGTTGTTTATTGCTAAAATTTCTGCACTTTATTAACCTGGATTTCATTCGATTTGAGGTGTATCTCAAACTGTGACTTACGTACCTCTGATTTATTTCTTTTTTTTAATTATTGTGTTTAGGTTACGTAAATTTGCATTAGAGAAATTCAGGTAAAAAAGCACAGAGCAAAAGATTCTGCAATAAAGTGCAGAAGATGTTTAATACCGTTTCGGTAATTTTCCTTTTCGCAAGAACATGAAACTTGGTTCACCACCTGCCTCAGTTTGTAATTCTTTAATCTCTATTGTATCGTCAGCTAGATAATATCGAACTTCTAAATGGTGCATATAACCGTATTCTGTATTTTGGTCGTCCCAGTATGCAGTAAAATGTAGAACCTCAAAAATACAAAACAGAATTATTGTAGAACATTAGCACAGTACTCTTATTCAATAGACAACTCGATACATACAGGGTGGCCCATTAGTGCGAGGAAGTTCAATTTCTTCGCTGTTATACCCCGAAGATATGAAAAAAAGTTTTATAAAATGTTCCATGGTTTATACAGGGGCATACTATAAATATATTTTTTTAAATTATATAAGGATTCTTGCCACTTAACTGCTGATATAGAAATTTAATTCTACGTTGTGTTTGTCATAATGTGGATCAACCTGCTCTCAATACCGGTTTCGGAGCCCTACTACATCATTAGGTGAGCTTGGGCAGATCCACAAAATGACAAACACAGCGCAGAGATAGTTAATTCCGACTTGTCCGAAAGTGTCGGTTAGATATTAAGTCCCGAACGGGAGATAGCGGCCTGCGTGCAATAGTAGTGCTTTCGTACCACCGAGGCGAAACTATCGATAGTAAAAAGATAGTAAAAGGCTTTTTTTCAGGCAAGCCAAATTATAAAATAGAAAACAAATTTCTTGCAGTATAGGTATATAATAAAATTATATAAGGATTCTTGCCACTTAACTGCTGATATAGAATTTTTATAATTTTTATATCATATTTTTATAATTTGGCTAATAAAGGAGCCTTGGAAAAATATTTTGATCGTCTAATGTTTTTGTGTCTTGTCCTGTCTGGTCAAAAGATGCCCAAATCGTATAAATCGTATTTTTAATCATATCTCAATTATTTCAAATTGAACAAGGGTCATTAGCGTATTTGGAAAAAGCATTTTTTACAAATAATTTGGTACCACACATTTGGTATTTCGAGTCAAATTGTCGTTATGAACTGCATGTTACAATTTCAAATAAACCATATGCGACAATGTCAAAAGTTTACATATGATATGCCATTCTATTCAGAGAGTGTAATTTTCTATTCAATAAAGTAGAAATATACCAAGAGTGCCATTTAAAAATTAAAACTTGTAGTCATTTCCGGTGAAACAAGAAGTGACCAAAAAGAATTGAATACGTCAATCAATCCTGATTTCTATCATACCCGTCACTCGAAGTATTTCAGTCAGACTTTGAATAAGAAGACTAAAGAAGATGCTATCCATGTATTCATGCATGGTGGGCGGAAAAAGGACTCTAGGGTGGGGATCCTTGACAGTTCTGTTTGACGATTCATTTGACACATTTGAATTTGATTTGAAATTTTGTGGATTTGTCAGTCTTTACGGAGCTTATTTTATGTTATTTATTATTTATTCTACTACTGATAGTTGTATAAAGGTAGTAAATCTAAATGGAAATTGTGGCAGAACTTAAATTAACAGTGACACTATCGCGATTTATCGAAAAGGACTCTAAAATAGTTGGTTGTGTAGCGTGCGGTAGATCTCGGCAAAAATCGAGTGAAATAATGGAACAACTTTTCGCTAGTGACTATATAATATACATACGTGTAGTAAACCGATCATTTATGAAATTCAGTTATTCGTCAGGATCGATTATAATAAAATATTAACTGGATTTTAGTTGTCGCCCGGCGACGTAGGTTTCTTTCCGAGAAACCCGACAGCGGTCGGTGGCAATGCTATGAAAAAAGCCGGCATCTTTGATTTTTTGCGGAGTCATATAAAGATAAGGACACATTATTTCTTTTTATTGAGGTGCTAGTATTTACCTTAGAGTAAGGTATTTACACAGAAAATACATTATGAAGGGCGCTGTTGCCATATATTGGTATTAGTTGATATTAGCAAAGAATATTACTGTTTGGCTTTAGTTAGTTAGGGATAGTATGTCTATATATTTTGCATTTTTTTAATTAATATTATGTTGTTACACTGCAATAATACTTGTTATTTTGGATGTAGGAAAATGATTTTTAATGTTTTTAAGCAAAGACTGGTTTAATAAAAAATAATAATAACAGTAATTATTTGTTATACCTATTAACAACGAAATTTAAAATAATTTAATATAATTTTTTTTACGTAGTAGCAAAATATAAACAACAAATTAGATGTCAAAATTATTTATATTAGATCCTATTTAAAAATAACATAGTCTTTAAATTTTTTGGCAACGTTGGTTTATTAAATAATAATAATTACAGAACTAATTTGTTATATTAACAACAAACTTAAAATCATGAAATATAAACATTTATTAATTTTCTAAGCATGCAGTGTAATGGAAGGAAAATATAAATAAAAAGTTAGAAATCAAAATTATTTACATTAGGTACTTTATATTACTATTTAAAAATAATATTTACTTTTACTGGCATTTACTTTAAAAAATAAATTAAATATTTCTTCGCAAAAAACTACATGTAAGAGAATTAGCATAAACAAAATACCAACATCGTTAACTTTTTTTTAAATTGGCACGTGTAAAACTTTCAATTTAATTTTCTCATCCCATAGTTTGAGTTCAATAACATTTACTTAACCACATTACTTAAATATGATTATTAAGTTCAACTAATTCATATTATTAAAACATCTAAAATACAAATATGTATTTTTAAAATTAATTCTAAGTTCATCTCATCTCTCTTAAAAATTTGCTTCTTCTCAAAATTTCCCATTAAAAATAGACCATATACCATATAAAATAAAATAATTGAAAGATCGGGCTACGGAAAATCACACAAATTTTCGGAAAAATTTTGACCACCTGCACACGCACACAATCGTCAATTAAAAAAAACTACTATTTTAGTATTTTAAATATTTTAATAAACGCAAAAATAGCACAGTATTTATAAGGCGAAGTTATAAAAATTTGGAAGAACTAATAATGCACTCACGCACACAAAAATCAAACGAGTACTAAATTTCATTTATCAAAAGCATTCGATAGTCGTGGCTTAACGATAACCATTTAGTCGCACGGCGAGGTTGTCACATATGCTTTAGTATACAAATGAATGAATGATTTTATTCGAATAAAACCATTCGATAGTTGAAATCATTCATTCGGTAACCATTCGATAGTCTAATTCATTCGATAGTTCCCATCGCTAATAATAATCAATATATAATCTGTTGTAATTTGTTGTTTTAATTGTCAAAGTCTTGTCAAAACATATATTTGGTTATAAATATAAAACGGAAAATGACAAAATTGAAGAAACTAAACTAAAACTAGTTTTAGTGAACCCTAATCGACATTTGATTTCAAAAAATCGACTATACATAATATATCATATTTTACGCAAAATTGTAAAATTTCAAGGGAGTTTGTGCCTAAACGGTTGACTTTAGCGAAAATTTTCATAAAATCTTTTTTATAGGAAATTTTATTCTCTTTAATTTTGCTCTCTTCAAACTTTCGCGAAAAACAAATAGTTTTCGGGATAATCACAAAAAACCGATTTTGGGCGCCATTTTGGGAAGATGGCGGCGCCGGCGGTAAGTCTGGAAATGTGCATCTTATGGATTTTAGTTAGCGACCCCCAAAACCTATAAACCTGCAAAGTTGCAAGAGTAGCTGTAAGTAGCTGTAAAATATCGACATCACACGATAGGTAAATAATGGATTTTAGTACTGCAGAAAAATAATGTCAAAAGGTACTGGTTTAAAAAAATTAAGATTAAGGTTAATTAATCAACCTGTGAGGTATAAAATTTGGTAAGTGTTATTATTAATAAAATAGTTTGTTTTATTTATGTTGTTTTATTTATTCCTGCGGAATATTACAAATTTGTATTTGTAGATAAGTTATATTGATAAATATAATCATAAATGCGGGAAGTTTCATAAAGCTTGAAAGTAAGAAATAGTTCTTTTTTATATTTTTAAGTATGTGGTGTCTTGTTTTTGTTTGTTTTGTATTAACACATACCGTTTTTTATTAAATAAAATAACTCGATTACATTTTTTCAGTTTTATACAGTTTTTTCACAATATTTTGAAGTTCCTTGTCAGTCAAATTTTAAATACATATATTAATTCCCTGCTCTGCGTTCCAGTTGTACCAACTTATTTCTTTGTAAAATAAAATAAACTACTTTGAAATTAAAATGACAGACACATCTATCACTGTCAAGGATCTTCTTGTTGGATAGACTATATTACCTTTTTATCGTTTGCCAAAAATTTTCCTAGGGTATCTCTGTTCCTATTAGGTTTCTTGGGCTGCATAGCATCTCTATCGTGGGAGCGTATATCCATATACGGATCAGCGGGTGGCATTATAGGATCCGGTACCGATATTCCGCATCTGTTCAAAAACGTGCGCGTGAAGTGATCGCAATTGGTGATTTTGAACACTTTCCCATATAGCTCCACTTCGCGACCGATGTTAAAATCGATCAATTCGTAGAAATTGTCGTCCATTGGTGCGGGAATACGAATTCTTTGTCTTGAAATCAGAGTTCCTAAAAAGACAGTAAATTTACATCAAAGCCATCTAATGACTTTTTGTCTATTATTCTACTGTTGAAAGGGAATGTCTACGTTATTTTCTTCCGGATCACCAGGTGGCTCTAAACTTAGCTCTAAATGACGGACCCATTTGTTTTATATCGGTGTCCAATCTATCTCTAGTACGTGACATTAGTCTATGGTGAGAAGTAACAACTTTGACGTTTTGTTGAAACAAATGAATGCAACTAAACACATCCATAGCAACGCCATTCATGGCAGACATGATTTAAATTATCATTTATCTTTTTTTGGGAAATCTTAAACACATTTGCTTTTTCGAATTTCGATCACCTTTTTCATGCTAATACTCCACTGTGGGCCGGTAGGATGGGGTTTATACTATGATTTATAACATTTTAGTTCTTTGACTTAATGCTAGAACTAATAATTGCTTGACAGTATCATCAGAGTAGAACAATTCTTCTCAGATATCATTACTTGACTGAATTATTTGAATCAATTACTAATAATAGCTCCCGTATATAGCGTTTAACGCCTTGGGAGTAGCAAGGTACAGCTTGCTACACTAGAGCCGTTCGGTATACAAGAAAGGTAATGTGGCTATAGTAAACGCCACGAATGTTTGGGAGTGATTCATCGGTCACCATGTGAACCAGAGTAAGTAGAAACCGTTGGCTCTTTTGATGTGGTAGGACCAAAGTAGCGACAGAAACCACCGGCTCTTTTGATGTGGTAGGACCAAATTTTCTTTCTCTCTCTTTTGACGTGTTTGACAGATAGACTACGTATTTAACTGCTCAACTTATAAAGTGGTCCTATAAACATGGTATACATACTGCTCATAATTTGAAGTGGAATTAATTATAAAGTTTTATACATATTTTTTTTGTTTTGTTTTATCCTTATTTCTAAATTTGAATGTATAAAATATCTTACAGCTAATATATTTGATAAATGGCAACAGTGGCAACTTCGCTTCTTCATATGACAGATAACCTACATATTTCGCGCAGCCGCAAAGAAAATTGAAAACGGGACTGTCGCTACTCGTCGGTTTACTGATGTGAACTAATCTGTTCAAGGTCACATAAAACTTAATTCCAGTGCCGTGGTGTTTCAAGTCATATAATAATCAATATATAATCTGTTGTAATTTGTTGTTTTAACTGTCAAAGTCTTGTCAAAACATATATTTGGTGATAAATATAAACTGGAATGCCCCAATGGTCGTACTGCAAGCACGCCAATAGACTGACGCACAAAAACGAATCAATCAAAGAAACGCGATATAGCATCGTCTTTGTCAATCACGCTAACATTTTAGAATAAGTAGGAGGAGCGCAGGCAGATGATTAGATCGGGCCTTTAAAAACCTACGTCTGCGGTAAAAATTTACGTTTTTAATGTAAAAATGATAGCGCGCGTGTCGATTCTAACTTCATCAAGTGATGAATCACTCCCAAACCACAGATTAGGTATCCTATAAGTATACAGATAAAAATCTTGTCACTAATTCGTGGTACGAAAATTGTTTTTTATGACGATGAGCAAACGAGTAAATTTTCTTGTGCGCAAAAATAAACTCCCGTTTAAACAGCGTAACTGGGCCGGTCACAAGGCCGGTCAGGCGCTGTGCACAATTTTAGAGGTCATAAGTGGGCGTGCTATGTGCGCCAACTAGTAACCTAACTAGTGCCCGATTTCGAAAATTGGAACCACGAAAAACAATGCTTTTGACGATAACTTTATAATCTGTATAATCTGTGTCCAAACATTCGTGGCGTTTACGCTTCAACCGCCTATTATTACCTCAGGATTGTGAATCCCAAGTACTCATTTAAGGCTGAGTCGACCTAGGTACCCAAACTATTTTTATTTTAATAAAAATAGTCGGCTGCTGAAATGCCGGTTGTAGGATTCGAACCCACTACCTTGAGATTGGTAGACGAGAGCCTGTACCTCTACGCTACCGGGCACCTCTTTTCCGTATATTAAAATGTTATTACCTTGTGACACTCCACTATTTTCAACCTTAGGTTCGATCACTTGAATAGTACCATCCTCCAAAAAATAGTAAAGTTTTACTTTTCGAACTTGAAATGGCGATCCAGGTACTTCTTGCAGAGTCTCTTGAAAATATGCGTCAAAACATAAAATCTACAAATATGAAAAATGCATTTTTTATATTTTGATATTTTTTCGAAAAAAAACATTTTCGTCTTTTTCATTCACGGAAATATCATACGATCGAAAAAAAAACGGCGTCAAAGACGGCTGACAGTGGAGAGAAATGCGACCGAACGACGCGACGCGCGACGGTGTGCTGTTGCGGCGTTGCCGATACGTCTTTCCCTATCAAGTAAAGTAAAATCACGATCGCAAACCGCTTATTTTTCAAAGACTTTTTTTTCAAGAGATAACTAGATAAAATCATTAGACATGTTTCTGAGCATCTGAAATGGAATTATAAGGATATCGTTAGGGTGTCAAACTCAACTTTTTAACACATAACAGGCCATAACTCAAGGACCACTTTAGATATATAGTAAATTTTTTTTATTTTCAAGATCGGATATTTTACAATATGTTTACATAAGAAAAATTCGATAAGGTTGTTTTTTCTATTCAAAAATTGTAAACAATCCATCCATTTACTTTTAGAGCATAGCAATTTTCAGCAATCGTGTAATTTTTTCATTGATAAAGATTTTCACATACTGTCTACAAAGAAAATACAGCAGAAATGTTAACAAAGTTCTTGAAAAAACTACAATCTATTATTTCTAATAGATTTCGAGATATCGATTTTTGAATTCAGAGTTCTAATAGCGCGACCACTATCGAACACCCACTCAATTCCACTTATTTTACCAAAAATGCAAGTGTTTCTAGCTTGCACTTAAAAAAATTCAAGCTATAGGGAAAATTACATCGATTCGTTAATAAATGAACAAATTAAGTATCACGAGACGTAATTAAATCGTACTGCTGAACGCATGGCGTACACCTTTCCCTAGAACTTTAAGTACTGACAGAGGTATTGATTGGGTCGACCGGTCAACTGCGGCAAATCTGCTATATCCCCTTCCACGTCTCTTAGCGATGTGCACAGTTTCTCGGTTTATTTCATATGTTTGGCAACGTGTTTACTGTCCTCTCTTTGTTAAAATAATAAAATAATAATAATTAATAAAAAAACAATAAATAATAAATAGTCAACTAAATTAGAGGTGGCAAAATAAAACAATGATTCACCACAATACATAAAACTCTCAGTTTTAATCATCTGCTGATGATGCCAACATGGTTAGCGAAACGCGCGTCCAGTGCAAAAGTAAAGTGTTTTGGTGTATTGTGGAATTACTTAATTAGTGTTTTAATTTGCAGTTGTAACACCAAAGGTTCCAATCCTCAACCACATATTTGTTTCACATATATGAGCCGCGTCACTTTCTCGACCTTTCCAGAGAAATATCCCGATTTTGTGAGGGCCCCGTCCAAGATCCGAGGGGCCCTTTCGCTGTTCGAGTGACCCCCTTTATACTAAAGACGGCACTGCTCATCGGTTAGACAGCTAGAATATACAAGTTATGCCGTGCATTGGTTGTAATTTAAAATGTTTATTCCGTAAAAATAAATAATGAAACCATTGAAATATAATTTAATAGCTAAAATAAATAAATTCAGTTTCAAGTATATATTCATAATTTAAAACTTTAAATTATAAAAAAATAATTATTCGACAATCTAAACAAAAAAAATTACCCCCTAATTTAATTACCAAAATAGAAAAATGCCAATGACTGTTGAATAAAAAAATGCTCTTTAAGATCTGGAGGCCCCCCAAAGAGGCCGGGGCGGACCGCCCCTTCCGTCCCCCCCTTTAGTCCGCCACTGAGTGCAGTTTAAAATCCGAGAATTTTTTTTTGGAAATAAATTCTTGTGTCTGGAACGTTCTATTCTTTATTAATGCCTCTCTAATTAGTGTTAATTTTGAACAGTCTTAAGTAAATGACGTCTAGAGATTGATCTCGCCAAAATTATTATCGATTGTCATTTCTCAGCCATGATTGACCCGTTTTTTTATCATACGGTATAATATTTAATTGTGAGTGGCATTCATGCATGCTGTGGACGGAGGTGGGGACCTAAGGTAGGGATCCCTGAAAATAAAACAAGAAATTATTGAGTCCATATCATTTATCACGTTTTGAATAAAATTAGAATGGTACTGATAAACCGGAATTTAAGTCGGCCATTTTTGGCCCCATCGCACTCGATCTAAGCGTTTTGATGTGCTCCTTCCTGAATCTTTTTATTTAAAGCACCAAACCTATAGAAATTGAGAAAAGACAACATTTCTGTCAGAATAGTGACTATGATATACCTGTTTGTCAAAAACTATCCAGCCAGGTAGTTCCACGGATTGTCCAGGAGGGTAAATGGAGGGAAACTTGTCAGAAAGAGGTCCAAACATGTTGGGCTTCACTTTTTCAACAAGCGACCTGTTATTTTTCCCAATAAACCCGAAAATAGGGGTGCGGCCATATTGCGTTTTCCCAATCTGCAATTATTTTAAAAATATATACAGTGGTGGCCAAAAGTATGGAAACTTTTTTAATTTGTCATTTATTCTGGGAAATTAAAATATGAAATAAAACGACTTATATAATCGTGACCTACAAATAATTTCCTAAAAAACCTAATACATTTAAATAAAAAATTACAGCTATCAAAATATATATAAAAAATTATGAATATTTTTTTGGTCAAAAGTATGGAAATTAAGAAGAATGTTTATTAAAATTCAAGATAATATAAAAATTACTAATATTTAGTGGAATATCCCTTTGAATTAATTACTTCTCTACATCTTCGTATCTTCGTGGCATCGAATCTATCAATCTCGTACAATCTTTACAGGAAATGGCCGCCCATTCAGTTTTTAGCACTTCCCATAATTCATTTTTATTTGAAATAGAATGGCTTCGAATTTTGCTATCCAAATGCTCCCATAAATTTTCTATGGGGTTAAGATCCGGAGACTGTGAGGGCCAATCCACTAGTGGAACATTATGTTCATTTAACCAATTTTCAACAAACCGAGATTTGTGCTTGGGATCATTGTCTTGCTGGAACAACCATCTGAGTGGCATTTCTTCATCAGCATGAGGCAGCATATTATTCTCCAATATGTCTTTGTAAAAAAACGGTCCATTATCCCATCAATTTTAACAAGAGGACCAACCCCTGAGCTAGAAAAACACCCCCATACCATTATACTCCCACCCCCATGTTTTACTGTGGGCATCTGGTAGTTATGGCGGTACCGTGTACCTTTTGGTCTTCGGACATAACGTCTCCCGTCACTACCAAACAGTTGAAACTTGCTTTCGTCGCTAAACAGTACAGTATTCTATTTCTGATAAGACCAGGTGAGATGATCTTGAGCAAATTTAAAGCGGGCCATCCTATTTTTCTTTGATACTAGTGGTTTCTTCACCGCAACTCTTCCAAAAAGTCCTATGTCATCCAACCTTCTTCTCACCGTGCGTGCAGACACCGATATTCCCCTTTCACCCATTTCTCGAGAAATGTCTGTGGATGTTTTTCTTGGATCTCCCATTGATATTCTCTTCATTACTTTCATTGTCCTGTTGCACAACTTTCTTGATCTTACTGACTTAAAAGCTGTTGAAACGTTCCCTGTTTTATTAAATTTACGAATTATTTTCGAAACGGTGACTTTTAAAATGTTTAAATTTTTACTTATTTGAATTTGTTTATAACCGCTCTTGTATAATTCAACTATTTTATTTTTTAAATCCGTAGAGAAATATTTAGACTTGGGCATGATGTTTATATTTATCTGAAGCAAATTGTACCGTTTATCAGCTTAAACTAAATAATTTTAATTAATTATTTATGGTTTCCATACTTTTGGCCACAAGAAATCTATTGTTCTCCTACAAAAACTGCTAAACAGATTTTTTTCGCTGTGTAATTTTTGAAATACTTTTATTTGCTGATAAGCTGTTTATTTATATTCCTGAGAGTTTAAGCATAGCAATATTTTCTGTGATATTTTAAAAAGTAAAAAGTTTCCATACTTTTGGCCACCACTGTATAAACATGGATAAAATATGTAAAAAATCGATTAAATTATCCAGATTAATGTTATTTTGGGAGTTACGAAATTTTCCATATTAATAGTAAAGGAAAGTAACCAAATACATACCTGTATGAAATAGGTACCATTTAGTTTTTGAGTTATACAGGGTGTTTCAAAAACATGTGCCATCTCTCGTGGGGAGATTCCTCACGTAAAAATAAGATTTATTTTTCATATCAACATAGATCCGAATTTGCTTTGTTTCGTAGCTACAGGGTGTTAAAATCTTAATAATCTTTCGATTTATTATAATTTTCTTCCAAGTACTTTTAGCGATTTGAATGAAATTTTGAGGGTAAAAGTTACTATAAGTGCTATATATATTAATGCTAAAAAATGTCGATTAATTCATCAGGGTCATCATTAAAATATTTTTCAAAAAAAAATCATATGCGCCTCTGGCTTTTTTCTTTTGATATCAAAATTGTGGAGACCGTTTAATGCTACTTAAAAGTTAGTTCTTGTTATTTTGTCGAATTCGACCTCATTGTGAATCACAATTAGTAAAATAAAAATAAAAATAAAACTAATAAAATATTTTACCTAATTTACTATTAAATATTATTAATATTAGTTATTATTACAGTACGTTTGTCCGTTCTGTAGCTACGGGGTATCCGTGAGACGGGAAACGATATTCTCTCGATGTTTTTCGTAAAAAATTAGACGACGCGTCCCATCAATAAAAATTCGACAAATTTGCAAGTAGCCAATAAAATGAGTGGGCGGAGCGATTTGCGGTGACGCTTACGGTTTTTAAAACTTTCGCAAGTTAATGATATTAATATTTTTTAAAGGTTGCTATTAGACTTGGACCAAGGCAAATTAATAAAATTGCGTTTATCTCATCAAGAAGGCCGAAATCGACAAAATATCAAGAGACAACTTTTAATCGGCATTAAACTGCTTACACTATTTTTTTAAGAAAAAAAGTCAGTGGCGTACATGCTTTTTTTAGAAAAATATTCCAGTGATAACCCATATGCACGTCCCTGGTGAATATGTCGACACTTTTTTAGCGTTAAAATATGTCGCATTTATACCGTATGATCGAAAAAAAAACGGCGTCCAGTTGGCTGGGAAATGACGATCAATGACATTTCCCATATAAATTTACATATAAAATGATCTTCATTTCATAGACATAGTTGACGTCGTTTTTTCTCGATCATACGGTAGTAACTTTTACCCTCAAAATGTCATTCGAAACGCTAAAAGCACTTGGAAGAAAATTATAATAAGTAGAAAAAATAATAAGACTTTAACACCCTGTAGCTACGAAATAAAGCAAACCAATTGGACCTATGTTGATATGAAAAATAAATCTTATTTTTACGTGAGGAATCTCCGCACGAGAGATGGCACATGTTTTTTGAAACACCCTGTATAAGTAAAAATATCAGAATTTAAAAAAAATCAAGAAATAACTTTAAAAAATTACAGAGACATAAATATATTTAACTTACATTGGGATTGAACGAATATCCAGGCAAAAACGGAAGATCTGGACAACGCACCGACATGATGAACTTTTATTTCATACAACGAAAAAAAGTAGAATAAATACAAAACAGCGCAAATTTATACGTCAAGATATGATACAGCGGTCATTTTTGTCATTTTTGCGTTACTTTGGCAACAAGAAAAACTAACAGAAATTTTATTTGATCAATATACCTACAGGGTCGCTGATATGTATGGGAACGGTCGATTATTAGGTAAAATATACGAGGTACCGCAAAAAGTTAAATATAAAAATTATAGGGTTTCTAAATGTCTATTATAGTCTGCTCAACGCTTTGGCTCAACGAAAAAATCCTTGACGGTGATAGATGTGTCTGTCATTTTAATTTCAAAGTAGTTTATTTTATTTTACAAAAAAATAAGTTGGTACAATTGGAACGCATAATTAATATATTTAAATTTTGAGTGACAAAGTGACAAGTGATTACTTCAAAATATTGTGAAAAAAACTGAAAAAATCTAATCTTGGTTGATTAACATTAATCTTAATTTTTTCTGCAGTACTAAAACGTATTACTTACCTGTCGTGTGATGTTATTTTACAGATACTCCAGTTTTTGGTACCATATACGAGATGGTATACAACTTTATTTGTGGCTAATATAACTCTCTGGCCATAATCTCTGGCAAAGTGTATCTCTGGCGGTCTCTGTGCATCGAATATTAACTGTAAACTATGGTCTGCGTCAACACTTAATATTCCCTCGAGTTTTCTTCCACTTAATTTTAAAAAACATGAAACACAAGTAACAACACAGTCCAAAATGCAAAATGCAAAATATTTATCACTTCTATTTGACATAATTTGACATAACAAGTAATTTGGCAAAAGATTGACAACTCTCAAAAATCTTAAGTCGAGTTCATACGCACAGGCGTCTGTTTGTGGTTCATCGTTGCGTCAAACCAATAATATTGAAATATGATCTGTCGTTTTTGAAATAAACCAATAAAACTGGCTAAAAACAACAAGAGAAGCATTCCATATTTATTTATAAATCCATCCATAGTTAACTTAAAAAATATTAGAAACTTTTTTTAGTTAAATAAATGGATTGGTATGGAATTCACCTGTTTTTTTTCTGTCATCGTCTGTCGAAATCTTACCTGAGAAAAAAAAAACAGAGAAATTTTCCAAGCCAACTGGACGCAATTTTTTTCGATCATACGGTAGATTATGCGTATGTTATGCGTATTACCCTTGTAAATTTATAAACAAGTGTATTACCCTTGTATAAAGGATATTACGATTATTGCTTAAAATTAAGGAAGAATTCAAATATGCAATAATATATACCTTGGGGGGTTGCATTAAAAAAAAAATTGATGTGCTATAAGTTTATGACCGACACTGTATACTAAAATTTACTGTTATAATAGTATCTATATTGTATAATAGCTACTAAACGTTTAAAAACCCGATAATTTAACTTTTTGTGGTACCTTGTATATTTTACCTAATAATCGAACATTCACATAAATACCAGCGACCCTGTATATTTTAAATTTATCGCTAAAGAGTTTTGCTAAAATTAATTAAACAGAAACAGCCAGAAAATAAAACATATTAAACTGTGATTAAAAAAAATCGGCTATTTATTATTTAACGATTTTTAAAACTAGGTACTATTTATATCAGAGATTTATATCTAAAATAATAGTCCCTGATTCAGGCAACTAGTAATACTTTGACCCACATTTTCATTTAAAGAGCGCATGTCAGTGAAATTTCCTTAAATCGACAAAACGGCCGTGGAAACATATGATTGTATTGCGATTTGCGATAGTATTGCGTATTGCCTCTCTTATTGGAAACTGTGTAATGTTGTGGTAATATTCTATAAGCCGGTTCTCAGAGACTGATAAAAGAAATCAACTCGTCTAATATAGACATGACATCATCAAATTGTTTGTAGTTATCGTATCAAAATATTTTTGTTTATTTGAATTCTATCTATTTAGAATCTTGAAATTTAAGTTTTGTTTTCCGTATCCTATAAAGAATAACAACAATTTAAGTTGAAGTGGGTGCTGGATGTAAGTAAACAAAATAAACAAAAATAACCATGAGTGTTAGCAAGGAATCCGTTGATGAGAAAAAACAATACACAACAGAATCCAGTATTGTCAGTATTATTTGGAGTGCTTTAAAAAAGGTGCGTATGCCAATGTTTATATTTGAATACCTACTTAAAAAAATACCTGCTTAGATAAACTATAAACTTTGATATATCTGGAAAAGTTATAGAGAGGGTTTAAATTTTAATACTCAGTGTTGGTGTTAATGAATGTAACAACACAATTCCGAACTGTAAAACGGCCTAAAGATACTAAATTTATATCTAAGTACTTACCTACAGATTTATATTATTTTTTTATCCGTTAATATTTTTATTTTAGAATTTCTTCATTAATATTTTTTACTTTTGAAAAGCTATTTACCTATTTTAATTATAATTAGTATTTATTTTTCACAATAAATATTTACAAAAAAAACTTAATTAAATCTATTTTGGGTATACACTATTTTGTGTTTAAACTAAAACACATTAAGCCATAGCCAATAAAGTGCGTTTTTAATAATTTTGTTTAGTTTTTAGTTTAATATTTTCAAAATTTATTTGAAAACTGCGAATCTGTAACTTTTTTTAATATTTTTTTTTTTGAAAATAAGTACCTACTTAGCTATTTTTTTGTAACGATGACTTTTATCCTTCTTTTTATAGTACCCTATGATCGAAAAAAAAACGGCGCCCAGTTGGCTTGGACACAAACATCGATAACATTCCCCGTATAATTTTACATATAAAATGACAGCAATCTTTATTTCATAGCCATCGCTGACGCCGTTTTTTTCGATCATTGGTATTAGTAACCCATTTTAAACAATTTCTAAACAGGTAAATTGCATATATGAACTATGGGCGTATTTTAAATATTAATTAATTAGTTATTAGGTGAGATAACAATTTAAAATGCATTTGAATAGCATTGTGTAAATACAAATAGGTACCTATATTATTTCTACATACGTATCATTCTTTTTTGAATTTATCAATTTTATTACTAACTTTTATCGGTAATGGTGTGGATCCGGTGGCTGACCTTGAAACGAGTTTTTGCTGTATATAGTCACAGACACTACGCAGGCGCACATCTTCGATGTTGCCAGATTGCAAGTTATTTTGGAATTATTTTCAGTAGAAAACAATACAAAATATGTGCTTTTCAGTGTTTTTTTTGTCAATATATACAGTATGATCGAAAAAACGGCGTCTAGTTGGCTAGGAAATGACGATTGAGGACATTTCCCATATAAAATGACAGCGATCTTCATTTCATAGTCATCGCTGATGCTATTTTTTTCAATCATAGTACGCGGTATATTATTTATATTATTATTTTAATATTTCGCACAACACGTGAAACGTGAATGCTTATTATGTATTTTCATAGCTTAAATAGAAATAAAATTCTAGATTCCTATAATTAATCTAATTGCTCTAGATTATAATGCTACGTTTAAAAAGTGCTTTATTAAAAATTCGGGAAATTAAAAGGGATGTGTCCAAGTTTTTTCTTTTTTTTAATTTTTAATGCTGTAGCTCCATGTCATGTTCATAATAAGTTTTTTTAACATTCCATCAAAACTATGGAGGCCTTAAAAAGCCTGTTAGCTACCGTAATTAAAATTGTAGAATCAGCTTCAGCAACATTTACAGTTACCTTGTTTAATTCTGCTTATACATATATTGCATTAATTTTTCTGCTACCTTAAGATTTCTCTATTCTTACACCTAATTTATGTGATTTTCTTAGCATAATATGATTTATAAACCATATTTTTCCTAATGGAAGGATGGAATAGGATATGCAAAATTAAGATATTTTAACATTTATTTTCCAGACAAAGTATAATATAGTATTAAGATCAAGACATAACAAATATTATAAGAAAGATCTTAATATAAATCACAAACTAATTACAAACTAATCTTAATTTGGTCTTGTATAAACACAGGTATAAAACTAATAAGATCAAAACTCAACCTTCGCCATATTGTCAAGATTTGGCATTATAGGAAACAAGAAATTACAGTAAATTAAGAAAAGAATATCAAAGTACACGATATTAAATGCTGTAATGTATTCTTACACACAAACCATCTCCCTTCTAAAGAGAAAAAGATAAAACATAAAGCTTATTTTAATCTTATCAACACACTCTTCGATAAAATATATGTCTAAAATTGCTATTAATCCACTAACTTGATATTTTTAAGAAATTATGATACAAACATTATAATCAAAGTATATTATATTAGTAACATTATAGGTAAGATGTTACCTCTATCTCCCATTGACGTGTATTGTTCTATAAGACTCGTCATGGTAGTACCGTATGATCGAAAAAAAACGGCGTCCAGTTGGCTTGGAAATGACGATCCATGCCATTCCCTGTATAATTTTACATATAAAATGACAGCGATCTTCATTTCATAGCCATCGTTGACGCCGTTTTTATTCGATCATACGGTATTTCAAAACATCAATACATATAATCAAAACTATTGTTGCCTGTAAATAACTAGAAATTAAATAACTTGAAAGAAATAAAATAATTCTAATAAGTTTAAAACGATTAAGAAAAAATCCGTACATGATAATTTTTAATTCTAATGTAAATATATAAGTAAATGTTATTATTATTACAATTTTATATATTCATAATACTTTCATTTCACAATCTTCATTATCCTTCTTACCTTAATTTTGGATATCAAGATAAATCTGAAATTATAAAATTAATTATAGAATTTGTATTATTATTGATTAAAACTCAAAAAAAAAATTTTCAACTGCAAATAATTCGAAAATAAACTGCAATTTGGCAACATCGACGATGTGCGCTTGCGTAGTATCGATGATCAAATGCAGTAAATATGGGCTTCAAGGTCAGCCACCGGATCCAGACCTTTACTCTTTTTACCCTTTTATCTTATAATTTTAGTTAAAAAATAGAAATTCTATAATTTTGACCACAATAATTTTATCCGATTTATCAAAAAATAGAGAAATTCTAAAAATATACATATATTCCTGAAATAGGCGAGTACAATAAACAGCGGGTTTTAATTATATATAAAATCTGGTAGCCAAAAATGTAAACATTTTTTTTAAATTTATAGTCAGGGACGGCTTTATGACCCCTTCTAAAATATTTAAACATAGTAATCTGAATAGACAGTAACAACTTTGAGAAACATCTCACTGTAGTATTGAGTAATATCACAGATTGAAGAATATAAATATATACAGTTGGCCCACTCTAAGGAATTCTATTGTTATTTTGACTTCAAAGGCGGCCCGTGACCCTTCGAGGTGACAAAAAATTTGTACGTTTACCGGGTGCAGCGGAAGTGCTATTTTATAAGTCAGAACGCTGGCGGTATACGAGGGATCAACTAAAAATACTAAGGAATTTTAATATAGCAAGTAGAAAAATAAAAATACAGTACTAGTTTTATTGATTGACAGTTTTAGGCGTCTTTAATAATTGATCAATATTTATTTACTTTCTTCTTATTATTATTTAATAACATATCTCTCTTTAGCAAATTATAATACGGTTATGATATTATTCTGGTGTATAATTTTCATATCTGTGGGATCCTATAAATTCTAAGGCACTTTTCCAGGCTCCACACCTACAAGTTATTTTCCTTATCAGACTCTACTTATACATATTATGGTGAAAACATTAATATTAAAATATTAGATATATTATTCTATCCTAATTCTTTGGAATATGGAATTGTCAATATGAAAGTACCAAAAAGCTACACCTTTTGGTACCTAAATAAACGGGAATATCGATAACGGCCACATAGAAACAGGCATTTAAAAATGGGAAAACGATATAAATGACCATGCGTAATTTGAATTAAAAAAACGCTTTCCTGAACATTTATCATTTCTGGATACTCATCGTTTTTCCCATGTGCTCGCCAATTGTTATATTTACTGTTACATAAAATTTAGTAAAAAACTTGTCAATAGCAGAACAAGTTGTATGAACGTATTTTTATGACCTGACGATAAAATTTGGACTTTACGGTAGTTAAAGTTAAATGTAAACATCTAAAAAGCAAAACATGCTATTTAAAAAATGCAAATATCTTAAAAAATAATTTAATATGTACTTTGCCAAACCGGTAAATACTGCAAAATCCAAAACATAATAGTAAAGTATCTACAACTACTCTAAAATATCTACTAAAATAATAAACTAATTGTTAAAAATAAATATTTTGTGCATATTTCGAGTAAAATCTTTTCTTAATTTATATGTATATTTTTAAAACCATTTTTTCATAGTTAGGTTTCCATAATTATAATATACTTAATATGTCTAATACTTTGAATAAGAAGACTAAGGAAGGAGCATATCAATAATCTTATGTACACCGCGATGGGCCTCAAATATGGCCGACTTAAATTCCGGTTTATCAGTGTCGTTCTAATTTTATTTAAAAAATGTAAAACTATGATGTAGGGTAGACGTGGGGTAGACTCAATAATTCGTTGTTTTATTTTACGTTGTGAATAAATGTTGGTAGTTATTAAAATTGTTATAAAAATATATAATTGTAATAAAAATAGATAAGTTATAATAAGTATTTATATTAATACAAACATCCGATACGCTACTGAAGCAGGTAAGTCAAATTAACGTATCTAAATTCGTTGACATCTAATCTTTGACAAGTAATAAATAAAAGCTAAAATGCAAGAAAAATATATAATTTAGTTAATTTAAGTGAATTTCATAAATGATCGGTTTACTACACGTATGTATATTATATAGTCACTTACTAGCGAAAAGTTGTTCCATTATTTCACTCAATTTTTGCCGAGATCTACGATAAATATATAAATCGCGATAGTGTCACTGTTAATTTAAGTTCTGCCACAATTTCCATCTAGATTTACTACCTTTATACAACTATCAGTAGTAGAATAAATAATAAATAACATAAAATAAGCTCCGTAAAGACTGACAAATCCACAAAATTTCAAATCAAATTCAAATGTGTCAAATGAATCGTCAAACAGAACTGTCAAGGATCCCCACCCTAGAGAGCTTTTATGGTGG